CTTCCTGACTGATAAGTTCTGGTTGGAACTGGATCTTTTTACAGCTCTGCTTAAGACTCTCTGTTTTTTTTGTCCCAATCTACAACACCTTCAGTGGCGAATGCGATTTACGGCGGATTAAAGATCAGAGATTTCACGGATGTTCAAATGGTCAAAATGTTGTTTATCGGTTTCGGGAATAACTCATGCTTTTATTGCACGCCTACTGACAGGTGATTGGGAATCTTGTCAGCACCTTTACATTCATTCTGAGAGCCTTAATTACTTTCCATTGCTTCATGTAGGAGTTAAACATTAAAGCTATTTATGACAAACTGTTGTATTAGGAATCCATTGAAACCCATTCAGAAGTCCAGACTATTGAGAATGCACGTAAGGGTGTGTAAGGTACAGATACGTTTACATTTACCCAGCGCCTTTCAAGTCGGGAGGACGTTCTCAAAGCACTTTCCCTTGTGGTTCTCTTTTCCAAGGGCCCAGAGTGGAATCTCAATTCCCAACCTCCTGACCCCGAGCCTGAAATAAGCTGCCACATGAAACATATTATGGATCAGACTTATAGAATTATAGCTTCTGCTTGTATCACATCTACATATTATATCAGCACCACTACAGCAGCTGCAACATTTGGTCACCGTCCAGAACATTTAGATGAAATACAAGAGCTCACATTCTTCTAGGGCAATGCTAATAATAATCCTCATGTCGTATAGGAAATGTCACGCCAGGAGAATATCTTAAATGGGCGTTTACCTGCAAAATCAGTCACCACGCTGAATAGCGATTGTCTGGCAAACACTCTTGAGATCTTGCAACACAATAAGGTGCTATATATATATATATATATATATAAGCACATTTTTTCTTTTCAATGATAAAAGATCACATGTAAAGAAAGCTCTGTTGCAGAGTCTATTATCAAATGTAACTTGCTTCCTCAACGGACTGCAAACAGATGGTTAGTCAGCATTAGGGTTAGGGTTTAGGATGGGATTGTTAGCTTTGACTCTTTTTGACTATCTGAGCTTAAGAAACTAAAAGGCCGTGAGTGGAAGCTTAAAGTATGAAAGACACAGTTGCTGACTTTACTCATTAACTGCACAGGTGTATCTATAAACTCAGACGAGGTGCTAAACTCTGCTATCAGTTAAAGTTTAAGATTTGCATTTGTCAGCAGAGTGTCACACATGATACCACCGCTTAATGACAAATTCTCTGCAAACTATTGAGAAACTATTTCCTCGACTGACCCTCGAGGAGACGCACCCTGGAAGGAATTGACGTTTTGAGTCAATAAGGAAAACGCATGGAGTAAATGGTGGGAAGTCTTTGGTTTAAAACGGTAGTAAAAACAACTACAAGCACGAAAAGGGGGAAGTAGAGATATTTCAATGTAACTCATCTCGTCCTTGTTGTCTGGAGGACAACCGCTATTATTTAATTGCCATAAACTGGTCGATTCGGTGACAGGGATAAGAAAGAATCAAAATCCACCCACCCACGTAACTGTACATAAATGCACGGGATATAGCAACTCTCCTCTTAGTCATGGAAACATGTGCTTTCAGCAAGCCCAGGGTCCAGTATTTGCACAGAACTGAGGTATGCGCTAATGTCAGTCTCTGAGGACGTTTGCGGACAATTATTAACACAAAGTGTTCATTAGCAGTAAAAACCACTAGATTGTCGGATCTGGACTAGTCCTGGCAGATTGTTTCCAGCTATACTACTACACAGAGCCACCAGACATTCCCTAACCTTAGAACTTGGGCTTTTCTGGCTTTAACCATTAACCCAGCGCCTTGGGACGTCCTCCTGATGCGAAAGGCGCTATACAAATGCAATGTTGTTGTTGTCTTAAAATTTAAGGCAGTGAGACATTTTGGAACAGTCTTAAATCCAGCCTTACTTTGGAAATTGAGTTTCCACATTTCCTTTTGGATACTGTAAAAAAAAATCATCTTCCAACTTTCTGTTTTCCAAAACTCCACACAACCTTAAAACGTGATGGGTTTAAGCTTAAGAGCACAAAATATTTCAAGCCTCTGGTTTGGTATGTAACACACAACCATCACATGCTTTCGCCCACAAAATATACAATCAATTCACTTTGCAGTACGTTCTTTGAAGCGCTTTGAGTCGTCTCGAAGACGTGATAAGGCGCTATATCAAATGCAAGGATTTATTATTGTGCTCGGTGAAAAGAAGCATCGACTGAGTAAGCAGATGTGTATGTGGCATGCGGTTGGGTCAACACAGAGAGAGATGATAAGAGGAACATTAATACCATAATCATTCTGGTTACATCAGGAGAATGGATTCCTGAACTCAGGAGCCATTAGATAGAGCAGAGTGAGATGTGAGGAATGTGCACTCTCTTTGGGAGAGTGCTGAATTTCCATGGCAACTATCAATCGAGAGCAATTTAGCCGAATTCCAATCGACAGAAAAAATTCATATGGGTGGAAATGCAAAGATATCTTTTGGGGGCTGTCGATAATTGATTTTTTTTAAAAAAAAACAACCAAAGTAAAAAAAAACAATTAATATAAAATATCACGAGACAAGTCATCCAGTGTTTATAATGGTCCACAGAGATACTGAGGTACATGAAGTATTGATGTTCAGAAAGTTTTTTTTTATTACTTGGCCTGTAACATTCGAGTCGGGTGCAAACCTTTGGAGTAGATTTTTTTTTTTAAACGGGTCTTTTCCAAATGTCTGTGTTCTCAATTAATTTGTCTTGTGTTGTCACATGTAATTCCAAAGCGTTTTATTTCCCCAAAGCTTTGCCTGTTACTGTGTCCTTGATTTTTTTTTTTTTGCATGTCGCTCTGCGCAGATACGTGTTTACAAAATATTGACTTCAGATTAAAGTTTAAACAGGTGTTAGTTAGCAAGTGTCCCACGATAACCTTTGGGTCCTCCCATGCCCCTGGGATGCATTCAGGACCAACTCCTCGCGCAAGAACATCATGTGACAGCAACGACTAAATGCTTTGGAGCGACATTGTTTGTTTCAGGTTTAGCAACCAGCTGAGAGAAAGAGGAAGCAGAGCTGGTTTATATCCAACTCTCACTTCACACAGCGCAGTGGAACGTCAAATGCACTCTGTGCACCAATTGTCAATCAATGATAAAAATAGAAGTCGCTGAACCGGTTCTGACGAAAAGTCACGAACCTGAAACATTAACTCACTTTCCTCTCTCCGTAGATGCTGCCCGACCTGCAGAGCGATCCCAGCGACTTCTGTTTTTACATTGTGCAGTCCTGTAGCTCAGTGGTTAGAGCACTCGCTTTGCAAGTGAGAGACCTGAGTTCAATTCCAGGCAGAGGGCGAAACCTCGGGCAAGTTTCCTTACTCCACACAGAGCCTAATAATAATCCCTCCAAAACCAAAAACAATAATAAATTGGTCATCGTCAATCTACGACTGTTTGTGGGACATTGCTGTGCGCAATTGGCTGCCGCGGTCGCCCACAAATATACAGTCAATTCACTTTACAGTCTATTCTGTGAAGTGCTTTGGGACGTCCTCCCGACGTGAAAAGAGCTATATCAAATGCAAGGATTATTATTATTATTATCATCAGATTTCCAGCAGCTGCAGTATTTTACCTTTTGTCAACCGATAATGACTGACGGTATTGATGTGGAGTTTCGCTCTTTTCAGTTCTAGCGCTGACCTGAACAGAGTTCAACAGCAACAACTTGCATTTACATAGCGCCCTTCACGCTTCAGTGGCGGTGACTGAGAACGAGCCAGGGGGAGAGCTCAGAAGTATCAAGGCGACAGATGTGTCTGCTGTAGACTGGTCGTGCCTGCGTGATGAGTCAGATCTCCATTAGAAGTGACCACAGCAGCACTAAAGGGCAAATACTTCACACTGAGTAGAACATGAAATTACAAAACAACTGGTTTTTCCAGCCTTCTCCACCCTTTGGGCATCAAACAAGAAGTTAAAGAGCTCGATCTACGTGAAAAAAAATTCCATGACAGTCCTTCCATTTGCTGATAAAGTCCCTGAAAAAAAAACACATCCCCTTCATCAATGAATAATGCTAAATTTGTGTACATTATTTCACCTCCACTGATTTCTCACATTTCTGCAAAGCATCAGCAACCGTGAAACAGGTACACAGCCTATCCCTCTCGTGCAAGGTATTTCCAGCAGGGCGTGACCTGTTACATATCTTGGAACCAGTCTTAATGTTTGAACAATTCGAGACTCATAACATTCAATCTCGGTCACGCAGCGATACAGCCATAATCAGCCCAATTCTCTGATGCATTTACTTATCTTGGAACTGTCGAATGTTAGTAACAATAATGTACGTGTTAACCGTCCTCTTTTTTTTTTTCTCCACCCCATCACTATCTTATGCGCTGCTATTATGTGAAGAATAAAGTGGAATTAACCAAAGGTTTTATTACCTGACGAATGCGCCTAAATAATTTGAGATTTTAAAGAAAACAGAGCAAATTGGGATTCCAGACTAAAGAAATGACTACAGACATAATTGACCAAATCGACTTGTGCTATTGTTCTGGTCTGATCAGAACAGCAAAGACTGATAGGTGGGCAATTGGAGTTGAGGTACAGATCAGCCACGATCTAACAGAATGGCGGAACAGGCTCGAGGGTCTGAATGGCCTATCCTTGTTCCTAAATAGAATTAGGATAAGATTGAACTGAATGATGCTGTACAATGGGCGAGTCAGTGAGTGTTAATAAAGTGCTGTATCAGACAGACAGGCAACCAGACAGATAAACTTGGGAAGTGAGAATGTAGAAAAATTTAGAGAAGTGGGATCGAAATATCGGTCATGATCTGCTAACTGCTGAAAGATGTTCAACGGGCTGCATCATCTCCTCTGTTCCTATACATCACCTGGTGGGTAAATCCACAGGGTGAGAAAGGCAGCAGTATTTATTTGTTTTGCCCTTTATGGAAACCATCCTTCCTAAACGGCAAATAATAAATCACCAACCAGAAATGATCATAGAAAAGGTTTATTAGTAAATATAATTTAACAAACGGTATACAATGAATATTTTATTTAAAAAAATATGAATACTTGGAAATTTGCGATAAAGACACAAAGTACCTGTTTGGAACGCAAGCAATGGCTGTATATCATTGGATTGTAAATAAAGGGATCATATCAGATTTGTGCCATACATGTGTAGCAAATTGCCCACTAATGCAGGTGTGAATGAGTCAATCTATTTACAAATATGCAAAATATGTAACTGAAATCTAAGTATGTGTTTTTTTTAATAATAAGGGAAGAAAAACTTTATATACAAGTGAAGTGAAGAGGCTATGGCCTGAATTCTGAATAGCATGGGATACCAACATTAATGTTGATGGAAAGTTCCATTCGCTGCATAAAGTATGTCACAAGAAGGAGGCAGTGTATAATTACACGGGTATCGTAGTTAAAAAAATACGCTTGCTCTGGCTAAAATGCAATTCTTCCTATTGAGCAGACGCGATTTACAGCAGAATATATTGGAAAGAGGGTCTTGTAAGTCATGTTCAGAGCAAAGTCTGCAGTCATAAACAGCCGAGAGGTATGGAATAATTCACGGCAGCTTGGGTTAGCAAGATGTGCAAGCTGCCAACAAGTCAAAGCTGTAGCAAACCGTATTTAACTAAAGACATGGAATAGTTCTAACGTTTTAAAAACTAACATTTCAAACCAAGTTCAAAAGAACCACGACTCAGTTTCAGCACTTAGTGGTTTCTTTGGGTTTATTTCCCCCCCCCCCCCCTCAATGGCTTCTTAAAATATAGCAGTCAAGCAAATTATGGACCCATTGAGAGTCACTTTGCCACAGTTTATTTCCAGTGGAGCAGCTAACACTTCAAGTCAGTTGATTCCCACATAGTCCTTGTAAACTCCAATGCGTTATTTACTCTTTCAGGAGGCCGAGTTTCCTCAATGCTTCCGCACGGTCCCTCTTGGTGGGTCCTGGAGGTGTGTTCTGTATGTTAAGTGCCTTGGGCTGAGGCTTTTGAAATTTGCCCGATATATGATTTATTGTTATTGGGAAGGACCTTCGGTTTGTTTGACCAGATGCTGCTGGTTCCAGTCTAGCTCCGTGCCTAAGCGACGGATCCGTCTCTGAGCAGATCGATATGGGCCTGGGTCGGAGGTGCAAGCTCATGTCAGGAGAGATAGAGCTGGCGACTGAAGTGCGAGGAGGGCCGGTCTGATCGGTTGTGCCAATCTGCTTTAAGCCGCTGGGTTTTGAGTTACTGGGCTGCCACGGTGGTGTATTCCTGGTTTGCACGGACCCTGGAATGTCAAGCACTGATCTGGAGACCAAGTTAACAGCAGCAAAACCAGATCTCATGCTGGGCTGACTGTCATGAGCTGTGCTAACCCGCTGGAGACTGCTGGATTTGGTGGGTCCCAATTGCCACTGGGGTGGGGACTTCAGGCTTCTTCCATTTCCGGCAGCTGAAATGTTCAAACCAGAACTCGCGTTGGGCTGACTGCCGTGAGGTGTGCTGAGCCGCTGGAGACTGCTGGATTTGGTAGGTCCCAATTGCCACGGGTGTGCGGGATTTACGCCTCTTGCAGGCACGCTCGAGGAGCCATTGCCAACAGGCGCTTTGCCTCCACCAACAACAACCGGGCGCTGTATGCTAAACCTTCTTTCGCCGTGAGGTTCCGGTGAGCGAGTCGTTGAGACCTTCTGACCGATTGGTGGGGTTTCCATTGACGTCAGGCTACTGTGACCGCTGGGGTACAGCTTCTGTCCGTTCAATCCCAGTTTGTGTATAACCTCGCTTCTGGGCAGCTGCTGTTCTAGCGAGAACTTTGAGGCAGAACCAACATCAGGCGAATCGTGCTCATTACTAGACAGGGCGACTTTTGGCATGACCTTCACACTACTCTTTGAGTTCGGATGCGAGCCAGGGAGCGGGTCACCTTGCTTGTTGTAACCGCTTTTGAAGCTGATGTTGGCTGGAAATTTCTTTGGTTTTGGAGCAGTGGGTGGACCTTGCTTGGCCGTAGACTCCGACTGAGGATGGAATGATATCAGTTGGGACCTTGGCCTGTTATCTCCAGGGACAATAGCGCTCCTAGAAGGCTCTGATCGGCGGCTGGGTGCCACTGTGTTTGTGTTTTCAGCGGGTTTCGGGATATATTTTGGCAATGTATTCGCCCCGGATTGTGTTCGTCCTGCGTTTTGAGACGAGGAATCAACTTCGTTGTTGTGTTTGTTGTTGTGCGGCAAAACTACTCTTGGGAGAATCAGCCTTTGGGTATTTCCATTTTGATCTGTTGAGGAGACAGAAACAGAAGAGTTAAAGCAATGTTACTTAGCATTTACGGAATCAGAAATACTGAATGCTCGAAATGATGGTTCACTCTTACATTTATGTAGGGTCAATTTTACCATTGTAAATTTGTAACAATTCAAACAACAACTTACATTTGTACAGTGCCTTTCACGTCGGGAGGATGTTCCAAGGCGCTGGACAGTTAGGGGTTTGGACCCAAGCTGGGGGTTGGGATCGGGAGAGGTGTAGGGCAGGGAGGGTAGGGGTAGAGGGTGACCGATGGCGCGGTCGTAGATGAAGGTTTTGATACGTGCCTTGAAGGAGTCAAGGGAGGGAACGAGGTGAAGGGACTGTGGGATGAAGTTCCAAAGGGTGGGGGCAGAAAGGCTGAAAGCCTGACCCAGAAACACAGTCACTTTTGTTACATCATCCCAACAAGCAGATGCTTACCTGCAGTTCGATTGTCCAATGTCCCAAGATCTGTTCGGGTCAGTTTCACCAGCTCCTTCCTACTTTTAGGGGTCTCTTCAACGCTTTTCAAATCCTCAGCAGGAGCCCATTCACTTGGGTCCTCTTCTAGTGACTCAATGGTTTCCTCCAGAAACATGAGGCATTCCCTCTCTTCAGCCGTGAGAAAGTCGAGACTCTCATTGCTCTGTTGAAAGATAAGAAACCCAAATATTTAATACCAGTCTGCTCTGGGAAGAGAAAACTAAATGCCCTGAGAACATTTGATACCTGCTCGTCAAGAATCCCAAACAATAAAGACATGATAGAGAATTGGGTGGCGAGCATTGGATTTGTAATGTAAGGGTATAAGGTTACTTAGCCCTCAACTTCTACACTGCCTGAAGTTTGCCTACTCTGCCTACCAACTTCAAGGAAAACTGAAAGATCAGTGTATACTCTACTTTGAATCCGCATTTGGGAATCACTTGTGAGCAACTGGGAGACCAAAAGGTAAAGGTAGGAGATTCATAGCTTTAATGACGTGTTCTACCAGTTACCCAGTGATAGGTACAAACAACACAAGCCTCTGACCAAATAAGTCTCAGATGAAATGCAAACGCCCTCAATCTACTCATCGACAGAATCAGAAATATGCTGGAAATTTGGTTTCGCCCCTTACAAGTGCAACAGATCATTCCAGGATGTGGATACATCTCTAATGAAAGGGCAGCACAAATCAATGCCTTCTGTACTGCCGAGCAGGAATGCCGAAGATGAGAAGGTTTCTTTGGAACCCGCCCTTACTATCCCACAAGTTCTCCTTTAGAGTTGAACATTCAGTCCTTCCAGTTACACTGGTCATTGCTGTGAAGTGGCCCTAGTAATTAGAAAATGGTTTAAACATTTTGTACCACTGCAAAATTGCCATGTAATTACATCAATTAATTTTTTTTGTGGGTGGGGGAATGTGTGTGTGTCAGCAATCCCAACCCCCAGCTCAGGTTCTGTCCAGTGCCTCCCGAAACAAAAGGCACTATACAAATGTAATATTGTTGTTGTTGAGCAACAAAATCCCTGGCTTCTATTATGCACTTTGCTTTTGTAGATTTTTTTAAGACTGACCAGCGTAACAATCAAAAGCTCAAACAATTTGCATTATTCAATTTGAATATTTTCAAGTCCAAGTTCTGGACTAAGATTCCAACGTTTTATATATTTTTTAAGAGCGATCAGTTCTGGCATTACTGCATCTGGAAACCTGTCACATTCCAACCAAAATTTATTTCGCACTAGATTTTAAATGCCATCATTCCTTTGCAGTGCGCGCCCACTACAGTTTAAAACTGAAATAATTCCACTTTTCCATATGCAAAACACGAGACGAAAGTTAATGGCGGCATAAAGTTTAGTTGCAATGGACTGTGACACTGCTTGTTGTGTCACAGTTTCAATAAAAAGCTTTGAGTTTTTTTTTTAAAAAAAACCTTTCCTTCTTTTCCATGATCTGAGGCACAGCGCTCCATTGTAAGGCTAAGGTCTTATTTACACCACACTGTGACTAACGCCCAGGTTACACCTAACAGCTCCCTAAAGCAAAAGGGTGCAACTTAAATAAGTGTAATGCATCTCGCTCAGGTTAATCAACCACAAAGTGGTACTGATTTCATATTTTATTTTGCAGGTTTTCTCATGAATAACTTTCCACTAGGTTACGGTTTTGCTTATCCTATTTTTTTTTGCCGCATTCAAAATGATAACAATGATCCTTGCATTTGATATACAGCCTCTTCACATCTTGGAGACATCGCAAAGTGCTTCACTGAACAGACTGTAAAATGTATTTTGTGTACAAAAATGCCATCCTCCTTCATCGGTGTAAGCAAAGGAATGGAGAAATCTTGGGGCAAAACCATTATCGTCCATTTAGGGTGAGGTTTGATAAACAAAAACTAGTTCAAGCCGAAAGCAAGTGAGAAATCACTTTGCAAATACTTTACTTGGATTTTTTATTATTTTATTGCATCATTTTTGCATTCCCGAAATAGTATTTCATACGGATCTCAGTTTAACGGAAAAGTATCCAAGTAAAGAATGCATAATAAATAATAATCCCGGCATTTGATATAGCGCCTTATTACATCATTGAGACGTCTCCATTACTTTAGAGGATATACTGTACAGTGGATTTACTGTATTTTGTGGGCGAAACTAGCATTATTTAAAGATAAAAAATAACATTGTTAAAATTTACTCATTGCAGTGCGAGCATCATCTCAGTGCCTCCACCCGGTGCAAAACCATTAAAAATATGGAGTGCCATTAACTTCCTCGCCACAAACAATTCAATAACTTACGATTGTGCTGGCTACGCTACCAGAACTCCCGACACTAGCAACGGAATCCATGGGAGAGACACCAGCCCCCGTGTCACTGATGGGCATCGCACAAGGAACGTCTTATCGGGATTAATCAGGATTCAGACGGGATGTTTCTCCAGGATACGTTCAAAAGAAAACTCCAGTCAAACTGCAATCAGAAGGAAAGTGCTCGATAAATACACAGAGAAAGGACCTTCACTCATTTATACATCCAAACAAGCAATAATGTGCTCTCTCTTGCAATTATTGATCATCCTCCTCTCCCTCGCCCCAGTAGTCATTCTGTAGTGTATATGCAAAAGTAGGAAGCACTCTGGGACTCTACTCTGTGTAAGGGACACTTCATAAATGCAACTTGTTGTTGTGGTTAGAGAGTTTCAGCTGGCTATTCAACTGTAGAGAGCATTCATTGTACCTGCGCTGCATCCACAAATACACAGTCAATTCACTTTACAGTGTGTTCTGTGAAGCGCTTTGGGACGTCCTCCCGACGTGAAAAGCGCTATATCAAATGCAAGGATTATTATTATTATTATCATCCAGCCTCTCACATCTACACTTTCCAATGATCCCTTTCCGAGCCCAAGGATGCTTCAGCCAATTATCGAAATGCAGGCCAATTACTCCCCCAGCTGAGGTAAACTAACTCAGCACAGGCCAGGGATTAGTCTGAGCTCTCTGTGGTTTTACTAACTGAGTCATTGAGGGAGTTGCATTTCATATTTATTTTACAAAAGGGAAGGCAGAGGGTTAACAGTGACAGAAGGATAACAGCCAACGTAAAGATAACAAAATGACTTATTTGCTGGGCGTTTTTTTTTGACTAAAGCTCCGTTGCCCAAAAGGGGCTCCGAAAGGACAGGATTACACAAATACATCCCAGAAGTGACCAGTTTTTGTCCAGAAATGACTTGCTTCAGGAATTTGGAAACCCCCAAATTTTAAATTGTGGCAAATTCATAGTGCGGCCACTAATTAAACACGAAGCAAACCCAATTCAGCGTCATCCTGATGTGAGCCAACCTTAAGTTAATACCATTTTGCTTTGTGCCAACAGAATGACGCAGATTTTGTTTTGGTCAGACGGCTGTCTGACACGTGAGGAAACCCATCACCGTGCTAAAGATTATCCAAATCCGACTGAGAATTCCCTGCATCCCACCTACACGTGGAAGTTCCAGAGAAGATTGTCAGAATGGACCCCGCACACTCTCTCCCTGGAGCCAGGGGGGAAAAGTATTAGGCACAGAATGGCAAGAGCCAAGGCTTGGGGACCCCAGAGTGTGCGTTGGGGTAACTGCTAACCAGCTAAAATCTAATCAGACTGCTGCATGGGTATCAAGGGATATGGGGCAAGGGCGGGTAATTGGAGTTCAGGGACAGATCAGCCCTGATCTTATAGAATGGCGGAACAGGCTCGAGGGACTGAACGGCCTACTCTTGTTTGTATGACTGCAATACCAGGTCGAACAGCGAGAGTAGCGACCAGTTCACCTCAAGCCCCTCCTCTTCGACCGCACTTTCGATCATCCTCCTTCCCCCACCCCCAGCTCAGATCCGGAACACTGATTGCCCAGCGCCTTGGGACGTCCTCTCGACGCAAAAGGCGCTATATTATTATTATTTTATTATACTATACAAATGGTATGTTATTAACGGGGAATTCCAGGGAGCTGCTGATCACGTGTCATCATCGACAGGATCAATACAGAGCAACAGAAGGTCACGTAATTGGTTTGATTTCCACCAAATCATGTGACTGAATTGGTTCAGACTCTATCTCAAAAACAAGACAAAAAGCTTACCCCATTACATTGCTCATAGGACATAGGGTTCAATGCTCTTTAAACACCCTACCCTCAAAGCCCAGGTCTAGTCATTTCAGGCAATGCAATGGTTCGGGCTTATTGACAGACTGAATGTTATTTTAAAAAAAGTTTTAATTTGCAAACAACAACATCATTAATTCAACATTAATAGGAAATAAGTGAAACTTGGACATTAAAAAAAATTAAGACAGACATCAGAAAAAGTCCCCGACTCTTAAAAGAGAAAATTAAATAATCTTTAAAGTGACTTTTTTGAAGTGGTGGTCTCTCTGAATTTTACGTTTAGTTAAGCCCCAATGTGTTTATTTTTTTTTGAAGTTGCATTTAAAAGATTTAAAAGATTAGAAAAGTCATTTAAAAAAGAGTCTTGTTTCCAGAAAAAAATTGCTGTGTGATTGACATGGGTCAGAATCGAGGAGTTTGAAGGGATATGGGAGAACACAGAGGATTGGGGGGGAATTTGTGTGTGTATTTTTTTTGCAATTTCACCCAAAGGGCAAAATTTTCAACAATGAAGACGAGATGTGAATTCACAGCCAAATAAGTCACAGAGAGAGAGAGACACGCATCTGGGACATTTAAACCTTTCTTGAAGCAACCAGGCAAACAGGTTATATTCATTGCTGACAGGAGGGTGTGAAAACGAGTATTTCACTGACTCTGGGTTAAAGCAAGAAAAGAGATTGATTACCTGTTACGCTCAAACAAGACTGTGGACACACAGAGCTCTCCACTGCATTCATTGCTAAACTTTTGAAGGTTAATCCCAATCAAAACACAACCCAAAGGGTATTGTCTGTGTTCAGAGAGATCCCACGATCTATGTAGTACCACCCAACCCTCCTCTGGCTTCCAACCAATACATCCAACTATATATACATATATATATAATAATCCTTGCATTTGATATAGCGCTTTTCACATCGGGAGGACGTCCCAAAGCGCTTCACAGAATACACTGTAAAGTGAATTGACTGTATATTTGTGGGCGAGAGAGAGAGATTTATATAATAATATTTATATAGTAATATAGTAATATTTATATATAGAGAGAAAACAATCCACAAAAACAAAGTGCAGCAAATGTACTCACCTGTGGAGCAGGGGAAATGATTAATCCAATCAATTAAAGGGTCAAAAATTAAAATAAACTTTGCAACGTGGTTCCTTGTTCCCTGTTTAAAACCGAGAGCTTTTGCCACAACCAGACCAGCAACTCACTCAAACATCTGCTCTTGCTTTCAATTTATGACTTTCGGATGAGCTGAGCCTCAGGTTATGAGCCAATAACCAAACTCTCTTGTGCCCAACCTACAAGTCATGGAACAAATCAGCTCCAACTATGTCCTACCTGCACATGTCAAGCCAATCACATTTCCATTTATTTTAACCATAGGGCCAATTGGATCCACTTATCTCCTTCCCCTATTGCTAGACCTTTCCCCACCCCCTCCCTCTACTCTCTCCACCCTCCCACTCTCTCCCCCCTCACCTCCTCTTTCCCCCTCTTTCTCTTCCCCCCCCCCTCTCCACACACACCCCCCTCACCCCTCTCTCACCCGTCTCTCTCCCTCCTGATAAGGCGCTATACCAATCGCAATGATTATTACGGGTCAATTAGCATCCGAAAGAAAAAGTTACTGCTTTGGGCAAGGCTTCACTAATTATTAGGATTTCCAATATTTATGTTTTAATTACATAATGGCGGTTAAATAGTGATAGCTGGTGATAATTAAGGAATTGAATGAGTTTAGAGAATATTACAATGATGACCTTATATTTATTTGTTAATTGGGATTATGCATTAAAGATTACCTGGAGTTTTGCACTTCTCACCAGCAAGTGAAAACATGTGCTCCAAATCTTTCTTATCTACCTTCTTAGCAGGTTCACCATTACTCCCTAACTCTTGTAATATCTAATAAACCCTGTTAATGTTTAATGTTTACAAGCTCAATCTAAAATGTCTACGTAAATGCTATATGCCAGACAAGTATTGTAGATTAGGAATTACAGTAAGGCACTCGTAAACAAAAAAAAGTTAAATTGAGGACGAAATACATTTTGACAATCAAGTAAAACTGATTTTTGCAACAGGTTAAATATTAATGATAATCCTTGCATTTGATGTAGCGCCTTATCACGTCGTTGAGACTTCTCAAAGTGCTTCACAGAATGTATCGTAAAGTGGATTGACTGTATTTCTGTGGATGAAATATCTCAAGAGCATTTCACTCGAAGTAATTCTGGTAATTCAGATGTTCTACAGATTTTCATGAGGCTACCTTTGGAGGATTGTGTGCAGTTGTAGGCATCCAACGCACATAAACACATACACAGAGTAGTGGATACGTGGCGCAGAATCCCATCACATTTTGTAGTATGAATAAGGAAGCACATTTCAGGATTGTGGAGCAAGAATGCTGCTTTGAAAAGCTATTGAATTATTACTCTCTTCTAGGCGTTTCTCTAATCAAGTGACGTATTGGAATATAAATGACAACAGTACTATCGCCACCCTGTTGAGTGAGTGACAAAATTAAAACATCTTAGTCATAAGGAAGATGCCCACACAATTATCATCTGCACTTTGGTCTTGTTGATTCACTTTCCGAAGGCACCAACTCTTGTCTTTTGTAAAGAAGCAGGAAATAGATGGACATAATGCAACTGCAGTTTAATTAACCTTTAGGATTTGGAATGCTGTAATGTAGGTGTCAATATTGATTCTGTCTGTCACAGCATTACAAAAAGTGTTCCAAAAGCTTGCAGAAATATTAAAGGTGTGAAGAGCTCTTGTGCCAAGAGCCTCTGGATATTAAATTCGCTCACTTCTTTAACTAAGCGGCCATCACTGTACATTAGTATTTGTGATTGTTTTTTGCATTGAACTACCCAAAGGCAGTTTGTCACTGCACAATAAAAACTTTATTACATTGACTGATTCACGCTTCGATGAAAACAAAGAGGCATTAACGTGGTTGTGGTATTTGAATGGCTGCTTCATCTTTCACCTCCCCCACTGTCTCCCACTATCAGCTCAGGGGTCTAGTCAACAACGTCAAGTGACCTGGGACATCCTCCCGACGTGAAGACACTGTATAAATGTAAATTTGTATTGTATGCTCAAACTTTCCATCGATTCACACACTCACACACACAATAGCAGAATAGGTTCAGACTGAAAATGTGATGATCACAACAACTTGCATTTATATAGCGCCCCTCCCACAGGGTAGCGTCCCAGAGCACTTGACAGTGGCAGAGCACGATGCCAAGCTGGTGGGAGGTGACCATATAGCATACAGTACTTATATATTCGTACCTTCTGAAGTACTGAAGTTTTAAATTCCGTAGCACAAAATCGACCCCTCGGGTGCTCTCCTGAAGTCAGAGCCCGTCTGACCCTCGAGCAGAACGGCAACACAAAATAGGGAAAGAGAATGTCTCTCTGGTAGAAATGTTGACGGTGATTCAATAAGCTCATGTGACTCGGCAACATTCCATTCATTCATTTCTTTATTTTTGGAAAACAAACTCGAGCTTGTGAATTACATAATATTAGTAAGCAAAAATGGGTAAAACAAGTTCAACACTCAAGGCTTTTTCTCCTCCCCAATGGCATAAATACATAAGTACTTGTAGCAGCAGTAGATTGTAAACAATTCATACAGTTAATGTTGAAACATCATACCTGCTACACAAAGCAGTGTGTGACGTCTACTTTAGTCAAAAGTACACTACTATCTGAAATTCTAATCAAAACCATACTAATCTCTCAATTTTACTGCAAGACACATCACATCGAATAGATCACTCTTCGTCATTTATCAGTGTGCGTCAATGAATATTCATTTTCTAAAACCAAAAAAAAGCAAGTAAACTCATCAATTAATAGACCTGAGAAAGAGGAATTTGAATTTCTGCACATCAAAACAATATCCTTTTCCTAAAGTCTCAACACATGAATATGCAGTTCGCTTTAAAAAAAAACAATGTTCAATAATTTAACTTTCATGAATTTTAATGCATATACAGTATTGAATGGAAATGAGAAACTTTGGCTTTGGATATTAATGCAAAACCAAGTTTCTAATACTTTTTTTTAAAAAGAAACACACATTACAACAGAGTGGGAATCAATGTAAAATAATTTACTGTGTATTTATTTTGCAAAAAATTAAGTCTATATTATTTTCATACACAACTGGTATATTTTTCTCCAATCTCCGCAGATGCTAAATTGTCTCTATTCTATTCTCACTCCGAACCCCACTAACCTAACCTATCTGTCTACGAAAATCACCAGCCTTTAAGAATTTATGTTTATAAAGATCAAAAACAGCAGCAAACGCTGTACTATAAATACTGTTCAACAACACCAAAGCACCAAGGTCTTAAAAGCAAACGAGTAGTGAAAGACTTCAAGACTTAATGAATATGTTGGGACTCCATTCTGTGGGCTCCAAACTGAGATTTGCAAAATTGGTAGTGAATAGATAATCATTGGTCTGAAATCTTAAAAGTCTGTCTCAGCAACATCAACATAGAAACATGATCAGCGACTGTTCTGTTGTGAAACATATTCGTCTTGGTATAGCAGTAATACACTACCGTAAATATTGATTCCAATTAAGATAGAAATCAGAACATTCTGCGTATTAGCTATGGAGTCAGGCAATATATGGGTCTCCTAAAATTTGTACCTGAAGCGTAACCTTTGGCATTTTCATTGAATTCATGACCACAAACTAATGAATTCTTCCAGCTCCAGATTGAGAGGTGACCAGTGAGCTGGAAAAACACTGAACTATTAGCATGAATTTGTAGCATCATCATTTTGCTTGTAATTACAGTGAGATTACCAATATATTCCTTCGCAGATTAATTCCAATTTTGATCATAATGTTGAGTTTAAAATCTCAAGTTACGTTTCTGATTACATTTTTCACAAAGATTTTCAAAATAAGGCAACACAACTGCAAAACCTTTTGATTTGATGAAAATTACGAGCTTAAACGTTCCGCTGCATTACACAAGGTGAACCCTTGGGAATTGAGCTTTCTTTGATACATAATCACTGAAACAGAAGAGAAAAATTATTTTCGGCGTTTACATTAGTGTCTAGCATAATCGTATTGCGTATTCGAACCTTAACCTTTGAGCAATTTCCTACAGATCTTCCAATCACATGTTTGCCACTCCTTGCAAAACATCTATTAATCACCATAGCAATGGAATAAATACTCAACTGTTACACCCTATATACAGTTCTTCGTCTTAAGTGAAATTTAATTTGTTTCAAAATCAGTTAATTTATTTTTTAGATAAACTTAAATAGAACAAACTAGAAATTCATAGAAATAGCTTGGTCCATTTTGACTACGGTAGTGGCTATAAATGGTAGCAGCTAAATTGCTTATATTTGTAGCTCTGAACTGACCACAATAAGGCAGATGTTTTACAATACAACTATAGGCAATCATTAGAGTCACAACATTTCTCTTAAATTAAGACTTTTTCCCCCCCCCAAAAAAAACCAAACTACTAAATTAAAGTTAAAGCAAAAATAGCAGATGCCTTAATTATCCCAGATTAATATAACACTTCAACTAGAAATAGTGTCTGGTCATTTTGCGGTAGGTAGTCAAATTTAGTTATAAATCTTTTTCTTCGCTAGGAAAGCCACAGTAAAGCACCTTTTTGCTACCTTTTTTGACAATTACGTAATGCCATTATTGGAACCTGCAATTATTCTTCCCCGTTTAAATGTCAGTCTGTTCAAACAGCATTTTAAGAATTACCTGGATTCCTTTCTTAAGCAACTAACTCACTTCTTAACAGGTTTCACAGTATTTTAAGTAAGTGTCTTGTTTAAGGCCTGTATTTATTAGGTAGTAAGGAACAATCTACTGGGATATAAATGTATTTCTCAAAATCAAGGCTCCACAATTATGTTACTGGAGGATCAATAGCTGGTAAAGGTCTTGATCCCAGTAAACATATCCCTGGGTTAACATCACAGAAATCAAAACATATCTGCCCCTGTTTTACACATCCAGAGGTCATTGGGACCAATTTGTAAACAGTCTGCATAAGAAACCTTCTATATCTCATAGCCTAACATACATAATGTGTACACACTTGTGCTGAAATACATTCATTGCTCACTCATTGCTAAATTTTCAGGTCTAGGCTAAATTCCCAGTTAATTAAAAACATATTCTTTTACTGTGGTTTTTTTGCTTAATAAATCAGAATTTCTTTCAATCAAATGTACATGTGGAGTCCTGTAGCTCAGTGGTGAGAGCACTCGCTTTGCAAGCGAGAGACCTGAGTTCAATTCCAGGCAGAGCGAAACCTTGGGCAAGTTTCCTTACTCCACACAGAGCCTAATAATAATCCCTCCAAAAAAACAAAACAATAATAAATTGGTCATTTTCAATCTACGACTGTTTGTGGGACATTGCTGTGCGCAATTGGCGGCCGTGTTCGCCCACAAATATACAGTCAATTCACTCTACAGTGTGTTCTGTGAAGCTCTTTGGGACGTCCTCCCGACGTGAAAAGCGCTATATCAAATGCAAGGATTATTATTATTATTATTACATGTCATGGTACTATGCTCAAGAGTTGTTTTAGGGAAGAAATTACTGCTCAAAATGACTAGTAGTGAAAGTGTGAAATGGGAAGTGCGTTAAATATCATGATAAAGGACGCCACGTGTACGAGTGAGTTTCCAGTTTTGAAAGGCATCTTATGACTCAGAGGGTATTAATACGGTAACTTTATGTCTTGTAGGAAATCCCTAGCTATATATTTCCTTTATTTCCATGGTGGACTTTCACAGAGTATTATGCTAAATTGTTTACCAAAGTTTTTAAATACTGATTGCTCAGTTAAGTCACATTTATTCACTACAACGTCTTTTTACCTGATACCCTAGCTTTCCAACAGAAAACCAGTCATTTAAACAGTGACACCAGTTCTGTAGCTCGTCTTACATAAAACTACCACCGTATATATTCACGCATATTCACGCTGCACTCATCCGCCAATACAGGCACCAAGCAAAACAATTCCTGAACAAGGTTGTGACGTCTCGACGCCAGTCATGAATTTAACATTATTGGCCTCCTGACTTTTGGGAATTTGATGTCATTTTTTTTAAAAATGTAAACTGGGCCTCTAAGTAAACTGTGGCTACATAATGAAGATAAGATGCGTTCACTGAACATGAGCTTCACTCTTCAGGAAAATTCTACGGGCTGTGAAGCAACACGTGCAGAAAACTGTCCATTCAATTCTATCCTACCTTTAACTTTCAGATATTGATCGGACAACATATTTCCAGCATTTTTGTTTTAATTCTAGAAATTAAATGATTGAGGTATGGCGCCGCCTGCAGGCTCTTTGTAACACTGCAGCGATTTTTAAAAAATCATATCCTGTGTAATAATAATAATAATAATAAAACTATCGCTGGTACCAATTTAGGGCAATTCATGTATTTAAACAAGTCAACACTTATCTGGTTTTGACCTTCACCCATTTTCTTTTACTATTAAAAGTACGATGCATTTTAAAGGAGTTGTCGTTGCGAACTCGCACTTCAAATCGTCCCCAAAGGTAACCGGGTGGCTCGGAGATTGTTTCAAAGCCACAAGTTTGAATCCAGCCCACGTGTTTAAGATTAAAGTCTCATCTGCCTGTTATCTAGAAGGGTGGAAGGGACCCAAACTAAATGAGTTTGAGGAATTTGAAATCAGTTCTCTCTGTGGGTCTGCTGTAGGACAAAACTGGCTTACACTGGCTCTTACAATCACAGAGGTACCTGACAGCTGGATTGGGGGTGGAATGTGCGGCACATACAATGGATAGGATCGCTTCTGAGGTGGGAGATAAGGCACATTCATGGGGTAGAGCCATTGAGTTACAGTGTCGCCATATCCTTACAGACTTGTAAGTGTTGGATGCTAATAGTAGATGCCCCCAAATGAAAAAGCATTTCCACTTCCCAGTCTAACACCCTTCACCTTAATGAGCACAAAAAAAATCACCAAAAGCTCTGCTACAGCAAAAAAAAATGGACATCTAGATATGTTTACACTGCAACTTGTGCAGTGTAGTTTTCTCCATTTTTAATTTGAGTTTCTAATCAAACTAGAAAATTAAATATAATTTGCAATCCCAAATGTGGCTTTGTGATGATACCATACTTTTAGAATAACATTGTTACATGTCTTTCAGTAAAATTATGACAGAAAATGAGCTGAACAGACACCACTCACGTGCCACCAAAATGACCAGAAACCTTTCTGGTTTTGGAACTTTGTACTTGATGGAACTCACACAAAATAACCTCAGAGGCACTGGACAGATTCTGAATGATGTGCCAGAGATAAAGGATTTAAAGCTGTAAAAATAGGCACGTCAAAATGATAATGGAAACGTTCTTAGATTGCTGCTTACAAATCTTTATCTAACAGCTCTGCTCCTTTAAAATACACGCGATGATCATAAATATTTTAAGTTAAAACATGAAATGTAACAGCCGCAAATATTGCAGGAACAACAGTGTGCAACACTTAAGTGATACAACCCTGATATTTCATTCAGTTGCTAAGGCGATTGAAAATATATAAAACCATGATGGTGACTCAATTAAATGATCCTGCTTACAAATGTAGAGAGAAATCAGTAGCTAAGGTAATTTCAAGGTATGCCTGTGGTTTCCATGAGCTGATCACAAAACTGTTATAGAAGGGCACTTAAAAATTTAAGAAAATCTGTATTACCTGGAACACTGAACTCACTCAGCGAGTGGAGAAATGGGCCTGTTTAAGAAATTGAAAAATCTACAATAATCCACCCAGATTTATTTTCTTCATCAACAAAAGTCTCCAAAGTGTTAATGGCTACACTGCAAATGGAGTTTGCTTAAAATATTTATAACATTATATTTGAACAATTGTCCATCTAAGCTGGAAAGGAGTTCAATTTCACCATTAAAAAACACCAGAAACCTATATATTAGTTTCTAATTCCCAGACAATAAATATGCCACAACATTAACAGTTAACATGTTCTGTGACTATTAAGGCAGAAACCTTCTAAGACTCAATAAAATAAACTCAAATGAGTGAAGTCATGCTTTTTATATATAAAAGGCCCTCACAAAGTAAACAGGGGGCTCAAAAATGAGGGCCAAGCTTTTAAAATACCAGTCATTTGATCAGCTCATGGTTTAATCATCCCAAATGCACACGTTCCGTTTCACTCATAAAACTCAACAGCCATCCCAGTACATTCTGGTAATATGAGGTAGATGATGTTCATGTGGCTATCACACCTCCCCAAAGTTGGTGTGTCCCGTTTCTTTAGCATGATCCCTAGCTTCTACCTGGCCCACCAACCCCCTCTGGCACACCATGCATCGTAGCGTGAATCTGTTCAAATCGGTAAACTGACGTTTTTGTCTAGCTTCATCTGCCAACTCCAGGGCCTGAGCAAGTACAACATCATCCGAGGTGGAGAATATGGTCTGCGGGGGCGATTCAGGGTCTGCAAAATGGCGCTGGAGAGGGTCATAATGAATTCCATCGTAAATGAGAAGGACGCGCTTGGTGTAACCTTCGTCCTCCCCAAACCTGTCTACTCGGACGGTCTGCGTGTCCACCACACAGATCTCACACTGGTAAAACTTGGACAGAATGGAGATTTCAATAGCTCCTCCCCACGTGTCATTCTGTTGAATCCAGTTGCAGTATTCCCAATTGCTTTTCCCTAGTACAGCTTCGGAGTAGGCATCAGAGTTACGTGCCACAATCTGTGCGATCAGGTTACGCATTTCCGGAGCACAGTTAGGCTCATGAATCCCTCCTTCCACAACATAGTGGATGCTGGTGAAGAGACAGGAATTATCTGCAGGAACAACATGTCGGTTCAGCAGTGGCAGGGTCTCCAATATTGAATGCTTGGCACTGGAATTTGACACAGCACTTTGGGTATTCGATTTGTCCTTTTCTTCTTCCACAATCAAAGTGTCTCCTATAAGACAAATAAGTAAATGTGAGGCACCCTAACAATTTGTTTAGGCAATTGACAGTGCTAAGTATATCAGCAAACCACAAGGTAGAACAGCCAACCACATGAGAAGCCTCCACGGTCTTGCCCCTCCTTACCTCTGAGACCTGCTTACCTCATATCAACCTGTCCCCTCCCTCCGCTCAGCAGGCTGTGGCCTGCTCCACGTTCCCCGCCATCGGCGTTTATTTGTTGGCGAATGTCTACAGCTTTTCTGCCCCACCCTATGGAACTCGCCTCACTCCCTTCCTTGCCGCCTTCAAGGCATGACTCAAAACCCTCTTCTTCGACCACCCAACTACCCTTCCTGCCTTCCACCCGCTCCGACCACCACCTTGGGTCCAAATCCCTGACTATTCAGCGCCTTGGGATGTCCTCCCGACCCAAAAGGCACTATACAAATGAAATTTTGTATTGTATGACGTGAACTAAAGTTCTGTTTTACCAATTGATTTAAGGTATTGCGACACAGCTATTTTCACAGCAGTTATGGAAACAAATTGTATCCTTTACATATTTATTTTGGTCGGATGGCAAAGGGAGAACTGCTCCATGGGAGATCAAGTAGGCTACAGAAAGCTGCTTCTTGCTTAAGAGCAATTTGTAGCCATTTTTTCAATAACTAGTAGATCATGTATGCGCATCTGTCATCCCATGAATTCATAAAATCTTATTCATATTAAATAATGTAGAATTAATAGAGTTTACACCTAACACATCTTATCACAGACTGTCATTCTTGTCATTCCATTACTGTCTATGAACAGTCTATGAAACTGGGACAGACTCCAAAGTAAGCAGAAAACGCAGCTGTCTTTTCTACTACATATTTAAAATGGTTATACTGACAGCAAAGCAAGAGCACTATACCACTGAAGCATGGACAATTCGGCATAGAAGGCCACCATTTAGTCCACAGGAGCTATTTGATCTATAGACATTCGCCTACAAATACACAGTCACCACATTTTATAGTAATTCTGTGGAGCATTTTCAGAGGTTTCAACAATGAGGTAAGGCAATACATCAAATCCGAGGATTAATTTAATCCCATTCCTTGCTCTTTCAACAGTTTAAATTTTTTTTTCTAATTTAAGTAAAGGTGAACGCCCTGGATAGATATGTTCTTTTATCAGTCAGTTGGCCCATTTAAACTTATTCCTTGCCACTTATCTTGAATCTTGGACCATTCAAATTAATTTATCTTTTGAGACAGATGAATAACCTTGGCAAAACCTTCCAAGATTCATCTCAAGTGTTTTTTTTTGCTGATTCCCCAAATCCAGCAAAAATTTAAGATATCAATCTACAACAATACAACTAAAAACAACTTGCATTTATATAGCACCCCTTACGCAGAGTAGCATCTCACTTACAACAGCACCAGAGAAGGAACAGTAGGAAGAGAGAGAGGAAGAAATTAAATGTTGTTCTCTGAGTTTGATCATGCAGAGACTATATATTTATATATATATACACACACACATATATATTTACACACACACAGTATATCTATACACACATCCACTTACTACAAGCGACAAAAGAAAACAGGCCAAAATGACCAATCCGAAATTTGGTAAGAAAACTGAGCCATTAACATGTTACTGTCCTTTACAGACTTTGCTAAATCCCTGTCTTGTTTCATTACTCCTGCAGACTTTGATGATTGCAGCTATACTGCTTGATATTATTATATTATTATTATTGATCTGTATCAAGTACCATTATTATTTTTTCTCTGTGGTGTGCATTCAGTCAACTCACCAGATTTGATAGGAAACTCCTGAAGAGGTACATCTCCATTACGAAGATCGAGACTGGATGGAGGAAAACCCACCAGGATTTTCTGAACTTCACATGGAATTCCAGTGAGTTCTTCTATCTTATCTTTCAATTCTTGGACACTGGAAACCAAAGTCAGCCCCTGCATCAGGTGAGTCCCATTCTTTGCTTTACATCGCAAACGCAGCATCCTACTCTGTAGGGAACACAAGAATTGCTGACATTATACAATGGACTATTGTTTTCTTCTTACATTCCTTCATCAATACCTTCTGGATGCCACGACCAACAAACAAACAAACCACTTTAGGTAACCCACAAAAAAACTTCAAATGTACAATCAAACTCAAAATTGTGAAGGATTCTGTGTGTAGTTTCAGTTCAAAATGTTGACTTCTATAAAATTTAACAAAAAACAGCAATGTAAACAGTGTATTGCTTATGTTACAGTCTATACAAAACAATGGTTTGAATCCATTCAACAACTGTATTGTAGAATATGCTGATTTGCTTTCCAGACTGATTGAATAAAAGCTACATTATGGATATCAACATGTGAAAGAATTTGACACAACATAATTTTACTTGAACCTTTACTTGTAATTTGCAGAATACTGACCACATGGAATTTTGAGATCCATTAAACAATTCTTTTCCAAATTCCAATGCGTTAGTCAGACCGCACGAAAAAAAACACATAAAAATAAAAATCTCCTACCAAAAATATATATTTAAAAATATTTAATTGGCAATGTACTCTCAGGCAGTCTCTCATCTTCTCTCAGTGTGATTTATTTTATTTACAGCTTTCCATAAATTAAATTTTGCTCAGATCTCTCCCCCTCTTATATTGCCACTGCTTATTTTGGTCTGCCCACTAAAATCAGTCACTACTGAATCTCTACCATTTGAACTTTTTTTCAGTTTCTCGAGATCAGTCTTCAAATTAGAACCAGCTTGTCCTTCATTTTCTTTCTTTGTATTTATTCCTTATCTTAAGAGCATCTTTCATTATAGATCTTTCATGTTTCTTTTGTCGCTCATACTTCAGGGCCATACGTATATTCAATCCAATTCTTCAATACCCACAAAAACACAAAAGGTGTAAAAAGGAGCAATTCAAGACAACAGCTGATCACAAAATTGTTTTTTCATCTCCTAATCAACGGTGGTGGAATCAAAACCATTTTTCTTAAAAAATGTATTATTTATCTGATAACCAATTACCCTTCGGGGAGTGGAGGGTGGGGGGGGGGCAGTGAAGAGTGGAATTTAAATGGAGTCTCCTCCCATTGGGGCAAAGCTAACTCCAAAGTGACGTGTCTAACATTGGACAACCAGAATCAACGTGATTCTCTGTGGCGGTTTTCCTGAGACAGGGGGGTCCACAATACTTTTAAAAATGGCAATGGGGCTTCCCCCGGTGTCAGACACCTGGTTGGCCACACACAAAAAAAATTCGAATACAATAAGTAGGAAGGTGGACCCCCAAACCAACAATCACAAACACAATAATAAAACACACCATCAAATCCACACGGATACATTGGCCGGCACAGACACGATGGGCCGAATGGCCTCCTCCCGTGCTGTATTAATTCCGTGATTATTCCAATCTTATCAATTGATATCCATGTTTTACATCAGTCCCATCTTCTTAAATATCTATTGACTCTTACACTTAATCTACACTTTGTTACACACATCATGGAAACAGACTATTCAGCCCAACTGGTCCGTGCCGGTGTTCACACTCAAGAGCTCCCATTTCCCTCACCTTTTTCCCCCTTCCCCTCCTATGCATTAAAATACTCCCTTATAAACATTCCGAGAGCTAAAACAAGTTCCCAAATGAAACTGGCCGCTCATTATTTCGTGGCTGCATTGCGGGACAGGTGCACGGGGGCGACCGGGCTGCCACCTCTCCCTGCAAAATACGCGGGGTCACCCCCGCCCCCATTTCACAACCATTCCTGTGAAGCGCTTGGAGGTGTCCTTCCGACCGGGGCGATAAGGCGCTCTACCCTACCCTACCACATGCAAAGATTATTATTATTATTATTATTAGGATTATTGTGCATTTATGTAGGCAGTCAATCAATCAATCAATCAATCAATCAATCAATTCGATCAATCAATTAATTAATTCATTAAATCAATCAATCAATTAATGATTTCATTCATTCATTCATTCCCTGTCTCAGGATGTGTGTGTGTGTGTGTGTGTGGGGGTGTGGGGAGGGGAGGAGGGGTAATAAATCTGCTCCTTGCACAGATGGTCAGTGCAGGGCGGCGCGATGCCCACCAGACAGACACTGTCTCCATGACTACCGGGCCTTGCCCGACCCTCCCTGACAACCCGCCTAACTGCAGCCCCCACCTCCACCCCGGGGGCTGCTTCGGGAGCGGGACTCGCCACGGAAACCCAAGGCTTCGGCGCTTTTACGAGACTGTTCCCTCCCCGATCCCTCGCCGACGACGTTACGGCCAACAACACGCGCTCATTACCCACATAAAAAGGGGGAGAGGAGAGAGAGAGAGAGAACCTGTCGGGATGAGCTCCGCCGTTCAACGATACCTGACCGCAACCGCCGCCTCGCTGACAGGGCGCGTCTAGTGCGCATGCTCAGCGGCGTCAACACACGCACACACACAGGGGGCGGGGTCTAGGCTGTGGTCACGTGTCGAGGAGCGGTGCACTCACAGAGCAAGGTTGGTGGGGCGTTGGTCACGTGCTGAGGATCACATGACTCACAAGGTGAGGCGGGGGCGTTGATCACGTGCTGAGGATCAGCGGGAGGTCGGGCCGTCGGTCACGTGCGAAGGATCGGAGCGTTCCCCCCCCCCCCTCGTCACGTGCCGCGTGTGGCGGAGTCGGCGGAGGAGGAGAGGGAGGGGATGTCCCGGTGACGTCACAGACTGTAGCGTTCACTGAGCGCCGGGTCTCCCTCTCCCTGGTGTGGCCCCGCCCCCTCCTCCCCCTCCTCCTCCTCCTCACCTGTCCTCCCTCTCTCCCTCTCTCTCTCTCTCCTCTCTTTTCAGGCGGTGATTAATCTGACCTCTCGCTGTGTGTGTGTGTGAGGGTGTGTGTGAGGGTGTGTGTGTGGGTGTGTGTGAGGGTGTCGTGTCTCTCTCCCTCCATTTGTCCGCGACCGATGCGCTTTCGCCCCCCGGGATGTCTCAGCACTCCACGGCGGTGCGGAGAGGTAAGCGGTTCAGGTTATTGAAGGGGAGTGGGGGGGGAGTGGGGGGGGAGTGGGGCAGAGCATCCGAGCGGCCGCTCCATGTGGATGGGGGGGAAGGACGAGGGGATGGAGGGGGGTGTGGGTGGGGGGGAGGCAGATGGGTGGGGGGGAGGCAGATGGGTGGTGGGAGGGGGTGTAGGAAGAGGGAAGTGGGGGGGTTGTGTGGAGGAGGAAGATGGGGTGGAGGAACAGATGGGGTGAAGGAAGAAGAGGGGGAGGAAGAGGGGAGGTGGGGGGGGGAGACTGCCTGTAAACAACTCAGAAAGCTTTTGACACTCCCAAGAGGAGGGGGGAAACGGGGTGGTGGGGGGTGGTGGGGGGTAGGAAGTTGTGGGGGGATGTGGGGGTTGAGCTGTCACTCTTCATCTTAATGAAGAGGATCTCACGTACTCGGCGTTTGACCTGTAGCGGTGGCACAGCGATGGCGAGTGATGGCAGTGACAAGGTTACCGTGTACTGGGGTCAGGTTTCACTGCAGGTGGGGAGGATCCTCGCGTCTTTGGTGGCAGCGACTCTCCCCCTCCCCACCGCCCCCCCTCCCCATCCCTCCCCCTCCACCCCCTCCCCATCCCTCCCCTCCCCATCCCTCCCCCACCACCCCATCCCCATCCCCCCCCACCCCCTCCCCATCCCCTCCCCCCTCACCCCCTCCCGTCTCCCAGCTGCGCAACGTGTCCATTTGCCCTGGGATCCGAGAAGGCGAATCCTTCCCTAACCCCCACCCCCTCTCCCCACCCCCTCCCCCCTCTCCCCAACCCCCCCCCTCTCCCCCCCCCCCCCCTCTCCCACCCCCACCCCCCTCTCCCCACTCCCACCCCCCTCTCCCCACCCCCCCCCCTCTCCCCACCCCCTCCCCACCCCCTCCCCCTCTCCCCACCCCCTCCCCCTCTCCCCACCCCCACCCCCCCTCTCCCCACCCCCACCCCCCTCTCCCCACTCCCACCCCCCTCTCCCCACCCCCACCCCCCTCTCCCCACCCCCCTCTCCCCACCCCCCTCCCCCCCCCCTCTGCCCCCCATCCCCCCTCTCCCCACCCCCCCTCTCACCCCCCCACCCCCCTCTCCCCACCCCCCCTCTCCCCACCCCCTCCACAAAGTTTCTGGTGATATAAATGATTTCTATCAAACGCAAGGATTATTATTATTATTATTATGATGATGATGATTATAAATGGACAAGAAAAAGCCCCCCCCCCCCCACCCCCCCCCCTCTCTCTCTCTCTCACACTCACACTCACACACCAGAGCTGTCATCTGCATAACATTATTTTTGATTATTTTTTGCATGTCAGGGTTTTGCCAACACCGACTGCGCCGGGAGACATTCGCCCCGACAGCAAAGGGAGCGAGGAACGCACGTTGACAGTTATTGGCGCAGAATTAATGATCGGATCCGGACACTTTGTTCGCATTCCTATTTTTTTGGGGGGGCGGGGGGGGGGGGGGATTGAAACCCAAGCGAAAGGGCCCCAGTGCTGCGCGACATTGCCACGCCAAGGTTGTGAAGCGAGTAGCAGTGAACCAAGAAAGACCAGTTTGGTGAACCGTTCTTAAGGGAGTTAGCGCGGAGGAACGTAGGCGCAGGAGGACGCCGTTCAGCCCCCTCGAGCCTGTTTCGCCATTCCATAAGCTCAGGGCTGATCTGTGCCGCCAGTCCAATTACCAGCGTGAAGGGCGCGACATAAATGCAAGTTGTTATTGCACAACTAGCTGAATTGTATGAAGAAGAAAAGACTGATAGGCACAGGCAGGTGTGGGTAATTGCAAGGGTTTTCCTTACGTCTATTATTGGAAAATTCCGTGCTTGATTAAGTTATAAAACGTACACTATTATTTGTCAATCAACGCACGATACACCTATGTGAGTTAGCATAAAGGACTCGCCTCACAGGCGAGAGGACCCACGTTCGAAGCGCTCAATAGCGGGGTGATCCTGTAGAAGCATCGTACTGTTTCTCTTCCCTCCGGTGATACACCTGACTTTTATGTCGGTTGCAGTTTCACAGGCATCGGCAAGGCCTCTGGGTTGGTGTCACAAGTACTGCACTCATATTTCATGTGTGATTCCATGTCAGTGCATGTCACCATTCAACACTTCAGGCCTGAATTTCTGTTCTGGTACCAGGCTGAGCAAGAAACGAAATGAGAAATAATAAGAATAATAATCCTTGCATTTGATATAGCGCTTTTCACGTCTTCTATACGTCTCAAAACGCTTCACAGAATATACTGTAAAAAGAAATGAAATGAGAAATAATAAGAATAATAATCCTTGCATTTGATATAGCGCTTTTCACGTCTTCTATACGTCTCAAAACGCTTCACAGAATATACTGTAAAGTGAATTGACTGTATATTTGTGGGAGAAAGAGTGAAAAAGTCAAAAGAGAGAGAAAGCGGCAGAGGTTGATTGTAGAGCTCGATATTGTGTTAATGATAGAGCCAGAGTATTTCCATTAAGTCATCGCTGCCGCGTTTCACCCAGAAAATACACAGTCAATTCACTTTGCAGTGTATTCTGTGAAGTGCTATGAGACGTCTCGAAAACTTGATGCGGTCAGCCAGCACTGCAGAACAACTGATGACCCATCGCCCCCTGATTGCGAAACCTGGCTCCGCCACTGATAGGATTTCTCAGTCCGCAATTGATGGAATGTGAATGGGCAAATAATACTAAATCCTGCCATTTGACAGAGCCCCTATAACACGAAAACACCAACAGAACAAGCAGAACGGGTCTCCATCTTAGATGTATAATAGCGGTTAATCCAGTGCAGTGAGGTTGTCACGCAAACTCAAGGCTGGAGGCTCTGGCAATTGGTATATGGGCTCCATTCCATAAACAGTCTTTTTCCCAGAGGTCCTACACACCTCCTCTCAGCTGTGTTGATGATACTTTTGGGAGCTAAACTGTCTTTCCTTTGCTTGGCTCTCTCGTTTGCGTATTCAGTCAGTATATTTATCTCTGCGCCTGAGCATTTTATCTTTCTACCGTTCCTTGGTTTTGCATCTTGATCTGTTTGTCGTTCAATAGAGACAGGGTTTCTTGACCTTTGCAGGCATGGAGTTAAAGCTCAGAAATATGTCTCCCTTTACACGACTTTCTGCATAGAAAATCCTTGTGGTGCAAAAACACGTCCGAGCATATTGTTGCATTACACATGAAATATTATAGCTGGTGAAAATCTTGCTGCTGCTTTTTCTGTGCCTTTGCTCTTAACAGTGTGGAGTCCTGTAGCGTATTGGTTAGGGCAATCTAGAGAGCAAGAGGACCAGGGTTCAATTCCCAGGCAGGGCACAACCTGAGGCAAGTATCTTTACTCTACACGCCTCTGTTTACAAGCAGTAAGTAGGAACCCGGTTGTTAGTCGATTGGTGGATCGCTTTCAGGGTGTAATAATCCACCCAAAAAATAATAATAATTTGGTCATTCAATCCACGACTGTTTGTGGGACACTATTGTGTGCAATTAGCTGCCGCATTTCACCCAGAAAATATAGCCAATTCCCTAAACAGTATATTCTGGGATTGCTTTGAAACGTCTCAATGATGTGATAAGGTGCTTTATCAAATGCAAGGATAATAAATATGTTATTTTATCACTCATGCAGCATGGCCTTCACACATGACCAACTGGCCGACCTTGATTGTAATGATCGGACTGCCTGCTCGAGGAAAGACTTATGTTTCTAAGAAGCTCACCCGCTACCTCAACTGGATCGGAGTCCCCACCAAAGGTAAGTGACACACCATGTGCTTTGTCTTAAGATATTTTTATTCTGTCACTTCCTACTTGATCCTAATCTTGTTTACCTTTGCTTTCACCTTCAGTTTTCAACCTGGGTCAGTATCGACGTAATGCTGTGAAATCGTACAAGTCCTACACTTTCTTCTCTCACGACAATGAAGAAGCGATGCAGATCCGAAAGTGAGCCAATGGACCTAGGATCTGACTTGTGCTGCCCTCAATACACTTACTAACCCGTCCCACACAGTGGAGTGACCAATTGCTATTAAACAGCAAGCATTACTATTTTGTTAAAACTACATATTGTTTTGTAGGCTGTACCTATCTCATACAATCATAATAATCATCCTTGCACCTTGCACATCAGAAGGGTATCTTAAAGCGCTTCACAGGGTTTCAGGTGAACATAAGTACAGTGACTCTGTTTTCTGGGCGAATGCGGCAGTCAATTTGCAGACAACAATGTCCCACAAACAGCCACAAAGCAAATGATCAAAGGATACTGGGAGGAATTTTTTTTTTTTTTTCCGATGTTACCATGCAATCTTTAACGTCTACCTGAACAGGCACAAATGGGACCTCGGTTTAATGTCTCACCTGAAGGAAGGCAACTCCAACAATGCAGCACTCCCACAGCTCTGTGTCTGCCTGGACTGTGAGTTAAAAGTCCTGATGGTGGGGTTTGAACCCGCAAACTTCTGACTCAGAGGCAAGGGTGCTGTTGCAGGCTGACACCTAAGGTGCATGGAGCTCACTTTTCATATTATGCTTAGTTTTATATGAGCTTGATAACCTGGGAAAATCACCAGAAGCTTTGGGGTAGTTGATGAACTGAACTCTTAAGTAGAAAATGGATGGCAGGACCTGTAAATCATGAGCAAGAGAGGCAGAAGCATGTGATTGGTTAGTGGAATGATCGTGTATATGTTTTGCCCATTGCTGCAGATGTCTAGTGCTTTTATTGTATCTCTTACATCAGAAATTACACAGTTAGGAAGAAACGGGAGTAGGCCATTCAGCCCCTCGAGCCTGTTCCGCCATTCTGTTAGATCGTGGCTGATCTGTACCTCAACTCCAATTACCCGCCTTTCCTCCATATCCCGTAATACTCTGACTTAACAAAAATCTATCCACCTCAGTCTTGAAAATTTGAATGGATCCAGAATCCTCAGCCTTTTGGGGGAAAGAGTTCCAGATTTCCACTCACCTTTCGTGTGTAAAAATGCTTCCTGATCTCACTCCTAAATGGCTTAGCACTGTTTTTAAGGTTATGCCCCCTTGCTCAGGATTTCCCCCCGGGTAAAATTGCTGACCAAAATTCAGATTCCAACCTGGACAAAATCTAACCTCAAGCCCTGCTGACTGTTTGGTTTAAATCTTTATTAACCAACGCTTTGTTGTTCACAGGCAGTGTGCCATTGAAGCCCTCAAAGACGTGAAATCCTACCTCACGTTGGAACAAGGACGGATTGCAGTAAGTTGGTGCCATTGTTTAGATTGTAATCAGTGTTTCATTAACCACTTAGTCTAAATGTTTGTAAGCTGACCTTGTGTGACTTTTCATTTACTGATGCTTGGTGTGATCTGAATGTCGTGGGTAATGACAAGTGCCAAATGAGGATTAACTGAGGACATCCAGCTCCTATTGAAAGCTATTGTTAACCTGTTTTGCAAAGGATTATGCTAGCCTTTAAAAGGATCCCAGGGCACTATTTGTATTTAATTGAAATATAATACGTGGGTCAATTGATTGCGAATGCCTTTTCTCTTCGTTTTCCATTTCTTCTCCACTTCAGGTATTTGATGCCACCAACACCACCAGAGAGAGGAGGCATTTAATCCTGGATTTTGTTGAAAAGAATGAATTCAAGGTTAGAATTTGGCGGGGGAGGGGGTGAGGGAGGAAGGATAATATAAGGAGCAACACCATTTCACAGAACATACTGTGAAGAATATCTTCACAGAATGTACTGTAAAGTGACTTGACTGTATATTTTGTGTTTCGTCCACAAGATATCCAGTCAATTCACTTTACAGCATATTCTGTGAACTGCTTTGAGACGTCTCGGCAACGTGATAACGTCAAATGCAAGGATTATTATTTCCCATTTGTCGGTGCTCCCAACGTTAATTTTGCTATGAATTCCTGGTGCGTGAATGGACATCTCAGATTACAGTAGAGCCCTGTTATAACATGGTAATTGAAGAAGAGGGTGTCCATAAGCACCAACCAGCACTGTAACAGGCGACTTGAGCAATTGGTGTTCGTCTACCGCAATGCTATCATATGACCATTGACGTAACTGCACAGGAAAATGGCAGAGTTCCAGGTTGTCAGGTCACTGCTGATGATGTTACTTCCTACGTGCAGCATGGCCATGTTTAACGTGCGGAAAGCTAGCCAGTCCACTCGTCCAGGCCAAACGTGGTTCCATAGCACACGTGCATAATAACTAAACCAGTGTTATCTAGGCTGTTTGTGGGGACGCTGCTGTGCGCAATTGGCTGCCGTCTTTCGCCCACAAATATACAGTCAATTCACTTTGCATTATATTCCGTGAAGCGCTTTGAGACGTCTCGAAGACGTGAGAAGGCGCCATATCGAATGCAAGGTTATTAAGGATTATCATTATTAAACTTGGTTACCTTCTGTATGATATGTGCCGTGATGTATTGTTAGGTTGGGAAACTGGTAACCAGTGAGCTAAATAGAATAAATAGCACCGTTTATATTTTGGAATATCTTCCGGCATGGCTACAGTTTTGCAGGAATGTGTGGAAAATAAGTGTTTTCGTCAATATTTCAAACTCAAGTCCTACAGTTATATTTACTTGACAGTTATTTAATTGCTCATGCTGAACTTGTGACTACAAGTTCTGACGCAAAAAAATGCTGAAGTAGATCTACATACCATGAAACATTATACGCGCATCTTAAATAGCGCAGTTAAATATCGTCCTCCTATTCCTATCTTACTGTTAAAAATTAACCACAGTAGACAACAGATGTTCAGACATAAGCAATAATATAGTTACTTGCATTTGTCTAGCACCTTTCAAGTAAAAACAAACACCTCAAAGTGCTGTGCGAACTATAATTGATTAGAAATAAAGTGAATATTGTGTTAGAGACAAACGCATCTGCTAATCTGCGCCAACAATGTCCTATAAACAACCATAAGATGAGCATTTCATTGAGTTTTCATTCAGTAATTGGGTTCATTGATTCACTGTTGGATCATTTTCTGTTTTCAGGTCTTTTTTGTTGAATCTGTCTGTGATGATCCAGAAGTTATTGCTGCAAATATAACGGTAAGTTAAAAATCACAGCTGAAGTCATCTCAAATTCAGTCTGATAAATAACAATCCTTGCATTTGATGTGGCGATCACATTGGGTGGATGTCCCAAGGCGCTGGACAGTCAAGGATTTAGACCCGAGCTGGGGATCGGGATCAGGAGGGATGGTGGGTGGGAGGGTGACCGAAGGCACGGCCGAAGAGGAGGGTCTTGAGACGTGCCTTGAAGGAGACAAGGGAGGGGGCAACCTTTCCTCCCTCTCCCCTTCCCCAGGAGTACAGTCACCAGTTGGTAATTGGGGCAGAGTATTTGCATATTCGCAGAAGAAACGAGTGGAGGAACTTGATGCAATGATTTAATCCCGGTTGGATATCCGGTCAATGATTGACATCTCACATCTGTGAATACAGGAGGTGAAATTAACGAGCCCGGACTACGAAAATATAGACAAAGACCAAATCATGGATGATTTCCTCAAGCGAATTGAAACCTATCAAATAACCTATGAACCTCTGGATCCAGATGATTATGACAAGTAAGCGTTTGTTTCCTTATTTCTGGCTGTCGCTTGGCTTTTCGTCATTTAACATTTTGCACGATTGGATTTGCCGGATGTTTGTCCGTTTGCCGATACAACAACTTGCATTTACGCGGCGTCCATCAGGCCCGGGCAGCGTCTCGGAGTGCGTGTACTTATATCTGACGACTGAGATTGTGCTTCTAATCGCAGGGATCTGGCCTTCATTAAAGTGATTGATGTCGGCCGCCGGTTCCTCGTGAACAGAGTCCAGGATTACATCCAGAGTAAAATAGTCTATTACCTGATGAACATTCATGTCTATCCCGTGCCATCTTCTTGTGTCGTCACGGAGAGAGTTTGGACAACCGACATGGCAGGATCGGTGGGGACTCGGGCTTGACACATCAGGGACAAAAGGTACAGCAGGAATCTGCATTGCTTGCGTTTGTTGCACCTGCTGTAGAAGGCGTAGGGGTCGTGTTTGAAAGGATCATGGAGTGAATTTTAAAACGCTTTGCATTGGAATTTTTTCTTTTGCGGGATCAGGAGGGGTGAGAGGGTGACCGAAGGCACGGTCGAAGAGGAGGGTCTTGAGACGGGCCTCGAGGGAGACTTGGGAGGGGGCAACCTTTCCCCCTCCAGTTTGGGATCAGAGCCCGAGGGAGAAATGTGCATCGGGTTATCATATGACCGAAAAATGATTTGTTAACGTCTGATGGATTCTTCAACGAGAACGCTGCTTTTGATGTGTTGTGTCCACACGTTTCTCTCCTGTAGCCAGTGACTCGGGCTAGGGCAGGTCTAAAGGCATTTATTGCATGTGTTGTTATTGTAGGGCATGGTTCAATACTCGCCCAAGCGGCCATTCTTCGTGCCATAGCCCAGACTGCGTGTCGTCAGGCAATTCAACTGTGGTTACAGCCCAGGCCAACCCTGCCCTTCCTAGCCAAAGAGGGCTTGGGCCATCTTTTGCACCACCACCACTGCTCCAGATTAGGTAACTCAGCTCGTGCTGGGAACGAATGGTCAATCCAGTTTCCCATTATAAGTGTTATAGCGCACAATGTACTAAGCTTTCCAGCACACCCAGCATCACCGGCTACCTTTTCCTTTTGAGTGTGGGATAGAATATTACATGGCCGATAGTTTCAGGACTGAAGGTGCATCCTGGACCTACTAATTGTAATTTTCTTTTGTCGGCCGGGTGTCTGACACATGCGGAAACCCATCACCCTGCTTAGGACTATCCAAACCAAACTGATCCTAATTGAAAGAAGTAAAGTTTCTTGAGATCAGGGCTGGTAAATAGCAGTCCCTTGGGGCTAAGGTACACGAGCTTTCACGAGCATGCTTTACTTGCTTCACCTCGATCCTCGTGCTCTCTACCTGTTTTGCCTATTTCAATAATAACTCGTCATACATTTCACGCCTCGAAGCGAGTGTTTGCTTGCAGGCAGGCGATGTCCAGAATAAAAGCGCTGCTTGTTGGAACTGATGTTCTGTCAATGTCTCTGGTACAATATCTTTCAGTTTGCCAAAGCTTTGTACAGTTTCATCAAAGATCAGGCAGTTACCGACCTTAAGATCTGGTGTAGCGAGATGAAACGGACAATCGAAACAGTGGAGCATCTCAATATACCATACGAGCAGTGGAAAGTCCTCAATGAAATCGATTCAGTGAGTAGCAAAAGCTTGTGCTTTGACTATGCTTTCAGTCATCACATACACCTTACAGCACCCTCTTCAGTTCGCCCTCCTCCCAGGCTTGGGTGCCCAGGCCAGCTATATTAATAATAATAATCCTTACATTTGATATAGCGCCTTATTACGTCGTTGAGATGTCTCAAGCTTCACTGAATATACTGTAAAGTGGATTGACTGTATTTTATGGGTGAACATATATTTTATTAAGCGCTTTGAGACATCCTCCTGACGTGAAAGGTACTCTATGAACGGAAACCGTATTGTCCTGGGAAGCCCAAAAGTACAACCTAAGGAGATGAAGTAACTCTTTAAAATCCAGCTTTGGCTTGGTGAATTTTTAAACGCATCAGATTCAAGAATTGTTGCAAATACGTTTGAACTCGAGTGATTTTCTGGCCAATTCGCTGCTCTTATTGTATTTGGAAAAATCTCAACCACGAAAAAAAAAATCATTTAATTTCTCACACCAGGGAGTCTGTGAAGAACTGACGTACGTGGAAATTCAGGACAAATATCCAGAGGAGTTTGCATTACGGGATCAAGACAAGTACCACTACCGATACCCAGGAGGAGAGGTACAGGAACTGGCTCTGCACACATACAGTAAACCCAAGGTTGAGTGCATGCTACTGTTTGGTGTGATATATTTTTTGCACAATGAATGGTCCTGATGGAATGTTGTGCATGAGACACGGTCACAGATGTGCAACCAACGTCAGGTCCTAAATTTACACTATGATACAGTTGCACATTCAGCGAGTAGATTGTACTGCTGTCCCACTCTCCCAGTTAAGTTTAAGATCGTTCGCCATCCATTTCAGCAAAATCAAGAAGCATTTCAATACATAAAGTTGCTGCAAGTAGTTTGAATTTGTAACAACCTATTGAACAATTTTATAAATAGGCTTGATAGCGCTTAACAGCTGGCTTGAGCACCCAGCCGGGCTGTTGAAAAACAGTCAATGAAACTCATTGACATAAACTCTTGGATCCCATTAAGGTGACCCATGTTGAAGTTCCCACATACATAAGGGACTGATGGCCAGTTGTTTATACACGCAGCTCAAAGCTGGATTTATTGAGATGAGCTCTTCATGAAACTCATCCTCGTAAGCACAGCATAAACACTAGTTTCCACATAATAGAAGGTCTCTATGCACTTGACAAATGTGGTACGCATCGGCTGGGGAAGATGAGACATTAATGAACGGTAAATGTATGACTGAAATATTGAAAAGAACAGGTTAATGTTATGATCATTGGAACCCACTCTGGTTCTGTTGAATAACAAGGAGAAGCCCATAGTTAGTTACCCAACTCTGTCACTGGGTGGTGATCTAAGTAGGTGGTTCAGCGACAGGCATCAAAGCAACGCCCAATTGTTCTTTGTGCCAAATCAAATCCACGTGAAAGACACAGTATAAAACAGGCCTAATTATGAAGCGTTGGAGTTTGGCTGGTGAAACAACATGGATTATCTTGAGTACGACGTGTTGGCACTGTTTGATTAGGGTTTTCACAATCTGGAATCTAACAGATTCTTTTTCCCCCTTTTCCCAAGTGTGTAAAAAAATATATAATACACAGGTTCGGCAGATTCATTCACACTCCCATCAACAATGCCCCTCCTTAAAAGATCTTGGGAGGGGCAATTTTAATTATTTTTACTCCCCGCTCTTTAAATGCTACTGTGGGCTTGGTGCTTGCGCAAATGAACAGCTCTGTAAGTGTCTTTAGTTATACGATACAACACAAATGTACTTTAATATAGTGCCTTTCATGTTGGGAGGACGTCTTGAGTGCGCTTGACAATCTGGGCTTGATATCTGAGCTGAGTGTGGGAACTGAATGGGCTGGGAGGTTGAAAGACGACCGAAGGTGGGGTCAAAGAGGAAGACCTTGAGATGTGGGGGTAGGACGAGAATCAGAGGGACTGCAGCAGAGAGTTCTAGGGACTGGGGGCAGATAGACTTCAAGCCTGACTGGCGATGGTGGGGTGAGAAGGACGGGAGACACAAATCTGAGTGTAGCTGACCTTATACCCGTTTCCTGTTTAAATTGGCTTTAATGTGGTGCTGCTGAACGTCTGTGTGGTATCACTGTTAAGTAGGAAAGGTGCGTGGTGGACTTTGCTCAATCTGGAAAGAATTCTGTTATCTTTATGACTGGAGAGGAGACGTTTTGCAATGTCTGGTGATTGTTCTGTGGACTCTGGGTATTTGCACATAGCATCATTGTCGTGTTTGTATGTACCATGGCCTGGATGCTCATCCACACGAAACTGCGTATCCCCATTACAACCGATCCTTGCCAGGCTTCACTGGATCCCAATCACCAAACGGATTGACTTCAAGGTCCTTTCACTCATTTTCAAATCACTTAATTCCCTCGCGCCTCCCTACCTGTCCGACTTGCTTCTCCCCCACTTCCACCCACTGCTGGCTCCGGCCTCCTAATTGTTCCACGCGCCCTCCGCTCCACCATCGGGTGGCCATACCTTCAGCCACTGTGCTTTACAGGAGTAATTTTGTTGTTGTTGTTGTCAGACTCTGCCACGGTCAAGTGCTCCGGGACGCTACCCCGAGTGAAGGAGCGCTATATAGGTGCAAGTTGTCGTTGTTGTCATTCAGAATAAAGGAGGAACCTTCCTGTTGTGGTGATTCCATTCATGGTCAACTGCGCTATTCTTTGACGAGTGCTTAGAAAAAGTTGTAGTTTTTGTGGATTATTTACCGGTTAAAAACGTCTAAACTACCAAGATATTTTATGAAACCCGGCACGTCAATCAACGTAACCATGGCGATCTGATATCCGATGATCTCTAATTACTCCATAAGGAAACAGGAAATATGACACACTGGCTTGCTGATGTCAACCTTACATACTTGGAAGCCTACTTTTCTCTGAGTCAGAAGATCTGGGTTCAACCCTCATGTTATGACCTTGAGTCATAGAGCTTAGTGTTGGGCGAAGCTCTGCATTGTCTTTATTGTCTAATTTACTTTACAGTTTATAATAATAATAATAATAATAATCCTTGCATTTGATATAGCGCTTTTCACGTCGGGAGGACGTCCCAAAGCGCTTCACAGAACACACTGAGCGCTTTGAGACGCCGTTTGAGATGTTCTTATGTTCTTATGTCTTGAAGACATGATAAGACGCTATATCAAATGCAAGAATTATTATAAAACCAAAACAGAGAGAGCTGGGAAAACTCAGCAGGTCAGGCAGCATCTATGGAGAAAGGAAAGTGAGTCAATGTTTCGGGTCCACAACCCTTCGTCGTGGACCCTTTTTTGTTTCAGATTCCAGCATCTGCAGTATTTTGTTTTTTGTTCATGCAAGGATTATTATTATTATCATTCGGATGAGATTCTAATCCAAGGTCCCATGTGCCTATTCAAGTGGACATTAAAGTTCATGACATACTTTTTTTTAAAAAAGAGAAGGGAGTTCTTCTCTCCTGGTGTCTTGGCCAACAATTCCCCCAGATAAAATTGGTTGTTCACTTGATGGCATTTTGCGAGACATTGCTGTGTGCAAATTGGCTGCCATATTCACTTACAAATACTTACAAATTCACTTCCGCCCACTAGATACACAGTCCATTCACTTTATAGTATATTCTGTGAAGCACTTTGAGATGGTGCTATAGCAAATGCAAGGATCATTATAAATACATAGCCACTATGCTTTACAGAACAAAAATGCTGTAAAGTGCTTTGACGTACTGTATATCAAATGCATTACTCAATAATTCTATCTATCTGTTTGTGTGCAGTCGTACCAGGATTTGGTTCAGAGGTTGGAGCCTGCAATCATGGAACTGGAGAGACAGGGAAATGTTCTTGTTGTGACACATCAGGCTGTCATGCGTTGCCTTCTGGCTTACTTTCTGGACAAGAAAGCAGGTACGATATTAAGACAATGAATAGTCAGTCACTTGCGCAGTCGTCTGAATTAATTTATCTGCCAACATGGCACAATGTCAAACTATTGCCAAGAGCGTAGGAAATATGCCAAACTACGTAGGAAATATTGTGCAAATGGTATCAAATTGTGTAACTAAACGTATACAGTGGGTATGGTATTGTGCAGCTCCTTGGGACGTTTTGATGATGCAATAAAGCGCTGTATCAAATACAAGAATTATTATTTATATTCTGTGAATAAGCTTTGCAAAGTCTTGTGGAAATATATATATATATATATATTGTCTATGGGGAAATTGACTAGAATTAAAAGTTTGACCCAAATGACTGGCAAATTCTAATAAGGGAAGCCACATTATTTGAAAGAGTTATGTAATCTTTGTGGTTTATTTTATTGCAGAAGATTTACCGTACCTAAACTGCCCGCTACATACAGTCGTGAAGCTAACACCAGTTGCCTATGGTTAGTTATAAGTCTGCTTGCTATGTTGAAATTGCAGCCCAGCCCTGTTTTATCCTGGGTTAGTGAGAGTGACCACTTATTTCTTTCCGTTCCTGACTCAAAACTGTTTTCTGCCATTCAATAGTGCCCGGATTCATTTGCAGCGATAACAAAATGCACTTTAATAACTTGATTTGCCTTCATATTCATGTGGAGTCCTGTAGCTCAGTGGTTAAAGCACTCGCCTCGCAAGTGAGAGACCTGGGTTCGATTCCTGGCAGGACGAAACTTTGGACAAGTTTCCTTACTCCACACGCCTCTGTTTGCCCAGCAATAAGTAGGAACCCAGTTGTTGGTCGATTGGCGGATCGTTTTTCCGGGGGTAATAACTCCTTCCAAAAAAAAATGAAAATATATATTGATCATTCAATCCACGACTGTTTGTGGAACACTGCTGTGCGCAATTGGCTGTCGCGTTTCGCCCAGAAAATACACAACCAATTCACTTTACAGTATATTCTGTGAAGCGCTTTGAGACATCTTCAAGATCCTCTAATTCAAGATCCGCATCCTCACCTACAAGGCCATTCACGGCCTCGCTCCCTCCTACCTCTCTGACCTACTATCCCCCTACCTACCCGCCCGTACCCTCCGTTCCTCTGGCTCCGGTCTGCTCCACATCCCCCGCCCCAACCGCCCTACCATCGGTGGTCGGGCCTTCAGCCTCTCAGCCCCTCGGCTCTGGAACTCTATCCCCAGTGCCTTCGCCGCTTCTTCCCTTTCCTCCTTCAAGGCCGGTCTCAAGACCTTTCTCTTTGACCGTGCCTTCAGCTCCCCTCTCAACTCTCTACCCCCTCCTCGTTCCCTCCCTTCCCTCCCCTCACCATTTCCCCACTGCTCGGGTCCCGACTCAACTGTACAGCGCCTTGGGACGTCCTCCCGACGTGAAAGGCGCTCTATAAATTGAATCTTGTTGTTGTTGTCTTGAAGATGTGATGAGGCGCTATATCAAATGCCAGAATTATTAATTATTATTATAGGATTATTATATATTCAAATTGCAGTGTGTGTCAGCACATTGAGATGATGTTCGTAATCATTTTTCTTTCTTCAATTGTAGATTTTCGTTTAAACCTCTCTTTTTAATTGAAGGTTGCAAAATGGAAACATTTAACTTACATGTTGAAGCAGTAAGCACGTACCGTAAACGGCCATTGGTAAGTAATAGAGTATCGTATAAGTGTCAGTGGTTTCAGGGATTTTTTTATTGCAATGAAACACAAAATATCTCTTCTTTTACTTGTAAAACACTCATAATGAACGAAAATACCGGTTGTCTTCTGTGTAGCCTCTCTGAAGCACATCTTTCGAATATCCTGGATTATAATTGATATCAAGGCAGATTATTAATTATAATAATCCTTACATGTAAATTTGCGTTGCATATAGTGCCTTTCATGTCAAGAGGATGTCTCAAAAACATTACACGATATATTGCGAAATGGAGTGACTGTGTATTTTGTGTGGGTTTGTGCCGCACAATCATTGCTATGACATTGAACTTCAGAAAGCTACTTGTGTTCTTTCATATCTTGGTTCTCACGTATTGCTGAAATTGCCTAAGTTAATTCCGCCGATGTGTGGAGATGCAATATCGCCTTATCACGAGGCAGGTTCAGACAATGAAGCCCATTCAGCCCATTTGATCTCATTCTTCAGAATTCAAATTAGCTCTTCTAATTACAATGTTGTGGTTGGGTATAGTTCTTGGCACTGAAAACCTCTCCTGCTAACCTGGTATCCAGCCAACGATTACCCACTGTGGAAAGAAATAGTTCCTGATGCGAGCAGGGCTCCCACTGCCTCCTCATCCTCCTTGACCTCTCTGCTGCCTTCGATACGGTTGACCACTCTATTCTCCTCCACTGCCTCTCCCCCTACCTCAACCTTCATGGTTCTGTCTTTGAATGTTTGGCCACTCAATCCACGACTGTTTGTGGGACGCTGCTGTGTGCAATTGGCTGCTGCGTTTTGCCCACAAAATATACCGTCAATTCACTTTCCAGTGTATCCTATGAAGCGCTTTAGACGACTCAAAGACGCAAGAATCTCAAATGCAAGGATTATTATTATTATCTAAACCTCAGAGACGTCTCATTTTGAGGCTAACAAGTTTTACCAGATCTGATTGTTCCTCATGGTCCATCCCTCTAACACTGGGGATCAGCCTTTTTGCTCTCTTCTGCCACACGCTCCCGAGACACTACCTCGCACAAATTCAACCCAAGTTCCAAGTTTGCCATTACAGACCAAAGCGCTATACTGCTTCTGAATGACTTTTGTGGGGATTTGAACTCGATTGATTTGCCGATGCAGTCACCGCATCCTGTTTGCTTCACTTGCCAGTTACCGTTCCTGCATGGAATGGTGGCAAGTCAGGTAATACCCTTGGGTTGTTTCTAACCTCCCCCTTGGCAAGTTCCATCTTGCTTTCAACCACATCGCCTTCGTAGTGCGGTTACCAATCTGCCCCCATCTGCAAACCTTCACTTGAATTGAATCGCAGAATTGTTTCTGTTGTGTACTGTTTCTATGGTGAATTTCAACTCGCGTTGCATCTTCTATTTAAGTGTAAAGTAAAACATGGAACAAGCCTTCTGTCTCCCAGGTAAATCCAATTCTATTATTTGACCTTATTCACAATAATTCCTATATGCGTCTGATGCAGTGATCCGAACATCAAAACATGTCAAAGCACTTTGCAGGTAATTGCTGTCAAGTGTAGAGAATGTGGAGATGTAGTTGTTGGTAAATTAAGATGCCTTTGGGAATCCCAAAAGCTAATTTTCCTCTTTTCCATCAGATGTCAAGTAAATAACCCAATTGACTGAGTGAGAACACATCTCCTAAAGGGGATTAATAGATGTGCTCACTGCAAAATTAATTGTTAGTGTCATTCCCGACATGAAAGGCGCTATACAAATGTAATGTTGTTGTTGTATGTGCGCAATTGGCTGCCTCGTTTCGCCCACAAAATATACAGTCGCTCCACTTTGCAGTATTATCCTGTGAAGCGCTTTGAGACGCTTCAAAGACGTGATAAGGCGCTATATCAAATACAAAGATTATCATCATTATTATTATTAAATTCAAAGGTCAATCATCGCTAAAGTGTATGTATCCGCTTGTATGTATATGCATGTTTCTGGCCCAGGCGAGTTCTCATTCTTGACTGTGGACTTTCTCCGGTTTAGGAGTTATTTCCTGTTTACTAAAATGATCTCTCCCTCGTGCAAAGGTGTTTTTGAGAAAACAGTCTTATCTTTGATAAAGCAACCACCCCCCTCTCCCTCCCCCACACACATGCACAATTTGCAAGAGAAGGCTGTCGTCTGAAAAATGCTTTGCACGAGTGAGGGATCATTTTAATAAACATTTCTCATCTACTTTTGAAACAGAAATATGCTCAAGTCTAGCGACCATCATCAGTGATAGACTGCTCGAAGAGCTGGGCACCTTTTCTGCATTTCCAAAGCAGACCGAAAAGAAAAGGTTAATTTTGCCGTCCCCAAAAGGAAGAACAAATGTTGTGCGCAGTTGGCTGCCGCGTTTCGTCCACAAAATGTACAGTCAATTCATCTTAGTGTATTCTGTGAAGCTCTGAGACGTCGCAATGTCGTGATAAGGCACTGTATCAAACGCAACGATGATTATTATATTTTTTTTGCTGGTTTGTAAGTCATACGATGCTACGATTGAAGGCTTTTGTGTGGCTGAGAATGTCGTGGGTCCTCAATGTAATCTTTTACTCGTGATGAATGTTTTTCTTTCACAGAATGTGGCCATCGATCGCAGCCGGGAGGAGGCACTGAGCACTATCCCGCCTTATGTGGCCAGTGATTGAATTCTCTTCAGCGGTTAGTTTGGCGATGGCGGTAAAATCGCGTCCAGCCCGTCCCGTCGAAATGGGAACGCTGAAAATTGATGTTAGGGTGTATGTCTCGGACTGTATAATAAACAAAGCCATCCAGATTTGCTCTGGGCGGAAATCATTCAGCCGTTCAAGCTAAAAGAAAAATGATAGCTTGAGAGTAATCACACCTCGCTGAACAGGGTGAGGTTGGCTAAAGATAGTATCTCTTTGGCAACAATGATAGATACCTACTTTTAGACTCTGATGGAAAAACAGCACCAGACGCTTCATCTCAGTCACTTTCTTTAATTTTCCAGTGCACTAATGCTCCTGTGACTAGCAGTGAGTCAAGTAGGAATATATTTTTTTTTGCCAGTGAAGCTATTTGTGTTTTTATTAGGTCATTCTCATTGGTTTTTAAAAAAAATCCCGATTTCACACGTCATATCGCCTTTGTTTTGTCGGTTATTGTAAAATTATTTGTTTAAAGGTGGTTCTTTCATTTGTATCCGGTGCTGTGATTGGTTGTGTGTCCTTGCCCTCCTTTACTGTTTATTTTGTGAAACTTGTTCAGCAAATGATAAGACGTATCAAGAGATATCCTCAGCTTATCTGAGATGAGCGCTGAGGGTACGTCTCTGCTTTATTGACTGTTTCCCTCTGAGGGATTTAAGAATCTTTGGCAACGGCAAAGGTCGTAGATGAGATAAATTCATACGTCTTGTCAAAACAGAGAAAGTCGGGCTTCTTCTGCTGCATTTTCTCTCCTGAAGAACTAGTAATTTCTTCTCAAAGGTGAATGAGTAGTTAATTGGCTTGAAACTAATATTAAATGTGTGAAAGGGAATGGGAGAAATTTTTCACAAAGTACTCATTGTATCTGTGCTACTGGCCCCTCCTGTTTATTACTATGAGTTCACTCCCGGTTCATATCCCTTCATGTTTTTTTATTCCTCAGGTTACCCAGTTTCCTTTTGAACGATTCTTTTGGGGGAGAAATTCCACTGTTGTCTCGATTCTCTCTCTTTTTGTTTAGCGTTTCAGAGCACGCAGAACGTGCCAAAGTTGAACACAGTTTTGACTTTGAAACTGCTTTAACGACTTAAAAAAATTGACGGGGGGGGGGGAAAGGGGATTCACAATCAAGCGTTGAAATGCTAGGTACCTTTAGACTTTCTACTCTTATTAAGCCACCCTCAATAGCCATCCGCAGTAATCAATTCCTCACCCTCTGACTGAAGATACCCGACCTTGACTCTTCCGCTAGCAATTCTCTGCTCTTTAACTATCTTTAAATCCCACTTTAAGACTTACCTCTTCGACTGCGCCTGTGATCATCCCCCCCCCCAACCACTTTCTGCCTTGCTAGGCATCCAACCCCACCACTGTACAGTGCTCCGAGTCACTATCTTGCGTGACGGGCTCTATATAAGTGCAAGTTGATGTCTTTGAGATTCTACCTCGCCTCGCAAGCGAGAGACCTCGGTTCGATTCCCAGCCGGGCGAAACCTTGGGCAAGTTTCCTTACTCCACACACCTGATCGTGATCCCTCAAGAAAAAGACAATAATAATTTGCTCAATCAATCCACGACTGTTTGTGGGACGCTGCTGTGCGCAATTGGCTGCTGCGTTTCACCCACAAAATACACAGTCAGTTCACTTTACAGTGTATCCAGTGAAGCCCTTTGAGACATCTAGAAGACATGAAAAGCACCATATCAAATGCAAGATTATGATTATTACCCCTTTGTCCCCGCTTGAGTTTTTCTCTATTTACTTTAGCCGTAATCCCTTCAGAATTTTGAACGCAAAGGAAAGATATTAGGTTCAAGCCATTAATCTACTCTTTGACCACCACAGAGAGTGACCTCTCTTATGTTCAATGTGCCTGGTTTTTATTCTCAGTAGTTTTTAAAAATATTTTAAAGGTTGTATGGTACTAAAGCCTTGTTCACACAGCACTTGTTTTTTGATACCAAGGTCCTGGGATAAAACAGAACCTCTTTTAACAAACATAGTTTGTATTGAAAAAGTTAGCACGGTTTCAGTATGTTTGACTGGGATTAAATTGCTGGAAACATTTCAGTAAACTTCTGCTTAGATTCCAATTGCTGTTTAAACTCTTTTAAGATGTAGAGACGTTTAGTTGTTAGTGCAGCTTGGCCGAAAAATCCGCACCTTTCTTTATTCACCTCCCCTTGGAGTAAGAGAACTGCTGTGTAAATAGGCCTTAATACTGCCTTACTATTTATAATGTTTTATATTTTATTATAAAAGGGCAATCGATTTTTTTTTCAGAAAATGTATAAGTAAATGTAGCGAAAATTACTGTTTTGTTAAAATCGAGTGTTGTACTGAAGGGAATGTTATTGTATTTTTTCCTGATTATTATCCAGTGATCGTAATCAGTAAAAGAAAACCTACTTGTCCCTCGTCCCCTCTGCTCCACCATCGACAGCTGCGTTTTCACCCACTACGCCCCGAACCTTTGGAATTCTCTCCCCCAATCCTTCCGCCTTGTCCCCCTCCTCCCCCTCTTTTAGATCACGACTGAAGGCCTTCCTCTTCGACCGTGCTTAGGGTATCCTGCTCCCTCCCGGCTCGGTGTCAGGCTCCGCCATTGTTAAGCACTCTGAGACGCTGTCCCGCACAAATGGCGCCATATAGATGCAAGTTGTTGTCGTCGTGCTAGCAAAACAACTCGGTCAACCATGTATGGCAATTTGATTGGTGACCAGATCAGCCTCAATGGGCTGACGCGATGAGCCGCGAGGTTACCGGCAGCAGAAAGGGATCTCATTTTTGTCTGGCGCACAATTCGTCCCATCGGAGCAAAACGCTTTCAGGATAATCAGACTGCATTTGGCACTTTATAGTCTTTTAATACATTATTTGGGAGACATTTTCGGGTATTGTAAGAGCACAGCTAAAACATAACGGTTGATAAATGGTTGATATTGAAATAGCATATTCCCCGTAACTGCACAATGTTTAGGAATTGCGCTCAAATCTCATCATTACAAACATAGGAGGTCCTGTGAAACAGTGCTTTTTTTTTTTCAGGGGGTTTATTTTGTTTTCAGTTTGTGTTTCTCTTCTGACTTTGATGGAACTTCATCCAAGGCCACATTTATGTGGTTGTTTGTCTTTATAAGGAGGTTTGACTATGTTTAACCATGTTAACGAAAAACAAAACACATGACGACATATGTGTTGCCTTTCTCTCAGGTCTTTTTTTTTACCAAAAGCGTTGCCACAATGTAATATCAAAGAAGCACAGCTGCCGTGCATTTAATCCTTTCTAAAAGTGGTGTTTACTCTAACTGTGCCTCCTTTGAAATGAAGTGCTGCCCAGCCATTCATTTGGTGCAATAATTATTTTTATCTGGATGACGAGACAAAAAGCACAGCACACCACTGAAGGTTAAGCAGCAGAGGATACCATATGAGTCATACTGGTGACTTTGGTTTCAACCTTCGTAGGCAGAAGGGAGGATTAAAGGTTGATGTTTGTCAGTCTTGAGGAAAAGAGTTAGTTTGAGTTGAGTTCTGAGTGCAATGCGGAGAGGAGGAACTGAATATATGACAATATATTTTGAGACGTCACCAAGACGTGTTAAGGCGCCATATCAAATGCAAGGAATATTATTGTATTTCGAGCAGGTGAGGGAGGAAAGTAAGATAGGCGAGTTCAGTGCCGTGAATTCAAATGTAAAAGCCGGTTGCTGTTCTCTCCCTGGAGTATAAATCAAAACAAAGATTACAGAGAAGTTTGTGCAGTTGTTTATATTTCACACAAGTCTTCACCCATCCCTTACTCCCTCCCATACCCATCTATTTCACTAACTCTTGTAAGGTTATATTTGTGAAATCTCTTACACCCTTGTGAAATTCTAGCTTCCTCTTGAATGCATGTATTCTGTGTGATTCAACCACTTCTTCAGACAGCGATTTTCACAATCTTGCTATATGTTGCACACAGTAGTTCTGCCTAAATTCTTTTTTAGATTCCCCTAATTGCAGGGATTGGCATTTGTTTGTTCCCGGGATTACAGAGTCCTCAACCAGTAGACACAGCCTATTTATGTTAACCTTACCGAACCCTTTTATGATTTGAAAGACTTCTAATCGGTTTCCCCCTTAAACGTCTCTTCTCTGGGGGGAAAAAAGACCTAACAGCTGACTGCTGCGGAGATGTTGAGCTGAATAGCTAAAAAAAAACCATACAAGGGTCACCAGTCTATATTGATTCATATTGTCTGATGGGAAAGAAGCGTAGACAGCCAAAAAGGTTGTTTCCGGTATTCGTTCAATGTGATTTCACTCTTTGGTAGTTACAAAATGTCATCTTTATACGGGGTGGAATATGCAATCATAAAAACCAAGAGATAACCAGAGATGAGTAGGTATTTGTGGAGTCCTGTAGCGTTAGGTGGTTAGCACGCTCGCCTCGCAAGTGAGAAGACCCAAGTTCGATTCCCGGGTGGGGCAAAACCTTAGGCAAGTTTCCTTACTCCACACGCCTCTGTTTGGCCGAGCAGTAAGTAGGAACCCGGTTGTTCGTCGATTGGCGGATCACTTTCCAGCGGTACTAATCCCTCCAAAAAAAAAAGGAAGAAGTTTGGTCACTCACTCCACGACTGTGTGTGAGCCACTGCTGTACACAATTGGCTGCTGTGTTTTGCTCACAAAATACAAAATCTATTCTGTGAATCGCTTTGAGACACCTCAACGACGTGATAAAGCGTTCTATCAAATGCAAGGATTATTATATTATAATTATGTATTTTATGGGAGGTGGAGTTGTTTTTTTCCCCCCCAGGAGAGAACTTGATTGATCTCTGGACCTTTTCACACTCCTTCCTGTCTATTTATCTTTGTAGATCTTCATGTCTACTGTAGGAAACAAGAGTGCAATGCACGCAAATATCAATCATTTCTCTGTTTCTCGATGTACAGGTTGGGTTTATGTCTTGATAAAATGGTCTGATTACATTTGCAAAAAATTACGGCCACTGATTTTACGAATCTGTGTACAATTAACACGATGCTATCTTCCAAACTGTGACGTCAGAGGTGTCAAAGTACTGTACTGTGATAATATTTTGTAACATAGCTCGACCCTCTTATGAAACCAACGCACAATAATGACCGACTCACTTGGGAAAAGGAAGACGATTAGCACTTTACACGAACAACGTACAGATTCCTAATGTAATGTATGATTTACGATAAGATCTTAACGTTTACGTTGCTGTATTTATAAATGTAATAATGAAATATTTTTTAAAAAATGATCTTTGTAGTTTTTAGATGTTTGTGCCCTGACGATTATTTGAATTATTCTGTGAGTTATAATTTTAATGTCCGGAAAAAAAGTGAAGGGGGGGGTGGGGGGGAGAAAGGAAAATTCCATGTTTAAAGGAATTCTGACAGTTATCCAAATGGTAGCCTTATTTTGTTTTGTGCACAGGAAAATTACCAGTGAGCTTGCAAAGTTATTATTACGTTAAGCAACGACGATCAGACACCCAGGCGTTAATTAGAATAACTCTCAGGTTTGTGGTGAAGAACAAACGTGCTTTTACTCTTCTGAATCGTCTTGTCAAATTGATTTCGGTGTGTATTGACGACTCGTGAGAGTAACTCTTGTATCATCTGAAAGCATTAAATTGTCTTGCGTGGACAAGAAAATACAGTCTGAATTTCTTATGATTATGTGTCAGAGCATTAATCCTTTTAGCTTGCTGGGTCCCTGTGATCGTTCCCTGTTCCTTCACTCTGTTTGTCACACTCTTGGTTTTCATAGTTAGAGCAATGTCAGTTTGGAAATCATTGTATAAAGCAACAGGGCCTTGCTACAACAACAACTTGCTGGGAGATGGAGGGGGAGATGGAGGGGGAGATGGAGTGGGGGCGGAGGAGGGGAGATGGAGGAGGGGAGATGGAGTGGGGAGGAGGAGGGGAGATGGAGGGGGAGATGGAGGAGGGGAGATGGAGGGGAGATGGAGGGGAGATGGAGTGGTGAGGGGAGATGGAGTGGGGGAGGAGGGGAGATGGAGTGGGGGGGAGGAGGGGAGATGGAGTGGGAGGAGGAGGGGAGATGGAGGGGGAGATGGAGGAGGGGAGATGGAGTGGGAGATGGAGGAGGGGAGATGGAGTGGAGAGGAGGGGAGATGGAGTGGTGAGGAGGAGGGGAGGGAGTGGGAGAGGAGGGAGATGGAGAGGGAGATGGAGAGGGAGATGGAGAGGGAGATGGAGAGATGGGGGGAGGAGGGGAGATGGAGAGAAGGGAGGAGGGAGATGGAGAGGAGGGGAGATGGAGAGATGGGGGGGTGGAGGGGAGATGGAGAGAAGGGGGGAGGAGGGGAGATGGAGAGGAGGGAGGAGGGAGAGAGAGAGGAGGGAGATGGAGGGGAGATGGAGAGGAGGGGAGATGGAGAGAGGGGGGAGGAGGAGAGATGGAGAGATGGGGGGGAGGGGAGATGGAGAGAAGGGGGGAGGAGGAGAGATGGAGAGGAGGGGAGATGGAGAGAAGGGGGGAGGAGGGGAGATGGAGAGGGGGAGGAGAGGGGGAGATGGAGAGAAGGGGGAGGAGGGGAGATGGAGAGGAGGGAGGAGAGGGGGGAGATGGAGAGAAGGGGGGGAGGAGGGAGATGGAGAGGGGGAGATGGAGAGGGTGGGGGGGAGAAGTGGAGGTGAGGGGGGGATGAGGGAAGCGAGGGAGGGAGGGAGGGCGGAGGGGAGCGCGCGTGCGCAGTTGCAGGAAGCGGAGAAGGGGCGGGAAGCCGAGTGACGGTTGGGCGCGTGGCGGCCCGCGGGGGGGAGAGGGGGAGGGGGCGGTGATGCAGGTGCGGCTCAGGTCAGTTCACATCTATATAGCAATGCGCCGGGAGGGAGGAGAGGAGAGTGGCGGTGACGAGGGAGACTGAGGCTGAATTTATTTGAGGAAAATTTATTTGAGGAGAATTTATTTGAGGAGAATTTATTTGAGGAGAATTTATTTGAGGAGAAGAAAAAAGAAGCGACACTTATTCCCACCCCCCACCCCCCCAACCGTCGATAAAGCGCGAGGGGTCGTTGCGGAACCGTCTGAGTGGAATCGATATCGATTTGGGGGCAATATATATCGATATCCATATCGAGTCCGTTTGTCCGTCGTGTGTCTCACCTGTCGGTCGGGCGGGCGGTCGCCATGAAGCTGCGGAGAGGTTTGCTGGTAACTGCGTGGCTGCTGTGCGGAGTCTGTGCGATTCTGGTCAGGGGTAAGGACGGCTTTAACCCCCACACACCCACCCCCCCAAACACACTCACACACACCCACACACACCCCCAAACACACTCACACACACCCACACACACCCCCAAACACACTCACACACACCCCCCAAACACACTCACACACACCCACACACACCCCCAAACACACACATCCACACCCCCCAAACACACACACACACACCCACACCCCCCAAACACACTCACACACACCCACACACACCCCCAAACACACACACACCCACACCCCCCCCCCAAACACACTCACACACACCCAACCACCCCAAACCCACACCACCCCCCAACACCACTCACACACACCCCACACACACCCCCAACCCCACACACACCCAAACACACTCACACACACACCCAAACACACTCACACACACCCGAACACACTCACACACACCCAAACACACTCACACACACCCAAACACACACCCCCAAACACACTCACAACACACCCACACCCCCCCAAACACACACACCCACACCACCCCAAACACACTCACACACACCCACACCCCCCCCAAACACACAACCCACACCCCCCAAACACACTCACACACACCCACACACCCCCAAACACACTCACACACACCCACACCCCCAAACACACTCACACACACCACACCCCCCCCAAACACACCACCACACCCCCAAACACACTCACACACACCACACCCCCAAACACACACACCCACACCCACCAAACACCACTCACACACACCCAACACCCCAACACACACACACACACCCCCCAACACACACACACACACACCCACCCCCCAACACACACACACACCCACACCCCCAAACACACTCACACACACCCAAACACACTCACACACACCCAAACACACACTCACACACACCCAAACACACTCACACACACCCACACCCCACAAACACACACCCCCCCCCAAACACACACACACCCCCAAACACACTCACACCCCCCCCAAACCACACACCACACCCCCCAAACACACACACCACCCACACCCCCCCATACACACACACACCACAAACACACTCACACACCCCCAAACACACACACCCACACCCCCCAAACACACACACACACACCCACACCCCCCAAACACACTCACCACACCCCCCCAAACACACACCCACACCCCCCAAACACACTCACACACACCCACCCCCCCCAAACACACTCACACACCCCCCCACCCCCCAAACACCCACACCCCCCAAAACACACTCCACACACCCCCCAAACACACTCACACACACCCTCACCCCCCCAAAACACTCACACACCCCCCCCCCCCCCCAAACACCCACACCCCCAAACACACTCACACACACACCCCAAACACACTCACACACACCCCCCAAACACACTCACACACACCCACACCCCCCCAAACACACTCACACACACCCACACCCCCCCCCAAACACACACACACCCACACACCCCCCCAAACACACACACACACCCCAAAACACACCACCCCCCCCCCCCCAAACACACACACCCACACCCCAAACACACTCACACACACACCCCAAACACACTCACCCACAGCCCCCCCCCAACACACACCAACCCCCAAACACACTCATACACACCCACACACCCCCCCAAGCACACCCACAACCCCCAAACACACTCACACACACCCACACCCCCCAAACACACTCACACACACCCACACCCCCAAACACACTCACACACACCCACACCCCAAACACACACACACATACTCACTGAAACAATCACTCACTCTCTCACACTGACGCACACACTCACTCACACTCTCACACACTCACTAATACACTCACTCACTAACTCTCACACTCTCACACTCACTAACATACTCTCTCACTCACTAACACACTCACACTCTCACACTCACTAACATACTCTCTCACACTCACTGACACACTCACTCACACTCACTGACACACTCACTCACTCACTCTCACACTCACTAACACACTCACACTCACTAACACTCACTCACACTCACTAACACACTCACTCACACTCTCTAACATACTCTCACACTCACTAACACTCTCACACTGACACACTCACTAACACTCACACTCTCACACTCACTAACAGACTCACTCACTCTCACACTCACTAACACTCTCTCACACTCACTAACACACTCACTCTCACACTCACTAACACTCGCTCACACTCACTAACACACTCACACTCACTAACACACTCACACTCACTAACACACTCACACTCACTAACACACTCACACTCACTAACACACTCACTAACTCTCAGACTCTCTCACACTCTCACTCACACACTCTCACACACGCACCCTCACTCACACACTGTAATGTAATAATTCTTGCATTCAACACAGTGCCTTGCCCAGCCGTTTCCAAGTGCTTCATGTGATATATTGTGAAGTGCAGTTGCTGGGTACTTTGCTGGGGCAGCCCAGCCGTGCCCCCTCCCTCCCCCCGAGCAGCCATGGCGTGAACAACCAATTTTACTTGGGAATTGTTGGCCAAGACACCGGGAGAAACTCCCTTTTCTTCAAGTAGTACTGAGGGATCTTTAACGTCTGCTGGTTTAATGTTTAATCTGAAGGACGGTGCCTCTGACAATGCAGAGCTCTCTCCCCAGCCCACCAGCCCTTTCCCAGCATCCCATTGGAGGGTCAGCCTGGACCACAAGCTCAAAATCCTGTGTGGACCTTGAACCCACAGTCTTCTGACTCGTAGGCAAGAGTGCTGAGTTTTCATGGCATTTTGCCGACAAACATACAGTGTGTCAGAGGCAAAGAGTGTTATATTGAGTCCTGTAGCTCAGTAGTTAGAGCACTCGCTTTGCAAGTGAGAGACCTGAGTTCAATTCCCGGCAGAGGGCGAAACCTTGGGCAAGTTTCCTTACTCCACACAGAGCCTAATAATAATCCCTCCAAAACCAAAAACAATATTAAATTGGTCATTTTCAATCTACGACTGTTTGTGGGACATTGCTGTGCGCAATTGGCTGCCGCGTTCGCCCACAAATATACAGTCAATTCACTTTACAGTGTGTTCTGTGAAGCGCTTTGGGACGTCCTCCCGACGTGAAAAGCGCTACATCAAATGCGAGTATTATTATTATAAACCATTCTTTGTAATTCTCTGAATTTTTCTGCCTCTAATTGTGCACTAAACAAACGTTTGGATTGATGACTTATGAGGGTAAACCAGGTCTTATACCAAGTCTTCCTAATTGAGGGATGTTTTGATGTGACTGGAAGAATCGTGTTGAAATATGGTTGAATCTATAATTTGTTTCAAAAAAGGTGATTGTGGTGAACCCCCAAGATTGAAGAATGGATTTCCAGTTACTGATCTTACTCAGACCTCATTTCCTGTGGGTACGAGAATTCGTTACAGGTGTAACGAAGGTTTCAGCTTGGCTGAAGGAAAATCCCCATTTATCACTTGCCAGGCTAATTCATCATGGACAGCGATTGAGACCGTTTGTGAAGGTAACTGATAAGTATCTTATTTTTTTCCTCTAAGTTTTCAGCTCTGTTGACACTGTTCTGCAGAAAACGGCAGATGTTTATGTACAGTTCCATTTTCTGCAATACCACTATTTTAAGCGAGATTCTGTCACAGTGAGTTTGGGGAGGTTGTTCAGCCATAGCTGAACCTTGATCATCTCTAATTGTTCTCCCACATGAATTGCTCATGGCGAGAAGGGGGGTCCAATTCCACCATCTGTTGATCTGCTGGAGATGTCCGCCAACCAGCTTCCACTGTTACTACTAATGATATGTGAGTCTCCGTTGAAGTGGTTGATGTACTTATTTGAGACTAGATTTCAGGAATCGTGATGACTAACTGGAATTTTGCAAGTTGTGTGGTTTCTTTTGTATTGCTTTTCTCTGAATTGAATTGCATTGAAATCTCACTTTTGTTTCTTATTTATTTTCTATGAAGCAAAAAGCTGTGGTGCACCGCCAGATCTTGAGAATGGATATTATAATACAACATCTGTTGTTTTTGGAGGCATAGTTACATATTATTGTAATGAAGGGTGAGTATTCACCCCTGGTCCTCACTACTCTGCTGCAAAAAAAGCTCCTTACACGATGAGCGTCACTGGTCCCTGCAATTTCATGGGTTTATTACAGTTCAGGGTGTTGATCAGAAAACGTGGCTCAAAAAGGTTAAATTGGAAGAGGAACAGAACTAAAATCAAGATCTTAACTTGGTTTCTGTTATAAAGGTTGGTCAGATTTGGAGTCCTGTAGCGAAGTGGTTAGTGCACTCAGCTCGTAAGTGAGAGGACTCAGGTTTGATTCCCGGGTGGGGCAAAATGTTGGGCAAGTTTCCTTACTCCACACGTCTTTGTTTACCTCGCAGTAAGTAGGAGCCCAGTTGTCAGTCGATTGGCCTTAGCCTTTAAGCTGCTTACCTCTCTGCAAGCCAATCAGAAGGTGTGGTGGGTGAGGGGGTTAAGAGTGGAACAACAAGACTGCTTCTCTGTTTGTAATACAGGTCTTGTATAGTGAACTTAAAAATATAACTTTGCCTGCTTCCTAAGAGGCAACTATTACAGCTTTGATTTCTCGTAAATACCTTCTCCTTTTCTTTAGATACAATTTGGTTGGTGAAGATACCCAAAATTGTGTAGCAGGCGGTTGGGATGGCAGAACCCCAGTCTGTGATCGTGAGTTATGTTTCCATATTCCTTGCAGCAGCTGAAATGTTTTTTCATACCAAACAAATGAACAACGTTTAATGAATTTATAAATCTGGAATGTTTGTTTCATTTGATTTCCATAAATATTTCCAATATAACAGCACAGGATTATTTGATATAGTTCCTTAATCATTATCAAACTGGTTTATGGAATGTGGAAATTGAATTCTAACTTCTAACTGGAGATCAGTCATTGCTGAATTATTTTCCCCCAGCTGTGACGTGTGATGATCTTCCACCAATTGAAAATGGACAAACTCCATCACCACCTGAAGCTAACTGGGAATATGAAAATGCAGCAACGTTTACATGTAGTCCTACATATACATTGATTGGTGAAAACACAATTTATTGCCGGGCGAATGGTACATGGAGTGATATTCCTCCAAAATGCAAAGGTACTGATTATAGGATTGGAAATAGCCATTTCTGCTGACGTTGGGAAGTTCAAAATATACATGTTACTTTATGCAATTCTGCTCTCAAACAGCTGGTCATCTAACCATATGTGAGATGCTCTAAATATGAAGGATTTTCTTTTCATTTCCATTGTAGTCATCATTTTAATTTGCCTATTTCTGGGTATTCTGAGTAAATAAGAAATAAAACATAAATAAGCCTTGGGATGTCCTCCTGACGTGAAAGGCGCTCTCCACATGGAATCTTGTTGTTGAGTAAATCAGAATAAACCTACTGTTATGGAGAAGCAACAGTGTTAGAATAGCAATTGTTGGTTTATTGACGTTTATTTTTCATGGAGCTTCTTACTGTAATTGGATATGCCCAATTTGGTGAATTTACTTGCAATATTTTTCCTTCTGAAACCAACTTGTCCTTGGCTCAAAATAAAGTAAGGCACTACTCTTTTGATAGTTGTTCAATGTGTTCGTCCCGATCCTCCAATCAAAAATGGAAGCATAATAGCAGGATTTGGACCCACGTACGAGTATCGTCAGACGATTATCTACAAATGCGATGAAGGTTTTGAAATGGTTGGCAAAGATACCATTGAATGTCGAGAAAATAGTACATTTCCGCCAGCACCTCTATGCATTCCAGGTAACATAGCTTTTCTTCAATGTAAGGACGTAAGAGAACCTGAACTTTCCTAAATGTTTTATCGCTTTAACAATAGAATGATCACAAACTAGTTTAAATTTAAAGAACTTGATAAATATACAGTATGTCAGAGGCAAGGAGTGTTGTCAGCCACTCTTTGTAATTCTCTGTTTGAATTTTGCTGCCTCTGATTGTGCACTAAACAAACGTTTGGATTGATGACTTATGAGGGTAAACCAGGTCTTATACCAAGTCTTCCTAATTGAGGAATGTTTTGATGTGACTGGAAAAATCGTGTTGAAATATGGTTGAAACTATAATTTGTTTCAAAAAAGGTGAATGTGGTGAACCCCCAAGATTGAAGAATGGATTTCCAGTTACTAATCTTACTCAGACCTCATTTCCTGTGGGTACGAGAATTGATTACAGGTGCAACGAAGGTTTCAGCTTGGCTGAAGGAAAAGCCGCATTTATCATTTGCCAGGCTAATTCATCATGGACAGCGATTGAGACCGTTTGTGAAGGTAACTGATAAGTATCTTATCTTTTTCCTTTCAGCTCTGTTGACACCTGTTCTGCAGGAAACAGCAGATGTTTATGTACAGTTCCATTTTCTGCAATACCACTATTTTAAGTCAGATTCTGTCACAGTGAGTTTGGGGAGGTTGTTCAGCCATAGCTGAACCTTGATCATCTCTAATTGTTTTCCCACATGAATTGCTCGTGGCGAGTGGGGGAGTCCAATTCCACCATCCCTTGATCTGCTGTAGATGTCTGCCAACCACTGTTATTACTAATGATATGTGAGTCTCTGTTGAAGTGGTTGATGTACTTATTTGAGACTATTTGAACTTACTTATTTGTACTTATTTGAACTTTCCTAAATGTTTTATCGCTTTAACAATAGAATGATCACAAACTAGTTTAAATTTAAAGAACGTGATACGGTGGTTGTTGATGAAGGAGAAGGTAGGGGTGGAGCACATGGGGTTATAAAACACTGGCACGAACTGTTTATGCTGCGGAGTGGAACTTTGGCCCTGCTGTATTATTCTATGCAAACACTTTTTGTCTTTTTGCAATCTGCAAAAGAGCCCCATTTTCTTTCTCTCTCTCACTGTTTTGTTATGACTCTTTAGCTCTACTTCTGTGCTGTTACGAAAGTTAGAATTGAAGACTTCCCAACAAAAAACCCAATCATCACAATCCAATAGTGATGTTAGGCAGTACATTTACTTCACATTTTGCCTGTCCTATTCAATGTTTTTGTGTCTTCTGTATTATTTTCTGCTTTCTCTCAAAAATTATGGGTTTCTACAGAATCAAAGAAAGGGGGGGAGGAGTGTGGAAGCAGCAATTCTGCCCAAACCTGCATTTATTCTGTTGATGTCTACCTCTTCAGGACATCATATGTTTAAATGTTGATTGGGTTTGTGGACTGTTGTACCAGAGTTTAGTTTGGTGTTATTATTCCACTGAGTTCATGGCACAATTTATGCAACTGATTTTTTTTTCTTTCCAAGCTGCAAACGATACCACGACTTGTGATTCTGCTACCTCCACCAGTAGCATATTTCTATCACTAAATTACCAAGTTCTGTGTTTTTTAGAATGGTCACATTTATTGAGAGTTTAATCAGTTTTTCAATTCCATGTGCAGGTATTACCTTTATGCATTACGATGCAGAATAACCTGTTTGTGCAAAGCTGCAACTTTTGTTTTCACAAGCGTACGGATCATGTCTAAAGGAAAGGAAATACTGTTACATGTAGATTTTTGATGTTGTAAAAATATTTTGTGGCAGCTTAAGTGGGAATATAGCAAGTGACAAAAGCATTTCCTGATTTTTATTTTACCTGTGAGCCTAGTTCCTTGCTGTTGCATTCAAATAATGCAGGACTACTCCCGGATTATACTCTGTGGGATGGTTGCATTAATTATTTGCATGCAGGAGTTAAACCTGGTATCCTTAGTCCCCGTATATTCTGTGAGAATGTCACTATAACTTGAATAAGAAAAATATCTTGCGCAATCTTCACTGCTTTTACAGTTTTTTAATAAAGAAAAACAATCCAAACAAAGTTCAGTTTCACAGGAAGAATTGCAACTTCTTTATTTGGGGATTGTCAAGGTTGTCATATTATGCTTTTTTGCCTTGCCTTGTGATGAATGAGGTTGTGTTTACATGTATACCATGTTTATATGCATAGAAGCAAGAAGTACTCCTCCTGTGACCGTTCCTGGCGGAGCTGAGGCAAAAACGAGTCCTCATCCAACAAGTGAAAGCAGTGAGTGTGCAACTGTTGCATTTCAAGTTGGTGTTTTTAATGCAAATTTGATCACCGCATTCTTAAATTTAAGCCTACTTTAATTGAAGTTCTGCTTATGATGTGGTGCAGTACAACCATGGTCTTGATTTACGACCAAGAGAAGGGAAGAGAAATCTCTTCTTGATTCACTAGAATTATTCCAGTGATGAGGTACATCAACAATGAAGGGTTTTGAAGTTCGGGCTTTTTTTAAAAATAAACTTTTACAATTTAAGAAGGTTAAGGTGTCTTAATAGTTATCTTCAGGAAGATTGTAATGGTAAATAATTATTTCCACCGATTGTTCGGTGGAATAAGAGGGCACAAATTTTAAGATGATCACTAGAGAATTGAAGGAAGTTGTAGAGGGATGGTCGGACTATGGAAATGCACCACAATTCATTGATGGCTAAGGAGCTGCTAGTTAATTTAAATTATTTTCGTTTTCAGTCTTTAATGTATCAGAAAATGTTCGATCATAAATAAGCCCCAACTTCATTAACCATTTGGTTGTGTTTGTACAAATGGCTGACTTTTCTTTCAGCATGGTGCAGCATTTGTCATCTCCATGAAAGAATAAATTTGTAGCCAAATGTCATAAGTGCATTTGGTGCACTATTACTACTTATTTAAAATAACATCTGTGTGAGAGAAGTGGAGGTAGAGCAAGGAGGAGTGTCAAGTGAAGCTTTCTGATTCTTTTAAGTTGCATGTAATCAGCCAAACACTGTTTTTCTTCCATGATCAACTAATTTTTATTTTCTTTGATTGCAGCATCACACATCGACCGATCCTTTATTTATGGTAAGTTAAGCTATCTTTATTTATGGTAAGTGTTATTCTGGCTCTGTTGGTTTCACTCTCGACTCCCGATCTGAAAGTTGTGGGTTCATGGCTTTGGGTTCAAAGTCTCGTCCAGGTGTCTTCCAAATGGTCGTTCACGATTGACTTCTTGGGAGTATCAGGAGGTAACCTGCCAAACATCCAGTCCAGGCAAGCCCGTGCCAAAGTTCCAGTAGCTCCTGAGCTGCAATCCTATGGCACCCAGTCCTCCCAGGTGAATGACTGAATTATCTTATTTACCGCAACAACTTGCATTTTTAACACCCTTCACGTAGGGTGATGTTCAGATATACTACCCATAAAATGTGCATGTTTTGCGCATGTTGTGTACATCATTTGTACTATTTCTTCATTTATGAATTGATCTGTGTTTCATTGTCCATTGCTGTGAATGGGATAATATGCCTTTGTTGCTTTAGATGGAAGGAGGGGGTGAGATTTTTCATTGTATATCTGTTTGCATAACTGCATCATTTCTTCTCTGAGCTTTCAAAACTTTACTTGGACCGTTCAATGACTCATACAAGGTCTTTCAACTTGCATTGCATTTAGTTTTGTAATGCAAGTTGAGATATCTCGTTGGAGTCTAGCATTTAGTGTTGCATTCCATAAACTTTCCTCATAGAGTTCATTATATTTATTCAAGGAAATCTCAACATTTTTGAGCTTTAATGTGACCCTTAATTTTTCATCAGCAAGAGCATGTTAAAAACGAGGCCATGGGTTAGAATAACTTATGGAATGGATCAATATATTTGTAGAGTATTGTGTAAACCTGTTGTACAGCATTTTGCTTGCACTGCTTTGTCTACAAGAGATGTCTTAGCTGAGGAGCGAGAAAAGTTGAAAAAAGTTACAGCGCTTTGGGATGTCCTCCCGACGTGAAAGGGAGGACAATAAATGTAGTGTTGTTGTTGTTGATCTGCCTAATTATCGCTTTTTTTTNCTCCCTTTTAAACTAACCAGTCTAGTTGTTTTTTCAGTTGCTTCACCTTACAGCTATGCTCACAAACTTTTGTTTTATTGCTGTCCGAGTGTTAGTCTTTCTCCATAGTCCTTTTATGAAAAATGTTTATGGTTTTGTTTTATTTATTCCAGTTTAATTGAATTTTCATCCTGCTTATCACATGTTGTTGCGTTTTTAGAGTTTTGAAGTAGCTGAGAATGTTCCTATGATTCCTCAACCCAAAAAAGTCCAAATGGCATCCACTAAACAATATCTTTAATTGCACTTTTTTTTAAAAAAAGGTATACTTTTGCGATTGTAGTTTTGAATAGTCTTTCTGGTGAAGTGGTTGATTGACTTAAATATTATGGCCATGTTCAGAGACTGAATTTTTGGTCTCTGTTCAGTTTCTCTCCACCTATCAATTGCTGTGTTGACTTTGCCCACAAATATGCAGATAATCCACTTTATAATATGCTCTGAAGGGTGGAGTTCTATAGCTTAGTAGTTAGAGCATTTGCCTCTCAAACGAGAGGACCTGGGTTTGATTCTCCCGGTGGGGTGAAACCTTAGAAACATTTCCTTGCTCCATACGCCTCTATTTACTTAGCAGTAAGAGTGGAAAAAATTGGTGAACGTAACCACCGATGGAAGCCCAAATCTGACAAGCAAAAATGTTGAGTTACCGAAAAAAATTCAAGATTAAGTCAAAGAAACAAATCCAGAACAGAATATTGTTTTTCTGCACCGCATTATCCACCAAGAGGTCCTCTGTAAGAGTATTCTAAAAGTAAGCAATGTCGTGGACATAGTTACGAAAGTGATCAACTACATTCAAGCAAGAGGCTTAAACCACAGGCAATTTGTAACTGCTTAAGGAATTGGAATCCGAGCACACGAATGTTCTGTATAATAATAATAATAATATTATTTTACATTTGTGTGATGACTCGCTGCCGGGCCGGGGTCGTCTGACGGCGGCGGCTCTGGTTGCTGGAGGCCGGTGTTGGCGGGGCTTTGAGGCCGCGGAGTTGGCGGTTGGAGCTGGGGTTGGGTGTTGGCGGTGGCGGGGGCTGGGGGGCCGGTGGCGGGGCTGTGCCGGGCCGGTGGCGCCGGGGTGGGGCCGGTGGCGGGGCGGCGGGGTTTTTGAGTATCACACAAATGTAAAATGGCTTCGTTTAGGAAAGGTCTTGAAAAGATTTTGGGAAGTGAGAGCAGAGATTGATTTATTTTTGGACATGAAACAAAAAGATTTGTATTTCCCACAGCTGAATGATGCGAATTGGCTCTCTGATTTCGTATTTGCCGTTGATATCATTGGCCACATGAATCAACTGAATTCAAAACTGCAACAGAAGGAGGCCTTTGGGAATGATTTGTATTGCAGTGTCAAGTCATTTATGAAGAAATTATTTCTTTTATTGCGTTGAATAGGAAACGGGCAATTTGCCCACTTTCCAACTTTGCAGTAGATTACTGTTTGCGATCAAAGCCTTAAAAAGTATACATTGACACTACTTGACTTACATGCTGAATTTTCTCGCCGATTCCAGGATTTCAATTTGATCGAAAATTACTTGTCTTTGGTCACTCACCTTTCTCATTTGATGTTGATAAAGCCCCATTTGACCTCCAACTCGAGCTTATTGACCTGCAATGTAATCCATTGCTTGCGGAGCAATTCAAATCCGTGCTGCTTTCTAGTTTTTAAAACCTCTCTTAAAGAATATATCTTGCAAAAAACAACAGCGCATGCCCAGAGGACGCTTGTGCTTTCCTACAAACACAATATTTTTATATGCAACTTGTTTTGTCTGCAGAACAAGTCTTCGCTGAGGAATAGGAAAATTGTTGATGGGCCTAGTGTTTTTAAAATCTCTCTTTAAAAACTGGTTTGTAGCTTTCAGATATGTGTTTTTTAAAAAGGAGCTATTTTCACTCAAGTGCTTAAAAAATAGTGTTTTTTAACAAAAGTCAGTTGAGACCTCGCTTATTTCTTTTATTCCCTTTACTACAAATTCAGAGTTTGGAAGTTTTTAAGTGAAATTAATATTTGTGCACGCTAATGCCAAATATTGGTTGCTTGTGTTTGTATCTCAAATGTAGTTTCAATAAGAATATTGGTGACTAAGAATAAAGTTGGCTAAACATTTAGTTTTAAAACTGTTCCAGTTATTACTGTCTGACTATCCTCCATTATGTTCTTGTGGTCATTTTAATAGTTCATATTATAATTTTGTTTTCTGCCATCTTCTCCTTAGGTCACAACCTGCTCCTCGTACTATTGCTTCTACTAGAAAGAATACTATGATAGAGCGTCTATCTGAAACATTTTCCAACTCTATTTTAAATTATTGCAATGCAAGTATGCACTTTTCACCATTGTGATTGTGTCAGCTCGATTACTGCCCTAATGAGATGTTAAAACAAATGATGTTGTTTGAAAAGAGATTGGGGTGTGTGGCGGTTGACCCTGTGCTCCAGCTAACAAACCTTAAGATAAAGCTGGTCATTCACTTGGCTGTCTATGGAACAATGATGTGTTCAGATCAGCTGCTGCATTTTCCCACAAATAGTCACTACACTTTGCCAAAACTTTGTGAAGCACTTTTGAGAGATTTAGTGTTATAAGCGATGTATTCTATTAAATGAAGGATTATCAACAATGTTCAGGTATCATGTGAATGTTAAAGAAAACCTACTTATTTATTGCAATTCCAACAGCAACTTTATTTTGTCTTGTAATTCCAGCAGCTGAATTTGATCATTTTTAACAAATGGGTTTAACTGGAAAAGTTAGTGAGATTCCACTAAATTCTAACTAGTACTAAATGCACTCCTACGCATCTGAGTAAACCTCTGGCCGATTTGTACTTTATAATGTTTTATAATTTTCAGAATGCCATGGAACAGTCTATCTATTGTTTGGCTACAGTTGAGTGTGCTGCACCAAGCAGTGTTATTCTGTGTTACTGATTTCTATTCAATCGTGTAAAAGTTATTTTGTCTATTAATATGGAAATTTGATTCATGTTGAGATTCTATGCAGTGATGTTGCGAGGGGGCGGGGGGGCTCAGCAGGAGGGAATCTTATTTTTCTTTATTGCATAATTAATTTAATTAGAGTAAAAATTGTTTAATTTTAATGTAACTTCAACCAAAGATCACATTTATAATGGATTTTATAACACTAATTGTGTTTACCATGCTTACAACTCTAGTCTTTCAACCAAAATCATTGCCAGATTGTTAATATTACACAATCATGGACCCTGTACATTTAATATTTCAATAAGGTCTTAACTTTAAATATGCTTCCTTAAAAATAAGTATCCACTGAATAAATTACTGGAGTCCTGTAGCTCGTGGAGCCCTGTAGCTCAGTGGTTAGACCACTCGCTTTGCAAGTAAGAGACCTGAGTTCAATTCCAGGCAGAGGGCGAAACCTTGGGCAAGTTTCCTTACTCCACACAGAGCCTAATAATAATCCCTCCAAAACCAAAAACAATAATAAATTGGTCATTTTCAATCTACGACTGTTTGCGGGACATTGCTGTGCGCAATTGGCTGCCGCGTTCGCCCACAAATATACAGTCAATTCACTTTACAGTGTGTTCTGTGAAGCGCTTTGGGATGTCCTCCCGACGTGAAAAGCGCTATATCAAATGCAAGGATTATTATTATTATTACTGCAAAGTTGTAAATTTTACATTGTAGTAATTACCACAATGAAAAAATTAATTTAATAAAACTATTTTAGTAATTTGTGTTTGATTATTTGACTTCTTCTATGAATTACAATTTAATATAAATATGACAATTACCCACTTACAAGTTAGAAAACTTGATCATGTGCTTTTACTCCTATGAATCAATCTGTGGGTAAACTCCTGTATATCTGCAAACATTAAATCATCTTCCATGTAAAAGTACAGTCTGACTTTCTTTTGGTTATGCACCTTCTACATTTAGAACATTTATCCCTTTTAGCTTGCCGTGCAATCACTCTTACTACGAAAACTAATAGGATAACAACTCAAATAAAATGCAATGGGTTTGTAGGATCAGCTGTGCTTCGATTCAATTCACCACGTGGTGAGTTACCATCAATTGCCCTTCATACTGTATACGCTCAGGGCAAATTGAAAGGGTGGGTCACATCAGTGTAATGCTCGGGTTGGTAAATGACTGCTTCACTGTCGTCACGCCTGCCGTTTTGCTGCTGCTCTTGGTTGATAATCACCATTGGCAGGAAGGCAATTGTCGTTTTGATCAGATTTTGGGGTTTGTTGCATACAAGAAAAGTCAAAATTCCTCGCTCCTTTTTAAGCTGGTAAAAGGGCTTTGACGTCAAACATTGTTTTGACGTGGTCGTTACTTATGTGCCCTGTCTGTGGAAACAGTGACTTGACACCTGCGAGGAGGTTTTTTATTTACACTTTATTGTGCAATATGACATTTACCAAGATTGCTTTTACAGCTTCCCTATAGTTCTGCTCGATTTCCTGTTGTACAATAGGCAACATAAAATATTTATGTCGATTTTTAACCTGAACTTTTTGACAGGACATACATTTCCTCATCTCTCTGAGTCGAGCAAGCTACGATTTGCAAATGTAGCTTACTTAATGCGTAGAGATGAGGAAATGTATGTCGTGTCGAATTCAGATTAAAATCGACGTAAATATATTTTGGGAGTCATCCTGATATGCGCAGTGCTCATTTCTTCTACGTTACATGGCTGCGTGATGGAAAGAGCCCTGCCCGAAGAAATAATCTGCACCCACAACGTACACAGTCACTACGCTTTGTGGTACCCGTGAAGTGCTTTGAGACGCCTGGAAGACGTGTTAAGGCGCTATATCGAATGCAAGGATTATTATTATTGGGATTATTATTGTTGGGATTATTATTATTGTGCAAGAGGGCGAACTTGTTCGGTTTGATTTCCTTTTTTCCGGCGCCACTTCGTTGTTGCACAAACGCTCGATCGCATTTGGTGCAGCGCCGCATCAGGTCTTCGGGCACAGCCGAGTCCCACAAACAAACGGTCGTGGATGGAGTCCGAGACCAATTTATTTGTGCACAGCTCCGGATTTGGCAGAGGGCGGGGGAGGATTTGCTGGAAATTAATACAGGTTTGCAGCTTAAAAGTCAACCAAAGAATAGCCCCAAAAGTAGCCCAATCCGCACAGTACAGCGACCAAACGAGAAGAAAAAACGCCCAATTGGGCGTGAACCCGCCCAACATTGGCTGGTGGGGGGAGGAGAGGCGAGGAGCGGGCGGAAAGGGGAGCAGTGCGCGTGCGCGGCCGGCGCCGGCCAATCGCGGAGCGAGTGTCGCGCATGCGCCCGCCGCCTGAGGGCGTGGAAGCGCGGGAACCGCACGTGCGGACGGCAGTTACTGCGAACACCACAGGGCCGAGAGAGAGAGAGAGAGAGAGGCTCTTCTGGTGGGGGTGACCCCCCCCCAACCGCCCCCCCCCCACCCAACACCCCCCCACCCAACACCCCCCCACCCAACACCCCCCCAACCCAACACCCCCCCAACCCAACACCCCCCACCCAACACCCCCCCACCCAACACCCCCCACCCAACACCCCCACCCAACACCCCCCCCAACCCAACACCCCCCCCCCAACCCAACCCCCACCCAACACCCCCCACCCAACACCCCCCCCCAACACCCCCCCACCCAACACCCCCCCACCCAACACCCCCCCACCCAACACCCCCCCCAACACCCCCCAACCCAACACCCCCCCAACCCAACACCCCCCCAACCCAACACCCCCCCAACCAACACCCCCCCAACCCAACACCCCCCAACCCAACACCCCCAACCCACACCCCCCCAACCCAACACCCCCCCCACCCAACACCCCCCCCACACCCAACCACCCCCCACCCAACCCCCCCAACCCACCCACACCCCCCACCCCCCCCCCACCCAACACCCCCCAACCCACCACACCCCCAACCCACCCAACACCCCCCAACCCCCCCCCCCCAACACCCCCCCACCCAACACCCCCCAACCCAACCACCCCCAACCCAACACCCCTCAACCCACCCAACTCAACCCAACACCCCCCAACCCAACACCCCCCACCCAACACCCCCCCAACCCAACACCCCCCAACCCAACACCCCCCCCACCCAACACCCCCCCAACCCAACACCCCCCAACCCAACACCCCCCCACCCAACACCCCCCCCAACCCAACACCCCCCCCAACCCAACACCCCCCAACCCAACCACCCCCAACCCAACACCCCCCCCACCCAACACCCCTCAACCCACCCAACTCAACCCAACACCCCCCCAACCCAACACCCCCCAACCCACCCAACACCCCCCCCAACCCAACAGCCCCCCAACCCAACACCCCCCCCAACCCAACACCCCCCCAACCCAACATCCCCCAAACCCAACCCACCCAACTCAACCCAACACCCCAACCCCCCCAATCAACACCCCAAATCCCCCCCACCCCAACCCCCCCCCCAATAATAATAATCTTTCCAGTTGAGATAGCGCTTTTCACGTCCTCTCGCCGACTCAAAAGCGCTTCACAGAGTAGACTGTCTGTCTGTCTCTCTCAATCAAATGCAAGGATTATTTATTATTACTGTTATTTGTTATTGTAATAATAAAAAGGCAAGCGAGAGGAGGCACGAAGCGCGGAAAGGCCCTGGAGCCTGACTCCTCGAATCGCACCTGTCGCTGAGGAGGAGGAGGAAGAGGAGGAGGAGGAGGAGAGCCTGTACAGCCGGGGAGACGTGTCGTCGCTCGCCATGAAGCTGCGGGGAGATTTGCCGCTAACGGCGGTGCTGACGTTGCTGCTGTGGGGAGCCTGTGTGATCCAAGCCAACGGTAAGGACAGCTCTCCTCCCATACCTCCCCCCACCTTCACTCACACACAGCCTGATAAGGCACCAGATCAAATGCAACAACAACGACAAATTACATTTATATAGCGCCTTGCATGTCAGGAAGGATTATTATTATACATTGCGTAGAAATATGTCGTGTTCGTATTGAGATTTTTTTGAATGTTACGGCTCTTGCATCACATGCAAGAATTATTGTAGATTATATGATAATACTGCACCTTCATTTTGCCAATCTCAAAATGGTGAAGGGCTTGAGTGCTGCTCAGGCAACTCAGCAATCAGTGGTGGCACCGGTTTACAGGATGATATTCGCCTGAAAAAACCTGAAGCATTTATCAATGTTAATGGTGGACACCAAGGAAGAAGTGGGTGGAATTCAGAGATAGCCAAAGGTGCAAGATCAAACACTCACTCACACACACTCTCACTCACACTCTCACACCCGCACCCTCACTCACACACTGTAATGTAATAATTCTTGCATTCAACACAGTGCCTTGCCCAGCCGTTTCCAAGTGCTTCATGTGATATTTTGTGAAGTGCAGTTGCTGGGTACTTTGCTGGGGCAGCCCAGCCGTGCCCCCTCCCTCCCCCCGAGCAGCCATGGAGTGAACAACCAATTTTACTTGGGAATTGTTGGCCGAAACACCGGGAGAAACTCCCTTTTCTTCAAGTAGTACTGAGGGATCTTTAACGTCTGCTGGTTTAATGTTTAATCTGAAGGACGGTGCCTCTGACAATGCAGAGCTCTCTCCCCAGCCCACCAGCTCTTTCCCCAGCATCCCATTGGAGGGTCAGCCTGGACCACAAGCTCAAAATCCTGTGAGGACCTTGAACCCACAGTCTTCTGATTCGTCGGCAAGAGTGCTGAGTTTTCATGGCATTTTGCCGACAAACATACAGTGTGTCAGAGGCAAAGAGTGTTATAAACCATTCTTTGTAAATCTCTGAATTTTTCTGCCTCTAATTGAGCACTGAACAAAAGTTTGGATTGATGACTTATGAGGGTAAACCAGGTCTTATACATAAATTGAAGAATGTTCCAATGTGACTGGAAGAATCGTGTTGAAATATGGTTGAAACTATAATTTGTTTCAAAGAAGGTGAATGTACTCATCCGCCAAAACTGAAGAATGGATATCCAGACATTGATCTTACTCAGACCTCATTTCCTGTGGGTACGAAAATTGATTACAAGTGCGACAAAGATTTCATCTTGGCTAAAGGAAAACACACATTTACCTATTGCCAGACTGATTTATCATGGACAGCGATTGAGACCGCTTGTGAAGGTAACTGATAAGTATCTGATTTTTTTCTTCCAAGTTTTTAACTCTGTTGACACTGTTCTGCAGAAAACGGCAGATGTTTATGTACAGTTCCATTTTCTGCAATACCACTGTTTTAAGTGAGATTCTGTCACAGTGAGTTTGGGGAGGTTGTTTGGGGAGGTTGTTTAGCCATAGCTGAACCTTGATCATCTCTAATCCCACATGAATTGCTCATGAGGGTTGGTAATTCCACCATCCCTTGATCTGCTGGAGATGTCAAGATGTAAATTTGGGCTTCTGTAGAATGAAAACTCCCCAGAAATTCTGCCCAAACGTGCATTTATTTTGTTGATATAACGAGAACATCTTGTTTTTTCTATTAGGCGCTCTGAGATGCTACCCAGTATGAAGGGGGCTGTATAAATGCAAGTTGTTATATATTGATTTGGTTTGTGGTTATTGTGGTAGGTGTGAATCCATTACCTGCTATGTTGTGTTTTATAATTATTCTTCCGCTGAGTTTAATGAGCAATCATACCTCTGTATTTTTCTTTATGGAGTCCTGTAGCTCAGTGGTTAGAGCACTCGCTTTGCAAGCGAGAGACCTGAGTTCAATTCCAGGCAGAGGGCGAAACCTTGGGCAAGTTTCCTTACTCCACACGCCTAATAATAATCCCTCCAAAGCCACGTTCGCCCACAAATACACAGTCAATTCACTTTACAGTGTGTTCTGTGAAGCGCTTTGGGACGTCCTCCCGACGTGAAAAGCGCTACATCAAATGCAAGGATTATTATTATTATTATTATTTATCAGGTGGTCACCAAGGTCCCACTAGTGCTCCTTCTAAACACGGTACCGGTAAGTACACTTATATTATTAACCTGTTAAGATGTATATTTATAGAAAGGTTTCCACTGCTTTGAATGAGAGTTCAATTTTTTTGTTCACTCCTGGGTACAGGGTTTCCAGGTTCTACTGGTAAGCATAATGCTGTTGCTTAATGAAGTATCATCAGCTTGCACTGGGTTGGAGTGCAAAATAAGATGTTAGATTGTTTAGGACGACACTTTTCAGAGGCAAGGATCATGTGAAAAGCACGAAAAGGAAATTCTAGATCATTCTGATTCCACAACCGATTGCCTCTGTCATTGGCTTCCATGCTGATGCCATTGGTTCATCACCGATCATCACCAGCATCCTCATAAAAGTAGTATTTGTCACCCATATGAAAGAATAAATGTTGTGACCGAATTTTGTGCATATATTTAGTGTAATTTACTTCTTGTTTAGGTATGCAGCATACCTAAACAAGAAGCAAAATTGCACTATAGGTATGCACCTGTGAGAGAAGTTTGGGGAGGGGAGAAGCAGATGGATCAAAGTGCAAGTAATTCTTTCTGGGAATTTATCAGTTGCATGTAATTAGACAGCCACTAATATTTGTGTGATCATCGAATTTTATGTTGTTCAATTGCAGGATTAAAACGCAAGTTAACCCTGGGTTTGGGTAAGTAAAGCTATCTGCTTTATTTTGTTGGTTGGCAAAAATATGTATTAACGGGTTTCAAGATTATATTAATCAAATTAATTTTTTTTTACAAATTGTACTTTCCAAATACACAGGCTACTTACTCTGTATTATTTTTTAGCCAACTTGATGTTGTAAAGATGTGCACTTATCTAATTTCACCGTATTTCATTATGTAGCTAGATATTATTTGCCAAGAGACTCCCAAATTGTACGAGATTTCCTTGTTTAAAATGAGTGTTACAATAATCCTTGTACTGTGCAATATTCTGGATCCAAAAGCTTTGCATGTATGATGTTTCCAATATACATTGGTGCAAATGATACAATTAATTACTTATGAGAATGCCTTTCTGCAGCAACAAAGCTGCACTTTATGCACATAATTGTGATTGCGAACTGATGATATATTTCTTTTATTTAGGATTGTTCTTTGGCTTTGCAGCTTTGATCTGTATCATTGTGGCAATAGTATACTGGTTTTACTTTAAATAGAATGAAGGATAGGCAAACAACTGCTCCTCATCCGGTTGTGTGTATACCATACAAGTACTATTTTTGGTGGAAGATCGAACTGAAATATTTTTCAACTACATCTTGTAATTACAGCAGGTGAATTGAAATAAAGTTTTTTTTTAATGTAATATAGGTTTTCAATTTGCAACCAGTTACAGTGTGGATTGTATTTAATTAAGGCTTGTTGCCCATAAAATACAGAGGCAATCCACTTTACAGTATATTCTGTGAAGCGCTTTGAGACGTGTCAAGACATAATAAGGTGCGATATCAAATGCACGGATTATTATTATTTGAACACTACATAGTTATGAAGGAATCACTCTTGAGTTCAGTATGTAATAAGTTTATGTCATTTTTTTGCACAAGTTCTCTGTAAGGATGTGAGTTCGCTCAAAGTGCTGATTGATATGCATTTTAAGATGTATGACTATATTGAATAACTTGTGAGGTCCAATATTGGAATATTCCTCTTTTTTTTAAAAAATGCAGACAAATATGCTTCAGAGAAGTCATAATGTCAAAGCTTCTGTTAGGTTTATTCCAGGTTTTTACCTTAATTTCTTTTAGTTATCCAGTCGCATTCTAAATGCTTAAATATCTATGAATTTACAAACAGAATTCTGTTGGAATGCAGTGATTTGGGTCCATCAAGTCCGATGCAGCATTATAAACAGATTGTTTTATTGTGGCCACAGGTTAGCATTTCTTGGCCATCAGTGATATTGTGCAGGAAGCGAGCAAGTGCTCTCCTCAGCATTTCTGGCAGTTTCTATGAGGCCTTCTGTCTCCAGAATGATATGCTGCAATGTGCTATAACCTTGTCCTGAGAGAGTATTTTAAATCAAATTTGCTGTGAACAATGTTTCTGGCCTGCTGATGATCAGATTGATGTAAATCTCTTTGCTTTAAAGGGGAATAATAAAGAAACAATTCAAGTGTATTTATAGCTTCTTTAATTTTTTTCATTTTATTTCAATTTGATCTCTCACCACACTAGACTCCACAGGCTCGGCTCCATGACTCAGAGGATCAAGTTCAGGGTCCTCGTCCTCACTTTTAAATCTCCAAGATCTTGCCCCATCCGATTTCTGTAACCTTCTCAAACCCTCTCCGCCTCCGTTCAGCAGACAATGGCCTGCTTCACGTCCACACCCAGCCAATTGCGCACAGCAGCGTCCCACAAACAGTCACGGGTTGAGTGATCAATTTTTTTTGGGGGGTGATTATCACTCAAACGTACTAACACACACACTCAAATGCACTCACACACACTCAAATGCACTTACACACACTCAAACGCACACCCACACACACACTCAAACGCACTCACATGCGCACACACATACACACACTCTCAAACACACTTACAAACACACACTCTAACACACACACACTCAGAAAACATTCAAGACACTTTCAAACACACTCATTCTCACTCACTCACTCACTCACTCACACGTACTGTCTCTCTCTGTCTGTTCAACATCAGTTTTTTTAACTCGCTGTGTGCTGTTAGTTTCTTAATCCTCAATGACAATCCTTGCATTTGATAGAGAGCCTTATCACAACAGCAACCTGCGTTTATACAGCGCTCCTCACACAGGGCGGTGACCCAGAGCGCTTGGCAGTGGTGGAGCGCGATTCCGAGGAGGAGGGAGGCGACCGTAAGCACAAGCAAAAGTTAGGGCTGAAGTCTTATGCGTAAATCCGGGAAAGCTCTCCTGTGACTGGAAGAATCATGTTGAAATATGGTTGAAGCTATAATTTGTTTTAAAAAGGCGAATGTGGTGAACCCCCAAGATTGAACGATGGATTCCAGTTACTGATCTTACTCAGACCTCATTACCTGTGGGTACGAGAATTCGAACCTGCCAACCAGCTTCCACTGTTACTACTAATGGTATCTGAGTCTCTGTTGGAGAGGTTCGTGTATTTCATTACGTCTTCAGTCTTCATCCTTGAGCTAGAAAGTGCACAGCCGAGTCCCACAGACAAACGGTCGTGGATGGAGTCCGAGACCAATTTATTTGTGCACAGCTCCGGGATTTGGCAGAGGGCGGGGGAGGATTTGCTGGAAATTAATACAGGTTTGCAGCTTAAAAGTCAACCAAAGAATAGCCCCAAAAGTAGCCCAATCCGCACAGTACAGCGACCAAACGAGAAGAAAAGACGCCCAATTGGGCGTGAACCCGCCCAACATTGGCTGGTGGGGGGAGGAGAGGCGAGGAGCGGGCGGAAAGGGGAGCAGTGCGCGTGCGCGGCCGGCGCCGGCCAATCGCGGAGCGAGTGTCGCGCATGCGCCCGCCGCCTGAGGGCGTGGAAGCGCGGGAACCGCACGTGCGGACGGCAGTTACTGCGAACACCACAGGGCCGAGAGAGAGAGAGAGAGAGAGAGGCTCTTCTGGTGGGGGTGACCCCCCCCCCAACCGCCCCCCCACCCAACCAACACCCCCCCAACCCAACACCCCCCCACCCAACACCCCCCCCACCCCCCCAACCAACCCCCCACCCAACACCCCAACAACACCCACCCCAACACCCCCAACCCAACCACCCCAACCCAACACCCCACCCCCCCAACCCCCCCCCCAACACCCCCCCACCCAACACCCCCCCACCCCCCCCCCAACAACACCCCCCCCACCCACCACCCCCCCCACCCCCACCCCCCCCCCCCCCAACACCCCCCCAACCCAACACCCCCCCCCCACCCAACCCACCCCCCCAACACCCCCCCACCCAACACCCCCCACCCAACCCAACCCCCCCACCCAACACCCCCCACCCAACCCCCCCCACCCAACCCCCCCCCAACCGCCCACCCAACACCCCCCCCACCAACAGCCCCCACCCAACACCCCCCACCCAACCGCCCCCCAACCCAACACCCCCACCCAACCGCCCCCCAACCCAACCCCCCCAACCCAACACCCCACCCCAACCAACACCCCCCAACCCAACACCCCCCCAACCCAACACCCAACCCAACCCCCCAACCCAACACCCCCCCAACTCAACATACCCCCCCAACCCAACACCCCCCCAACCCAACACACCCCCAAACCCAACCCACCCAACTCAACCCAACACCCCAACCCCCCCAATCAACACCCCAAATCCCCCCCACCCAACCCCCCCCCAATAATAATAATCTTTCCATTTGAGATAGCGCTTTTCACGTCCTCTCGCCGACTCAAAAGCGCTTCACAGAGTAGACTGTCTGTCTGTCTCTCTCAATCAAATGCAAGGATTATTTATTATTACTGTTATTTGTTATTGTAATAATAAAAAGGCAAGCGAGAGGAGGCACGAAGCGCGGAAAGGCCCTGGAGCCTGACTCCTCGAATCGCACCTGTCGCTGAGGAGGAGGAGGAAGAGGAGGAGGAGAGCCTGTACCGCCATGAAGCTGTGGGGAGATTTGCCGCTAACGGCGGTGCTGACGTTGCTGCTGTGCGGAGCCTGTGTGATCCAAGTCAGGGGTATGGACAGCTCTCCTCCCATACCTCCCCCCTTCACTCTCACACAGCCTGATAAGGCACTAGATCAAATGCAACAACAACGACAAATTACATTTATATAGCGCCTTGCATGTGATATATTGTGAAGTGCAGTTGCTGGGTACTTTGCTGGGGCAGCCCAGCCGTGCCCCCTCCCTCCCCCCGAGCAGCCATGGAGTGAACAACCAATTTTACTTGGGAATTGTTGGCCAAAACACAGGGAGAAACTCCCTTTTTTTCAAGTAGTACTGAGGGATCTTTAACGTCTGCTGGTTTAATGTTTAATCTGAAGGACGGTGCCTCTGACAATGCAGAGCTCTCTCCCCAGCCCACCAGCCCTTTCCCCAGCATCCCATTGGAGGGTCAGCCTGGACCACAAGCTCAAAATCCTGTGTGGACCTTGAACCCACAGTCTTCTGACTCGTAGGCAAGAGTGCTGAGTTTTCATGGCATTTTGCCGACAAACATACAGTGTGTCAGAGGCAAAGAGTGTTATAAACCATTCTTTGTAAATCTCTGAATTTTTCTGCCTCTAATTGTGCACTAAACAAAAGTTTGGATTGATGACTTATGAGGGTAAACCAGGTCTTATACATAAATTGAAGAATGTTCCAATGTGACTGGAAGAATCGTGTTGAAATATGGTTGAAAGTATAATTTGTTTCAAAAAAGGTGATTGTGGTAAACCCCCAAGATTGAACAATGGATTTCCAGTTACTGATCTTACTCAGACCTCATTTCCTGTGGGTACGAAAATTCGTTACAGGTGTAACGAAGGTTTCAGCTTGGCTCAAGGAAAATCCCCATTTATCACTTGCCAGGCTGATTCATCATGGACAGCGTTTGTGACCGTTTGTGAAGGTAACTGATAAGTATCTGATTTTTTTCTTCCACGTTTTCAGCTCTGTTGACACCTGTTCTGCAGGAAACGGCAGATGTTTATGTACAGTTCCATTTTCTGCAATGCCACTGTTTTAAAGGAGATTCTGTCACAGTGAGTTTGGGGAGGTTGTTTGGGGAGGTTGTTTAGCCATAGCTGAACCTTGATCATCTCTAATCCCACATGAATTGCTCATCAGGGTTGGTAATTCCACCATCCCTTGATCTGCTGGAGATGTCCGCCAACCAGCTTCAATCTTCATCCTTTAGCTAGAAAATGCTGGCTCAATTCTCAGTCAATAATTGTATAAACATAAGAGCGTAAATTCCTATCTTCATAAGTATGCACCTCCATGCGTGTGGAAATGGTATTTTAACACAACTAAAGGCTTATTTGAGACTAGACTTCAGAAATTGTGATGACTAATTGGAATTCTGAAAGTTGTGTGGTTTCTTTTACTTTGCTTTCCTCTTGAGTTGAATTGCACTGAAATCTATTTTTGTTTCCTATTTTCTATGAAGCAAGAAGCTGTGGTGCCCCGCCAGATATTGAGAATGGATATTATGAAGCAACATCTGTTGTTTTTGGAGGCAGAGTTACATATTATTGTGATGAAGGGTAAGTATTCATCGGTGATTCTCATCATCTGCAGCAATATATCTTTACCTGTTCAGCAGGACTAGTTCCTGCCATTTCAGGGATTATTGTTAAAAGAGTCAGGAAATCGCTCAATTTACGGGGATGAATTAGGAGGAGAATTTAATTTAAACTTAATAGAATTTAAACTTAGAATGCCAGTCTGCAGCTTGTTTCTCTTCTAAGGATTGGTCAGACTCACCTGGAGAACTGTAAGGTTGTGTGATCACTTGTTGATGAGAAAAATACTGCTGCTTTCTGGGATGATACAGTTGCAAAATCAGGCTAATTCTGAGATGGGAGAAATTTAATGCAAGGAGGGTTAAGTAATTCAGGGCTGACTACATTTGAAAATGAACGTATCTTGTTTGAAATTTGCTGGTGGAGATTTTAAGGTGTAGTGATTGATGCTTACAATATGATGAAGGGGATTGATCAAGTTCTGCATAGTGGCAAAGGAATTAAACATGAGGGAAAACAAATTGGAATTTGTGCAGTCAAAGAACTAGATAACCTTTTTTTTTTAAGAAGGGTGATAGATTTACCAACACAGATTATCGGAAAATCTTTTTCTGGAAAGATGTGGATATAGTGAGAAAGCAGGAAGTTGGGATTGAGAGTGAAAAATGAGATTGCCTCTTTGAGTGTAAATACTAATCTAGCAGGATTAATACAGTGGTTATAAAACTAACTGTTGGCTTGTTTTCTAAGATCAAATTGTTATAGCTTTGGTTTCTCTTAAATAGATTCTCCTTTTCTTTCTCCAGATACGATTTGATTGGTAGATCATCCCAAAACTGTATAGCTGAGGGTTGGGATGGCAGAACCCCAGTCTGTGATCGTAAGCTATGGTTCTATATTTTTTGCAATATCTGACATGCTTTTCTATTACAAAAAAATGAACAACATTTAAAGGTATTGACCACATCTGGATATTTGTTTTGTTTGATTTCCATAGATATTCAAATGTGTATTAAGGCAAATGTAAGAATATTGAATATTCCAGAACTACATATCAATTTATTTTGTATTGCTCTGAAAGGACTCTGGTTCCCTGTTCAGGTCCTTTTCATAATCCAACCAATAAAATAATTGGCTCAATACTAACCTTTTAGGAATACCTCTGTTTTTACTGAGAATTTACTGAACAGGGAGCCCGGTTGAGCATAAGTTCATGTAAAGCATGTGTCTACGTATGACTTATGGTTCACCTGATTCTGGGGCTGACTGTCCAACCTATTGCATCATCGGGTTGTCACTTCCCATGTGCTGTGTATGCACGCTATGCTCACAAAGTGTTACAAACATTAACTTCCAAAGGAAGTAACGTCAGCAATGATTCTTGTGTGTGACAGTGACATCCTTCCTATGTAACTACCATCATTTTTAACCGCCCAAAAGAAAACATCCTGATGAGATAACTTGCTAAGTATACCAAACAATATATATATATAACTCATGAAATCACTAATTGTTTAAAAAAAGGTAACTTTCTACTGGACCAATTTACATTGTCCACAAAATATAGAATTCTAAAATGTCACACAACTGCCTATTTATTCCCATTTAATCATTTTACTCCACACGCCTAATAATAATAATCCCTCCAAAAAAAATAATAAATTGGTCATTTTCAATCCACGACTGTTTGTGGGACGTTGCTGTGCGCAATTGGCTGCCGCGTTTCACCCACAAATATACAGTCATTTCACTTTACAGCATATTCTGTGAAGCGCTTTGAGATGTCTAGAAGACATGAAAAGTGCTATATCAAATGCAAGGATTATTATTATTATTATTACTTAGCTTGTGCTGTGTTCTCTGATGGTCATATCGACCCGTCCGCTCCCTCCACTCAGCAGGCTCTGACCTGCTCCGGTTCCCCGGACGGTCCGCCCCACCATTGGTGGTCGGGCCTTCAGCCTCTCTGGAACTCCATTTCACAGTCCCTTCACCTTGCTCTCTCCCTTGCCTTGTTCAAGGCAGGTCTCATGACCGTTCTCTTCGACTGTGCCTTTAAACACCCTCCCTCCCCTGCCTTCCAGCCCTCCTGATCCCAACCCCTGCCCTCCCTTCCTCCTGATACCAACCGCCTGCTCGGGTCCAAATGCCTGACTGTCCAGGGTCTTGGAACGTCCTCCCAACGGTGAAAGGCGCTATACAAATGTAACTTGTTGTTGATGTAGTTTATTGATGCAGCAGTGAGTCGTGCCACTAACCTGACTGTGGTCTTAAAACTTAAAAGTAAAGTTTTGAACAGTCTGTTCTAACATGAGTGAATTATTATCCTCCAGCTGTGAAATGTCCTGATCTTCCACCTATTGCTAATGGGAGAACTCCACCACTGTTTACGGATTTCTGGGAATATCCAAACTCAGCTACATATAAATGTAACGCTGGATTTACATTGATTGGTCAGAAGACAATTACTTGCTTGGTGACTGGCAGGTGGAATCATAAACCTCCGGAATGCAAAGGTACTAACTATAGAATCACAATTAAACAACAATCTCAGCTAAAGTTGTGAATTTCAAAATATCATTGAATAATTGTTATTTATTCTATTCTGAAGTTCAGCTACCAAATTTGCTGCTACACGGTGGTTGAAGCAGATTTCAAGAAGGCAGTGGATTTTAAGGAGAGGGTCAAGTTCAAAGTGCATGGTCTAGAGACTATCCTTTGGTCTTTGACTCTGCCCCCTGTCACTTTTAGCACTGTCACTTTGATCTTTTCCGATGCTTCTTGAATGATCTACATGCTCCCTTTCGGCGATGTCATCCGCAGACATGGGGTCAACTTCCCCATGCATACCAATGACACCCAAATCTACTTCTCCTCCTCCAGACAAGTGCAAACTTGTCCTTCGCTCCATAAACCTATTACTTTCCTCTCTTGACAGTTGTTGAATGTTGGCGTCCCGATCCTCCAATCAAAAATGGAATGATAAAATCAGGATTTGGACCCAAGTACAAGTATCGTGAGGCGATTATCTACCAATGCAATGAAGGTTTTCGAATGTTTGGCAAAGATATGGTTCAATGTAGAGCAGATAATACATTTGAACCAGCACCTCTCTGCATTCCAGGTAACTTTTTCTTTATCGTGGTGGTGGGGTGCAGAAAATCCTCTGGAATGAGCAGTTTTATTAATGTCTTCTCTAAAATATTTATGTACAGCAGGTGTAGTACTGTCAGGCAGTGCAGTTAATCTACATTTTACATCTACATTGCCACGCAAAAAGATGCTCTTGTTGCTTTATGCTAATCTGTTTTCTCTCAAGAATAAATTTGGGCTTCTATAGAATGAAAACTCCCCAGAAATTCTGCCCAAACGTGCATTTATTCTGTTGATATAACTAGAACATCTTGTTTTTTCTATTAGGCGCTCTGAGATGCTACCCAGTATGAAGGGGGCTGTATAAATGCAAGTTGTTATATATTGATTTGGTTTGTGGTTATTGTGGTAGGTGTGAATCCATTACCTGCTATATTGTGTTTTATAATTATTCTTCTGCTGAGTTTAATGAGCAATCATACCTCTGTATTTTTCTTTATCAGTTGGTGACCCAGATCCCACTAGTGTTTCTCCTGAATACAGTACCTTCAGCAGTAAGTACACTGATATATCTAACCTGTTAAGATGTATTTTTATAGAAAGGTTTCCACTGCTTTGAATGAGAGTTTAATTTTTTTTTGTTCACTCCTGTGTACAGGTTATCCAGGTTCTACTGGTAAGCATAATGCTGTTGCTTAATGAAGTATCATCAGCTTGCACTGGGTTGGAGTGCAAAATAAGATGTTAGATTGTTTAGGACAACACTTTTCAGAGGCAAGGATCATGTGAAAAGCACGAAAAGGAAATTCTAGATCATTCTGATCCCACAACCGATTGCCTCTGTCATTGGCTTCCATGCTGATGCCATTGGTTCATCACCGATCATCACCAGCATCCTCATAAAAGTAGTATTTGTCACCCATGTGAAAGAATAAATGTTGTGACCGAATTTTGTGCATATATTTAGTGTAATTTACTTCTTGTTTAGGTATGCAGCATACCTAAACAAGAAGCAAAATTGCACTATAGGTATGCACCTGTGAGAGAAGTTTGGGGAGGGGAGAAGCAGATGGATCAAAGTGTCAAGTAATTCTTTCTGGGAATTTATCAGTTGCATGTAATTAGACAGCCACTAATATTTGTGTGATCATCGAATTTTATGTTGTTCAATTGCAGCATCAAAACAAAAGTTAAACGTGGGTTTGGGTAAGTAAAGCTATCTGCTTTATTTTGTAGCTTGGCAAAAATATGTATTAACGGGTTTCAAGATTATATTAATCAAATTAATTTTTTTTAACAAATTGTACTTTCCAAATACACAGGCTACTTACTCTGTATTATTTTTTAGCCAACTTGATGTTGTAAAGATGTGCACTTATCTAATTTCACCGTATTTCATTATGTAGCTAGATATTATTTGCCAAGAGACTCCCAAATTGTACGAGATTTCCTTGTTTAAAATGAGTGTTACAATAATCCTTGTACTGTGCAATATTCTGGATCCAAAAGCTTTGCATGTATGATGTTTCCAATATACATTGGTGCAAATGATACAATTAATTACTTATGAGAATGCCTTTCTGCAGCAACAAAGCTGCACTTTATGCACATAATTGTGATTGCGAACTGATGATATATTTCTTTTATTTAGGAATGTTCTTTGGCTTTGCAGCTTTTGTCTGTATCATTGCGGCAATAGTATACTGGTTTTACTTTAAATAAATGAAGGATAGGCAAACAACTGCTCCTCATCCGGTTGTGTGTATACCATACAAGTAATATTTTTGGTGGAAGATCGAACTGAAATATTTTTCAACTACATCTTGAAATTTTTGCAATGCAAGTTTGTACTTTTCGCCAATTATGATGGGATTATGCAGGTGCTTTTTGAGAATATCCACATATTTATTGTAATTACAGCAGCTGAATTGAAATCAAAGTTTTTTTTAAATGTAATGTAGGTTTTCAATTTGCAACCAGTTACAGTGTGGATTGTATTTAATTAAGGCCTGTTGCCCATAAAATACAGAGGCAATCCACTTTACAGTATATTCTGTGAAGCGCTTTGAGACGTGTCAAGACATAATAAGGTGCGATATCAAATGCACGGATTATTATTATTTGAACACTACATAGTTATGAAGGAATCACTCTTGAGTTCAGTATGTAATAAGTTTATGTCATTTTTTTGCACAAGTTCTCTGTAAGGATGTGAGTTCGCTCAAAGTGCTGATTGATATGCATTTTAAGATGTATGACTATATTGAATAACTTGTGAGGTCCGATATTGGAATATTCCTCTTTTTAAAAAAAAATGCAGACCAATAAGCTTCAGAGAAGTCATAATGTCAAAGCTTCTGTTCGGCTTATTCCAGGTTTTTACCTTAATTTCTTTTAGTTATCCAGTCGCATTCTAAATGCTTAAATATCTATGAATTTACAAATAGAATTCTGTTGGAATGCAGTGATTTGGGTCCATCAAGTCCGATGCAGCATTATAAACAGATTGTTTTATTGTGGCCACAGGTTAGCATTTCTTGGCCATCAGTGATATTGTGCAGGAAGCGAGCAAGTGCTCTCCTCAGCATTTCTGTCAGTTTCTATGAGGCCTTCTGTCTCCAGAATGATATGCTGCAACGTGCTATAACCTTGTCCTGAGAGAGTATTTTAAATCAAATTTGCTGTGAACAATGTTTCTGGCCTGCGGATGATCAGATTGATGTAAATCTCTTTGCTTTAAAGGGGAATAATAAAGAAACGTTCAAGTGTATTTATAGCTTCTTTAATTTTTTTCATTTTATTTCAATTTGATCTCTCACCACACTAGACTCCACAGGCTTGGCTCCATGACTCAGAGGATCAAGTTCAGGGTCCTCGTCCTCACTTTTAAATCTCCAAGATCTTGCCCCATCCGATTTCTGTAACCTTCTCAAACCCTCTCCGCCTCCGTTCAGCAGACAATGGCCTGCTTCACGTCCACACCCAGACCGCCCTGAGCTGATGGGCTTTCAGCATTTCCGCTCCACCCTCCGAAACTCCATCCTGGAGTCCCTTTGCCTCACCCCTTCCTCACAAAAATAACAAATTGTGTTTATGTAGCACCTTTCGTGTCGGGTGGACTTCCCCAACGTGTTACTGCAGCCCTGTCCCATAGGATCGATTAACAATAACACCTGCATTTGATATAACGCCTTATAACTTCGTTGAGATATCTCAAACTGCTTCACAGAATGTGAAGTGCATTGACTGTGTATCTTGTGGGCGAAATCGGCAGCCAATTGCGCACCGCAGCGTCCCACAAACAGTCGCGGGTTGAGTGATCAATTTTTTTTGGGGGGGGGGTGATTATCACCCCCTGGAAAATGATCCGCCAATCGACTAACACCCGGGTTCCTAGTAACTTCTCGGTAAACTAGAGGCGTGCGGAGCAATGCGCAAACGGCTGCCGCATTTCGCCCACAAAATATGCAGTCAGTTCGCCCCAACAGCGTGTCCCGCGAAGCGCTTCTGAGCCGTCTCGGACGACCCGCTGTGTATCAAATGCGAGGATTATTGTGGCAACAGCCACAATAATAATAATTATTATTATTACAATTGCCTATAATTATTAGAAATAATAGCCGTTCAATTTGGTTCAATGATATTGAACCTCCTTATAATTATGATAATTGTGAGTAAAACTTATTACGGACAATCGCAATGAACGGCCCCCGGGGAATCGAACCCCCCACCGTGACGACCCCCCCCCCCCCCCACACACAGGCGACTTCGCCAGACGAGCGCTCTTGACCGCTGAGCTACAGGATCCGGTGTGTGTGCGCGTGCGCGCGCGGTTTTCCCCCCCCCCCCCCCTCCCCTCTAAGAACCACGTGACGGGTCGACTGAGGTGACGAGCGGAAAAAGGAGCGCGCGTGCGCAGCAGGGCTTTGGTGCGGGCGGGGGTGGGGCGTGGCGTTCCCGCGCGTGCGCACCCCCTGCGGGCGGTCGCGAGCGGCGGGCGGGCGGGCGAGCGCGCGCGCGCACGCACGACGGTTGGGCGCTGCCTCCTGAGGCGGTTTGTTTACGGCTCTCAGCGGAGGAGGAGGAGGAGGAGCGGCGGCGACGGCGACGCACATTTTGTCTGGTTTCGGTTTTTTTTTCTCTCCCCCACCGACAAGCGAGAGGCCGCCGCTCGAGGAGACGCGGAGCCTGAGGAGAGAGAGAGAGAGAGAGAGGAGAGAGAGAAGCATCGGGAGCGGCCGCTCGGAGACTGCAAGGCCCCGGGCGGGTGGGCGGGTGGTGGGGAGGGAGAGCGGGAGATGGAGGGCGGTGCGGCCACGAGGCTGTCGGGTGATCTGCTGCTCACGGCGGCTCTGCTGCTGCTGCAGAGCGGGGCCGGTGTCATCCTGGTCAGCGGTAAGGAGACAGCGGCTGCTCACTCACTCACTCACACACACACACACACACTCAAATACACTCACTCACTCACACACACACACACACTCAAATACACTCACTCACACACACACACACACTCAAATACACTCACTCACACACACACTCAAATACACTCACTCACTCACACACACACACACACTCAAATACACTCACTCACTCACACTCACTCACACACACTCAAATACACTCACTCACACACACACACACACACTCAAATACACTCACTCACACACACACACTCAAATACACTCACACACACACACTCAAATACACTCACTCACTCACACACACTCAAATACATTCACTCACACACACACTCAAATACACACACACACACACTCAAATACACTCACTCACACACACACACAAATACACACACACCCTCACACACACACACAAATACACTCACTCACACACACACTCAAATACACTCACTCACTCACTCACACACACACTCAAATACACTCACTCACACACACACACACTCAAATACACTCACTCACACACACACACTCACTCACACACACACACACTCACATACACTCACACACACACACTCAAATACACTCACTCACTCACACACACACTCAAATACACTCACACACACACACTCAAATACACTCACACACACACTCAAATACACTCACTCACACACACACACACTCAAATACACTCACACACACACACTCAAATACACTCACACACACACTCACTCACACACACACACTCAAATACACACACACCCTCACACACACCCCCCCCCCCCCACACACACACACACTCAAATACACTCACTCACACACACACGCACTCAAATACACACACTCTAACGCACTCAAATACACTCACACACACACGCACTCAAATACACACACTCTAACGCACTCAAATACACTCACACACACACGCACTCAAATACACACACTCAAACACACTCACACACACTCTTAAACACGCACTCGCTCATTTATGAACGCACGAGCGCACTCACTCACACACACACACACACACACTCAAATGCACTCACGCACCACACGCACACACACTTTCTAACACACACACACACACACTCATAAACACTCGAGACACTTTCAAACACACTCATTCTCACTCACTCACTCACCCACACGTTTTCTCTCTCTCTCTCTCTGTCTGTTCAACATCAGTTTTTTTAACTCGCTGTGTGCTGTTAGTTTCTTAATCCTCAATGACAATCCTTGCATTTGATAGAGAGCCTTATCACAACAGCAACCTGCGTTTATACAGCGCTCCTCACACAGGGCGGTGACCCAGAGCGCTTGGCAGTGGTGGAGCGCGATTCCGAGGAGGAGGGAGGCGACCGTAAGCACAAGCAAAAGTTAGGGCTGAAGTCTTATGCGTAAATCCGGGAAAGCTCTACTGTGACTGGAAGAATCGTGTTGAAATATGGTTGAAGCTATAATTTGTTTTAAAAAGGCGAATGTGGTGAACCCCCAAGATTGAACGATGGATTTCCAGATATTGATCTTACTCAGACCTCATTTCCTGTGGGTACGAGAATTCGTTACAGGTGTAACGAAGGTTTCAGCTTGGCTGAAGGAAAATCCCCATTGATCACTTGCCAGGCTGATTCATCATGGACAGCGTTTGTGACCGTTTGTGAAGGTAACTGATAAGTATCTTATCTTTTTCCTCTAAGTTTTCAGCTCTGTTGACACCTGTTCTGCAGAAAACGGCAGATGTTTATGTACAGTTCCATTTTCTGCAATACCACTATTTTGAGTGAGATTCTGTCACAGTGAGTTTGGGGAGGTTGTTCAGCCATAGCTGAACCTTGATCATCTCTAATTGTTTTCCCACATTAATTGCTCGGGGAGGGGGGGGTCCAATTCCACCATCTGTTGATCTGCTGGAGATGTCTGCCAACCAGCTTCCACTGTTACTACTAATGATATCTGAGTCTCTGTTGGAGAGGTTGGTGTATTTCATTACGTCTTCAGTCTTCATCCTTTAGCTAGAAAATGCTGGCTCAATGCTCAGTCAATAATTGTATAACATAGCATAACATAGGAGCAGGAGTACGCCATTCGGCCCTTCGAGCCTGCCCCGCCATTGAATCATGGCTGATCTTCTAATCTAACTCCAGCTAATAACCTGACCCTGCCTTATCCCCATTTCCCTTAAACTCTTTTGCAGTAAGAAATCTATCTGTCTCAGTCTTGAATATGTTCAAGGACTGAGCGTCACCAGCCCTTTGGGTAATGAATTCCATACATTCACCACCCTTTTGAGTGAAGAAGTTCTTCCTCAACTCAGTGCGAAAGGGCTGCCTCTGATTTTAAGGTTGTGACCCCTGGTTTTAGTTTCTCCAACCGGGGGACACAATCTCCCACTATCTACTCTCATGGCCTTTGATGATCTTATAGGTTTCTATAAGATCCCCTCTAATTCTTCTATATTCTAGAGAATATAGGCCCAAATTGGTCAGCCCTTCCTCGTAACTCATCCCCTTCATCCCTGGCACTAACCCAGTAAATCTACGCTGCACCCCCTCCAAGGCAAGTACATCCTTCTTTAAATAAGGAAACCAAAACTGCACACAGTATTCCAGGTGTGGTCTTACCAGGACCCTATACAGTTGCAGCAAGACTTCCCTACTCTTATACTCTAATCCTTTCATAATGAATGCTAACATACTGTTCGCCTTCCTAATTGCTGCTGCACCTGCAGACTAACTTTCTGTGATTGGTGTACAAGGACACCCAAGTCCCTCTGGACACTAACACATTCCAATCTCTCCCCTTCTAAAAAAATAACCTGCCCTTCTGTTTTTTCTACCTATGTGGATGACTTTGCACTTCCCTACATTATATTTCATCTGCCACCTATCTGTCCAATCACCTAACCTTGGGCCGAATGGCCTATTCCTGCTCCTATAAGTTATGCTATGTTATACAATTATTGACTGAGCATTGAGCCAGCATTTTCTAGCTAAAGGATGAAGACTGAAGATTTACGATCTTGCAATCCATGAGGACTGTTCCAGAACCCAAGGAATTTTGGAAGATCAGACATAAGGCCGCCACTATCTCATAAGCTCCTCTTTTAAAGCCCTGGGATGCAAGCCATCCGGACCAGAGGATTTGTCACTTTTTAGTGCTAACAGTTTCCCTAGCACCAATTCTCTACGAATGAAAATTTCCCTAAGTTGCTCCTTGTCCTTATCCCTTTGGTGCATCTCTATTGTTGGCAGACTTGTGCCTTCTAGGGTGAAGACAGATGCAAAGTACCCATTTAGGGACTCTGCCATGTTCTTATCCACCATTACAACTTCTCCCGTCTCTGACTGAAGTGGACCTATATTTACCCACACTGGCCTATTCCTCTTAATATATTTGTAAAAACTTTTACAATCATAGATTTAATGTTCCTAGCTAGCTTACCCTCATACTCTTTTTTCTCGCTCTTAATGAGTTTTTTAGTTTTTTTTAGTTTAAACATAAGAGCGTAATTCCTATCTTCATAAGTACGCACCTCCATGAGTGTGGAAATGGTATTTTAACACACCCAAAGGCTTATTTGAGACTAGACTTCAGAACTTGTCACGACTAATTGGAATTTTGAAAGTTGTATGGTTATTTTTATTTTGCTTTGAATTGAATTGCACTGAAATCTCATTTTTTGTTTCCTATTTTCTATGAAGCAAACAGCTGTGGTGCGCCGCCAGATCTTTTGAATGGATATTATAAAACAACATCTGTTGTTTTTGGAGGCATAGTTACATATTATTGTAATGAAGGGTGAGTATTCACCCCTGGTCCTCACTACTCTGCTGCAGAAAAAGCTCCTTACACGATGAGCGTCACTGGTCCCTGCAATTTCATGGGTTTATTACAGTTCAGGGTGTTGATCAGAAAACGTGGCTCAAAAAGGTTAAATTGGAAGAGGAACAGAATTAAGCTCAAGATCTTAACTTGGTTTCTGTTATAAAGGTTGGTCAGATTTGGAGTCCTGTAGCGAAGTGGTTAGTGCACTCAGCTCGTAAGTGAGAGGACTCAGGTTTGATTCCCGGGTGGGGCAAAATGTTGGGCAAGTTTCCTTACTCCACATGTCTTCGTTTACCTCGCAGTAAGTAGGAGCCTGGTTGTCAGTCGATTGGCCTTAGCCTTTAAGCTGCTTACCTCTCTGCAAGCCAATCAGAAGGTGTGGTAGGTGAGGGGGTTAAGAGTGGAACAACAAGACTGCTCCTTTGGGTGTAATACAGGTCTCGTATAGTAAACTTAAAAATATAACTTTGCCTGCTTCCTAAGAGGCAACTATTATAGCTTTGATTTCTCTTAAATACCTTCTCCTTTTCTTTAGATACAATTTGGTTGGTAAAGATACCCAAAATTGTATAGCACATGGTTGGGATGGCAGAACCCCAGTCTGTGATGGTGAGTTATGTTTCCATATTCCTTGCAGCAGCTGAAATGTTTTTTCATACCAAACGAACAACGTTTAATGAATTTATACATCTGGAATGTTTGTTTCATTTGATTTCCATAAATATTTCTGATATAACAGCACAGGAATATTTGATATAGTTCCTTAATCATTATCAAACTGGTTTATGGAATGTGGAAATTGAATTCTAACTTCCAACTGGAGATCAGTCATTGCTGAATTATTTTCCCCCAGCTGTGACGTGTGATGATCTTCCACCAATTGAAAATGGAAAAACTCCACCACTACTTCAAGAGAACTGGGAATATGAAAATGCAGCAACGTTTACATGTAATCCTACATATACATTGATTGGTGAAAGAACAATTTATTGCCGGGCGAATGGTACATGGAGTGATATTCCTCCAAAATGCAAAGGTACTGATTATAGGATTGGAAATAGCCATTTCTGCTGACGTTGGGAAGTTCAAAATATACATGTTACTTTATGAAATTCTGCTCTCAAACAGCTGGTCATCTAACCATATGTGAGATGCTCTAAATATGAAGGATTTTCTTTTCATTTCCATTGTAGTCATCATTTTAATTTGCCTATTTCTGAGTATTCTGAGTAAATGTGGTGTCCTGTAGCTCAGTGGTTAGAGCACTCGCTTTGCAAGCGAGAGACCTGAGTTCAATTCCCGGCAGAGGGCGAAACCTTGGGCAAGTTTCCTTACTCCACACAGAGCCTAATAATAATCCCTCCAAAACCAAAAACAATAATAAATTGGTCATTTTCAATCTAAGATTGTTTGTGGGACATTGCTGTGCGCAATTGGCTGCCGCGTTCGCCCACAAATATACAGTCAATTCACTTTACAGTGTGTTCTGTGAAGCGCTTTGGGACGTCCTCCCGAAGTGAAAAGCGCTGAATCAAATGCAAGGATTATTATTATTATTAAATCAGAATAATCCTTCTAATATTGAGAAGCAACAGTGTTAGAGTAGCAATTGTTGGTTTATTGATGTTTATTGTTAATGGAGCTTCTTACTGTAATTGGATATGTCCAATTGGTGAATTTACTTACAATATTTTCCTTCAATTTGAACTTTTATAATTTTTATTCTAATCCTGAAACCAGCTTGTCCTTGGCTCAAAACAAATTAATGCACTACTCTGTTGACAGTTGTTGAATGTTTTCGTCCCGATCCTCCAATCACAAATGGAAGAATAATAGCAGGACTTGGACCCAAGTACAAGTATCGTGAGACGATTATCTACCAATGCAATGAAGGTTTTCGAATGGTTGGCAAAGATAGCATTGAATGTGGAGAAAATAGTATGTTTCCAAAAGCACCTCTCTGCATTTCAGGTAACCTACCTTTTCTTTAATGTAAAGATTTAAGCAAACTTGACCTAAATATTTTAACCCTCCAATAGAATCATCTCAAATTGTTTTAAAAGCTTTTATTTTTGCAGCCTGTTTAGATGAGATGTATTCAATGAGTTTGCAGACATTCATGTTATTCCGGTGGCATTTCCTGGCAATTTGTCATCTGACCCTTTTTGGAATGTGCCACTTTACTGACTCCCAGTGAGTTTCCTCTGTCTCCAGAATAACAAATCTTCCCACTGGATTGAGATATCAATGGCAAGCTATGCGGTTTTAGCTGGTTAGACTCCAGCAGTTACCCCAACGCACACTCTGGGGGTTCCCCCAAGCCTTGGCTCTTGCTAAACCCCGCCTAATACTTTCTGGATTAGTAACAGTTAGTAAATAAGTTGTACGTTATACCCAACTACGAAATAGCTGCACTCCACACCATTGATAGGAATAGGGTGGGTCAGAGAGAGAGAGAAAAATTCCTCTGGATTGAGGAGTTTTATCAAATGGTCTACCTAAAAATTGTCATTGTAATGGCGTCAGACAGTGTAGTTAATGCACGTTTTAACTGCTGCTCTAAAAGTTGTCATCTCTGCTTTATCCATTTTACTTCGTAAAATTAAGTTTACTCCTTTAGAATGAAAACAGTTTCACGGATACCAGGATTTATTCTGTTGAATATTTTGGATTCTGATCAAAACATCTCAATGTTTTAAATATTGATTACTGGTTTGATTACTGTAGAAGGTTCTTAATATTGCTTTAATTACAATGAAAAGCAGTGAGTTCTTTGTGATATTCAAGCTATTCACGGAATTTTCATTTCCAGATGAAGCCTCCACTGTTATGCCCACCACAAGTAAGTAACATTCCTATTAATCTACTAAATTGTAAGTTTGTAATAACCAACAGAGTCTAGTCTTTCATTCCCACCCTACCTCCGCGACCTCCTAACCCTCTACCTATCTCTCCGCTCAGTCGGCTCCGGCCTGCTCCACGTCCCCCGACCCATCTGCCCCACTATTGGCGGGAGAGCCTTCAGCCACTCTACCCCCAACTTCTGGAATTCCATCCACCAATCACTCCGCCTCATCCCCTTTTTAGCCTCCTTCAAGTCCCACCTCAAGACCCTCCTCTTCGACCATGCCGTCGGTCACCCCCCTTCCCCTCCCTTCTCCCTCTCTGATCCCAGCTCGGGTCTGAAATGCTGTATTCTGTACAGCACTTTGGGACGTCCTCCCATTGTTGTTGTTGAAGTAATTAGGTTGTACAACATTAGAGTGCAAAATAGACAGTTTAGATTGTTTAAGAGTGTAATATAATAATAATCCTTGCATTTGATATAGCGCTTTTCACGTCGGGAGGACGTCCCAAAGCGCTTCACAGAACACACTGTAAAGTGAATTGACTGTATACCTGTGGGAGAACGCGGCAGCCAATTGCGCACAGCAATGACCCACAAACAGTCGTAGATTGAAAATGACCAATTTATTATTGTTTTTGGTACAGAGCATAGGATATGCACTCGCTTACCAGGTATTGGGGCTCACAGACACTATATATAGTATATATAGTGTATATAGTATATATTATATATAACATATATACATACACACACACGTACCCTAACCCCTGATGCTCTTATTGCTGTGTGTTCACTCCGATTAGCGTGTGCTCACTCCCATTGGCATGTAGGCTCACTCCCACTGGAGTGATGAAGCGCTATATCAAACATAAGTATTATTATACTTATTTTTATTATTAATACTACATAGGAGGACCGGCTGAACCACCAGTCACTGTTCCTGGTCGAGCACCAACTGATCAGAAGCCCTCTCCTACAAGTGGTTAGTTAATGTGTGATGCCTCAATGAAAATGTAATTGCCACGGTATGTGGGAATCTGCTACAGACTGTTATTAGCCAAGGGGTAGTTTCTGGTGACATCTATAATTTGGAGTAGCAATTTGATATTTTTCTTGAATTTTCTTTTTGTTTTCAAACTCCACATCCATGCATTGACCTATCTTGCCTTCTCTCACCTCTGCAACATTGCCCAGCTCCGCCACTACCTCTCTCCTCAGGCCGCTGAGGAACTCATCCACGCATTCATCACATCCAGGCTCGATTACACGAACTCCCTGCTTGTCCAGTGCCTTGGGACGTCCTCCCGACATAAAAGGAGTTATACCCATGTAATTTTGTTGTTGCTGTCAGTCTTCCCAACGCTTTCTCCACCCCCCCCCCCCCCCCCCACAAACTGCAGATATTCAAAACTCTGCAGCTCGTGTCCTCTCCCACACCAGGCTCCGTGAACCCATCACTCCCATCCTTGCTCAACTCCACTGGCTCCCCATCCCCCAGAGAATCAAGTTCAAAATCTTTCATGACATTTTTCAGTTGCATGTAATCAGCCAACCATTAATGTTTGCTTGATCGACTAATCTTATGTTGTTTGATTACAGCACCAAAGAAAGATATAGGTCTCATTCTTGGTAAGTAAAGCTCACTTTTTTTCTTGTAGATTAGGAATAAATGTGCATGAATGCAATTTAGGATTGCAATAATTGATCATATTTTCTAAATACAGAAGCTACTGGTACGTCAGTTTTAGCCCATATGTTGATGTAAAGGTGTGGATTGATCTAATGTAACAACACTTTATTATGCAGCTGAGTGTTTTTTTTTGTTGTTTACCAAGAGAAGCCCTATTTGTATTAGGAAAGGATGCTTGTCTGTAATTTCTCTTGATTTTCTGGACATTTTACAAGTTGACATATACTATTCGGCTGCACACATTGTTCCCTGAAAGACTTGAGGCTTTGATTCAGGCAATATTCAGGCATTAAAGTGTAAGCTTTTGCTGCACGTGTGGATATTTGAAAGAGTTCTGGGTTGGAAGGGACTTCTTTGGGAACATTGATTTAGGATGTCATCCTTCACACCCTGGTTCTGAATTCTTAAGAATGGTGATAGGTTTCCGCTTGTATCATGCACCAGCTGACCAGAAACAACATAAAGAAATTGTATTTGTTTAGCGCCTTTCACACCTGGAAAATGTCCCAAGGTCAATCAGGGATTTGGACCCGAGCAGGGGGTTGGGATTAGGAGGGGTGGAGATTAGGAGTAAGAGGGTGACCGAAAGCACGGTTGAAGAGGAGACACGTCTTGAAGGAGGCAAGGGAGGGAGCGAGCCTTGAAGGAACTGTGGGATGGACCTCCAAACTGGGGGCAAAGAGGCTGAAGGTCCGACCGCCGATTGTGGGGCGGGCAGGTCAGGGGACGTGGAGCAGGCCGAGGCTGGAGGAACAAAGCATATCACATACTTTTAAAGTGAAGATAAGAGAGAGTTTGATGTGTGGAGAGAAATCCTTGTTTGCAGAGAATCTATAATAAGTCACTGCACTTGTTGGATTAATACAAAGGGATTTTCAATTGATCAATACAATTGGTAGCACAGTTGTTGATGAGTCAATAGTTGTAGGTTCAACCCCCCCCAAATTTAGGATTTGTGCTCCAGGTCTGGGCTGATAATCTAGTGTGATACTGGGAGAGCTGCATTGTTGCAGGTATTGTCCTTTTCCTTTTGGATGAGATATTAAATTGAGGTTTCCTGTAAGTTCAGGTAAATTATCCATAAAATCTGTACTTGCGCATATTGTGACTATATCATTGAACTAATTACATCATCATTTTTTTCTTTAAGGTTTGGTCCTTGGTCTTGGTGCTGCTTCCTTTGTTGGCTTTGGAATAGCTTACTGGTTTCTTTCCAAAAAAAAGAGAGGGTAAGATTTATTTTTGCATCGGTTTCCATACCCTTATTACTTTCTGACTTGAATGATTTCTCAACTTTGCATTCCATAACCCAATGTTTCTACCTTTTTGACCCATTACGTTTTAACCCGACCTAAATTATGTGTCGAAAAACAGCTCAGACTCAACTACCTATCATATGGGTTGTGATCTTCATGCTGTTCAAGAACGCTCCTTATTTAATTTAGATTTTTCCAGTCAACAGAGTTCATCTTGATTTTTACCCAGAGTGAGAAATCACTTCTTTCCTAGTCACGAGGTTCTCAACCCTTCTATCCTCCTAGATTTCACCATATCTACAGAATAAGATTCTTCAATTAAAAGTGGTTTCAATTCCGTTTTCTAGATCCATCCTGAAAGTAATTCTCCTTGATGTCTTTTGCCAAGTGTGACCGCACCAGTGAAATTTATATTGAGCTTCAATTGTATCCTCGATTATTCATTGGCCAAAGCTCACAAAAAGGATCAAGGGATGGGAATGTGCATGGTCACATCCCACCACTTTACATTATATCCTCAGATGTCTCAGCAACATAAGGGGTTATATCAAATGCAAACATTATTAATAATATATGGGGTGTAGATATCTATTGTGATTTCTTTTGCTGGTAAACTTACCCTGTTGGTTACGGAGTTGGGTAAGCATGTTTCCCCACTGACTGCTACTTTCACAAACTAAATGTGTGTTGCTTTGTTACTGCCTGTGCATTAATCTTTCACCATAGTCAATTTTATGTAGATTATAACATCTACAAAAATCTTTTACTGTTTTATTTTATACTATTCCACTGTAATTGAACTTTCATCATGATTATCGCGTGTTGTTACCTTTTTAGAAATTCTGAGACAGCCGAGAAAGTTCCCATGAGTTCTCCACCCAAGGATGTCCAAGCTGAGCCTTTTAGTGATGAACTCAGGGAAGTCCACTGAGCATTGCCTTTAAATACACTTTTTAAAAAAAAACACACAAAGGTATACTTTGCAATTGCAGTTTTCAATGGTCTTTCTGGTGAGATGGGTGATGGACTATGCAGTATATGGGCATGTTCAGAGATTTGCTTACTTGGTCTGTTCAGTTTTCTCCCATCTACCAAGCATTACAAATTACTGGCTGCCTCTTATCAGGTTGAAAAGTTTTCCATTCTAGCCATTCACCACAATCACAGTATTTCTATATATGCAGGAGAAGTCTTTGCAGAGTGGGGAAATGGTTGATGGGCCTAATTTTCAGTTTCTACTCTTCCCCCCCCCCCCCCTTTTTTTTGTACCTTGTACTCCTTTACTCATCCAGAGTGCAACTTTAGGAGCAGAAACCTTCTTTGGCCTTCATGTAAGCCTGTTTGCCTAGGGTTGCATTATATTTTTAATTTGCATTTCCAAGGAATGCTTTTGGCAAGCTTTGATGTCCTGTGACTCAGTACAATGATGCGGGTTTACATTCCGATTCCTCAAAAATGAGCTGCTGTTAGCAAGTGCAATGCTGTAGCCTCCCCATAGTAAAGTCCAGGAAAGAGGCACCTGCAAGCTATTTTAGTAGATGCTTAAAAAACTACTTTTTTTTGCCTGTTCCTCAGGTGAACCTAATGATCCCTTGATGCTCTTCAAAAAGAGGAGAGTGTTTCTTCAGCTGCCCTGGCTAATGATTATTTGGCCCCATTGTTTATTCACCTCATGGTTGTTTGTGAAACGTTATGCAAAATGCCTATCATGTTTGCCAACAAAATCAGCTGCTCCCTTTGATACAATTGTAGTGCTTTTAATCTATTTAATTATCTGGAAGTTATGGGAAAAAAGGGACATTCTCTTTTGAAATTTCCAAAGGTAGAATTCGTGGAGACACGTATTCATTTTATTTCCTGTACTTTCCTTGGCGAGATCCAAACAGTTTGCAGAAAAATACTTTGCTTTCTGCTTAGCAAGCTGGATATCAGTGTCTCAGGCATGGATCATGGAGTTAAATTGCTGTTTGATTAATGTGCCCCAGAACACTGAGCACCCATATCATCTATTGCCATGGTTGAGTGATTCCTATTAAAATCTGTTTGATAATCTATAATCTAAGCATTTTTTGGCCATACATTCATGTGCAGTGGTAAATAAAATCTAACGACAATCTGGAGGAAATGTACAGACCATCAACCTAACCTGAAGTTTGCTCATGCTTTGGTGGTGGATTGCTTTAGTTTGACATATTTAATTGCTTTTTCTTAAAAGGTCATTTTCCCTGTGTTACTGTAAACAGTGGTCATACAACTACACAACTACTAACTTTTCACAGTACCTCAGTTAAATGTAATGACTTATTCCATATTTGTGAAAATGCATTCCCTGTTTTATCACTTATTGTCTTCTAACTCCTTCAGGGTAACATAGCTTGTCTGGATCATCTATTAATATTCTACTAGAGGTTTTCAAGATAATGTTTGCCTTGAACTTGGTTTTTCAAGAACAATTCCAATTTAACATTTCTTCAAGTTGGATGAAATCGCACTTCGTCTTTCCAAGTCCCTTGTATTTTCCTTTGTCCAGGCCTCCTGATGGGTTTATACACCAACAACAACTTGCATTTATTTAGCGCCCTTCACGTCGTGTAACTTCCCGGAGCTCTTTTACTGTATAACACATAAAAGCAATGTTATACAGTAGCAATGCTTTCATAACTCCAGTTCCTTTGAAGTCTGAAGGTGAGAACGCTGCATGGAAGCGGACTTGTACAGCCTCCAGAGATCACCTGTGCCAAATCATGTTTTGCACATGTGCATGGACATCTTGATGTCATTTGCAGTGCTTGCGTGATGATGTTTAAGCTGTCCGTAGAGGCACAGGATATTACAACAACAAAATTACATTTTAAAATTACAAGGCGCTGGGTCGATTAAGGGCCAACTCGCTGTTTCAAGTCAAACCTCTGAGGAGGAGGCAGTTGGAGACGCCCAAATTGGGTTTCGCTTGATCTAGAACAGCCAACTGATTGCCTTTAGGGACACATTTAAGTGCTAAAAAGGTATGAAACTCCTCTAATAATGGGTGCATTGAAAATTCCCAGGCCTTCCAAGTGAAGAAGGAGCGAGTCCACAATGGTTCAAACTCTATTTCTGAATTGAATCTCTCAGAAGGCACTTTCTGTAGTAGATTTTTATGGGAAGGCCTCAGTGGTATTTCACCCTGCATGAGCCCCCACTTATACCCAGCTTGTGGTGCATAATCATGGTGAGTGCCAACAGATATGCAGTTTGACTGCATTATTTGTCATTTTACAGACTTTGTTTTTGTTTAACTAATATGGAACTAGCCAGTCTGTAGTTCCGGGTATTTTTCTATTTTTTAATTAAAAATTATCCTGTTTTCCACTTGAAATCCTTTAGGAATCTGATTCTATTTAAAATGTTAGGTGCAACATTGCTATCATTTGCATTTTGTTTCCTTTATTTTTAGTTCTCTACCCATTCCAGTATTCCTCTAGTTGTTGTTGTAGTTGTTCACTAGCCTCTATGATGATCTTCTATGTTATTTCAATATGGTGTACTTTGTAATTTTTTTTCTTTTCTTTCCACAGGTAAAAAACACGAACTGCTCCCTTCCTGGCTGTGCATTTTCTTTGCCTAATACTTTGGTAGAAAATTTGATTTGAAATGTTTTCAACTATGTCTGTAACCATTTTCAGCACATTTCATCAAATTAATTTTGCTGGTATTTTGTGCAGGTGACGTTTGAGAATATGCCTTTTTTTTTTGTAAACCAAACAGCTGATTGAAAACCTAAATTTTTAAACTTGATTTAGGTTTTCACTTAAGAAAAAACTTTACAACCAATAGATTGCATTTGAACTCTTGCATTTGGGCCGGAGGAAAGATTAGGCAAGTTTCCTTACTCCACATGCCTGTTTACCTAGCAGTGAGTATGAACATGGTTGTTAGTCAATTGGTGGATCGCTTTTCTGAGGGGTAATAAATCCTTCAAAAACATAATAATTTTGTCAATCAATCCACGACTGTTTGTGGGACACAGCTGTGCGCAATTGGCTGCCAGGTTTTGATCACAAAATATACAGTGAATGCACTTTACAGTATGTTCTGTGAAGCGCTTTGAGACGTCTCAAAGACGAGATAAGGCGCCATATCAAATGCAAAGATTATTATAAGGACTCATTCTGAATGTAATTTGCTTAATTAAATATTTGCCTTAGTTTTGATATACCCTTGCTTGAAGATATGAGTAGGTTCAAACAGCTGATTCCTGTATATTACTTCAATCCACGACTGTTTGTGGGACACTGCTGTGCGCAATTGGCTGCCGCGTGTCGTCCACAAATACACAGTCAATTCATTTTACAGTATATATACAGTGAAGCACTTTTGAGACGACTAGAAGACATGATAAGGTGCTATATCAAATGCAAGGCTTATTATTATTACTGCAAATTGACTGTATATTTCACCCACAAATATACAGTCAATTTACTTCACAGTAGATTCTGTGAAACGCGTTGAGATGTCTAGAAAGCATGAAAAGCACTATATCAAATGCAAGCATTATTATTATTACTGTGCACTATTTATCATTTCCTGTTGTGGAATGATTCGCTCTGATTTTCTGGTTCGCGTGAAGTTGGGAGTTTAAGATGTGTGACTGTATTTTGAATGACATATTGTGAAATCCTATGTTGGAACATTTCACCTTTACTTTTATCTTGACTGTCTTCTGAATGCTTTGAATATCCATGATATTGTCTTCATGTGGTAATTGTTTTGGAAATCTGTTGTTACTTATCAATAAATCTTGCAGATGTCCTCCCATCGTGCATGTGTAACTCCAGTTTTGATTCAGAGAAGCAGTGGACCATCTGGGTGGCCTACTTTGCGATGTAATTTGTGGAAGGCGCTGTGTAACGTACAATTTGCAGTATATAGTGCATTCCAAACTAGATTTGAAGTGTGGTTTGCAAACCATCTAACTTGATTCATTTTCAAAAATGACTAATTGCACTCTATGAAAACCAAAGCGGGGGAGGGAAAAACTGGTTTAGAGAGCGAAAGCTGTTTTTCTTTCCAACCCTGTCCTTTGCTATTTTTTTTTTAAAAAAAGCATGTAAACCAACTGCACATATGGCCCCTGTATTCAAGCTTTTGCAGCCTGTCTTTTTTTAAAAATTTCAGCCGCTTATTAGAACAAACCTCCACTGGATTACCAGAAGTAAATGTAATAACTTTTTCAGACCCATTGTATGTTGATGGGGAAATGGAGCTTTCTTGTCTAATTTAATATGGCCAATGTTCATGCCTGCTGATCTGTCTTAATTTTGTTTTAAAAAATCATTTTGTAACTTTGCCTTCAACAGGACAACAAAGAAATGTTTAGTGTATTATTAGTTCAATTTGATCTCTCACCTCTGTTTTCCAGTTTAACTAGAAAAAAGTGCCTGAATTAGTGTTGCTTAAAGTTGCATTTTGATTAAGTTTTTATTTTTTTATTGCGCTTACGAGTGTGCAGGTTAATTGGTTAAGTATTAGTGGAACTAAATAAAAAATGAGAATTGGTTGGAGAAGCCTAAGTAGGTCAAATTTTTATTTAAACTTTTTGAGCTGTCTCCACTGTTTATTGAATCTTAATGAATTGTGAAATCCATCTACACTTTACATATGATGAATTAAATGTTTGCAATTAGGTAGCTTGCAACAGAAGGCAGAATACTAACTAACTTGCACACCATCATTGTAAATCCAAATTAGAAACCAATTTCATTACTGCTGGCTTCAAATCATTTTTTCTTTCTCACTCCCCCCGCCTTAACTGAAATTTACTGTGATTTTTTTAATATAAAAGATGTGGCAACGATTTTAAAAGTTCTGCTTGAAACTTCATAATACCTTGTGTGGGATCTCGCTCCGCAGAAGCTTCAATCTTCCAGCAAAGGAAGATGCTGAATACCTTCCAACTTGTTCTCAGCTGCCCTGAATCGTCGCAGCTGTATCTGCCGCTGGATTAAGGATAAAGTGGAACCGTCTCCTTCAGAAAGAAAATATCTATTCTACTTTTATGAACTGATGTATTCTAGTGTTGTCAGGCTGAGGATTCCAATGGTTTAATTCCAATGCTTTAACTCGGGTCGACAAAGGACCGAGCGCAGTGATTCCTTCCCATAGTTTGAATATTGTTCTGAGAGCATCAGCGCATGTACAGGACAAGTAACGGGTGTCCCGTGCCGTGGTTTGGGGAGGCAGTGGGGGTAGGGGAAACAAGTCTAAAGTTTTATTAATGCCGTTTATGCTAATGAAATTGGCTCCTAAGGAAATTGGATCGTTCTAAGGATCTTGAATGAGTATTGGTGTAGTATTACTGAAGCCAAGTGCCTAAGGAAATGTTTGTTTTCAAAAACAATAAAGAGCAATTCATCATGAAAAGGCTTTTTTTTCGACACTCAATACGTGTACTGGTTTACAGTGTTGCGTCGTAACCTGCAGTGTTCATGAAGGACACTTGGGGGCACGTTAGGTATTTCAAAAGAAGTCATTCCCTCCCCCTCTCCCAAACAGGCACATTCTTGGCAAAGAAACTGCTTGTTTCTTTGTTTATTGTGGGGGCTCAAAACTGTCTTCACTGTTAAAAGAGCAGGTAATGTCCTAAGCTTTAGCTCCATACCGTGACTTCAATGCCGAAATTCTTGCGATGATCTATAAGCTGGATTGATTTCTGTGACCTTGTGGAGCTGCTACATTTTATCTTAGCCAAAAGGATGGACCATTAATGAAGTGCAGTTGATTCCACTACCGTCCCCATCACATTATTTGGGTTTCAGTTTAAACTATAATCTCAAAAATCCCACAATCTGACTCCAGGTGATAGCGCTACAACCTGAGCCAGACTGATACCTAATGGCTAATGTGATCATTGCCTTCGCACCACAAAACAAGCGCAAATCTACTTCTGTTCCTTTGACTGCTTCTGGTAAAACTTTAGTGATAATAATAATCCTTGCCTTTGATATAGTGCTTTTCACGCCTTCGAGACCTCTCGAAGCGTTTCACAGAATAGACTGGAAAGTGAATTGACTATTTGTGGGTGAAAATTTTAGGAACGACTAGAAACATTCTTTGCTGATTGCAAAATTTCTATTACCAGTACATGCTATTTTAATACTAAGCATCAATGAGCTATTCAGCACATTTGGGAAATTAATGCCTGATCAGCCAAGAAGTATAAGTTCCCATTCAAGTCTTTTCAACTCAAATATTATGAAATAATATAATCAGAAGCGTGTTTATATACATATATAAACGTAAAAGAAAATCAAACGGTGGTGAGTGCAGTATAAAACCACTAATTCTACTTTAAATTGATCAGCACAAACCTAATGTGTCTTTCAAGTGTTACTCAGAACAGTGACTGCAACTACTTTTACTGCTGCTTCGAAGCTATTTTTTTTCTCTTTTTAAATTTGGGTTGAAGCCAGGGGCTCGATTTTCATCTTCAGTGCAAACTTTTATAAACCACAAACCCAATGAAAGTGGAGCAAAGGCACGTAGTGTGTTGGAAGATATTGTCTGGGTAACCAGTCCTAAGAAGTGTTGTTTTTTTGTTTCCTGGCTCGTTGGGGGAAGGGTGTAGTTTGCAGAACTTTCTTCGTCTCACACTCTCTTCTCGTAACTCTTAACCTTATCTATTATTTGCAAACCGTAAGTAAAACAAGCCCAGTTAGGCGTGTGAGCCGGTTGGTCAATGAGTTGGGTTTTTTTTTTTGGGTGCTGTGTGTCCTGACAGATGAGCTAATCGAGAACGAAAGTTGCAGCCTGTATCCTGTTACACCCATTAGTTTACCAGAAGCCAAAGAGAGAAAAAAGGACATCATATCGAGGGAGAAAAACACACACACAAACAAACGCATGCACACACAGCTTTGCATTTCAGACACAAGGAACCCCACCAGAAAGGAATATCCATCTGCATCGAGTGTTATTCTGTGTGGGAAAAGCACTTTTTGGAATCGGAAAAGCAGGGGTTTCCGGAGACACAATTGGGGGAAAGAGGAAAGAAAAACACACCTCTTGAAATGTGGGAGAAGATTATTATAGTGGCCACTGTCATCATTTCTCCCTGTACTGGCCAACATTCTGGTAAGTGGAATAGTTCTCAGCAACATTTACTGTGCAATTTCTTTTATTTTTTTTTCAATTTCGGAGTCCTGTAGCTCAGTGGTTAGAGCACTCGCTTTGCAAGTGAGAGACCTGAGTTCAATTCCAGGCAGAGGGCGAAACCTTGGGCAAGTTTCCTTACTCCACACAGAGCCTAATAATAATCCCTCCAAAACCAAAAACAATAATAAATTGGTCATTTTCAATCTACGACTGTTTGTGGGACATTGCTGTGCGCAATTGGCTGCCGCGTTCGCCCACAAATATACAGTCAATTCACTTTACAGTGTGTTCTGTGAAGCGCTTTGGGACGTCCTCCCGACGTGAAAAGCGCTATATCAATCAAGGATTATTATTATTATTATTATTATTTCGAAAAGAAAGGCAATTTTCATGATTATATGTTAAATATGAAAGAAAAACCTACAAGTCTTTGCTGGTTATTTTTTTTTGAGCGTTTCTAGATGGTGAATTATTGTTTCGTGAAGCTATTTTTTGATGGTCATCGTCTTAACCATTTCATGGGCGCAAATTACAAGTGATAATTGCAATACAGTTAAATGTTTAAAAAAAAGTGCGTGGAGCTAGGGGAGAATAAATTCTTGACTTTGGTGTAGCACCTTATCACTTCGGATAAGTCTGGTAATGTTTCGCAAGAGTTTTTGTGAGAAAAACAATTTTCAGTCGAGTGAAGTGAATGATCTTTTTTTTAACTTTTTCTGGGAATATGTTAAATACATGATCTGACAGGACAACTCAGTTTTCGCGCAGCAGCGTCCCACAAACAGCCCCAAAGTAAGTGAACAACCAATTTTATCTGTGGGATTGTCGGTCAGAACTACAGGAAAACAGAACTTCCTTCTGTTTTCAAAAAGACCGGATTTTCCACATGAGCAGACAGACAGGACCTTGGTTTAACATCTCATTGGAAAGACGACAGACTTAACTTTATTCCCCACCATCTCAAATGATTCCTTTAAAATTTTTCTCGGGCCGTTTAAGAAAGTTCAATGCGCTGTTTTCACACATGTTGGGTGCAATGACCGACTAGTTAGGAACATTAAGAAATGAACCGCCAATATTAGAATAAGTGCATTTAACCATGTGCTCAGAATATCGGTTGACAGTTTATTTAAACAAAACAATTCCAAACAACAACACGCATTTATATAGTGCCTCTCACGTAAGCCAGGGTCCCAGAGCACTCGACAGTGGTGGAGCAAGATGTCAAGTCGGGGGTGGGGAGGGAGAAGTGACCGTTAGCACAGTCAAGGAAGAGGGAGGTGTGACCTAAAGATGGGGAAGGAGGGGGTGCAAGGCGGAGAGATAGAGGAAGAGTGTTCCAGAGTTTAAACAATGCGATGAAGAATGGGAGCTATAAATTGGACTTACATTTGTTCATTCGTGTCAAAATGTAACATTAAAAACATTCTGCAGGATACTGAGTGCACTATTCAAGTAATACTGAATAAAATGCAGTGACGGTTGAATAAAATCCAGTGACGGTTGAACAGTGGGATCATGTGCCAAAATGTATTGCATCACTCGTGTTTTGCCACCAATGCTCGATGTATTTTCTTTGGGTGCTTGCCAAAAGGTAGTGTCTGTAACATTATGATCACTTACTGTCTCCCGTCTGACCCACCCTATCATCGGTGGCCGGTCTTTCAGCCTCTCTGCCACTACATTCTGGCTCTCCATCCCACAGTCCCTTCGCCTCGCCTCCTTCAAGGCGGTCTCAAGACCCTCTTCTTCAATCGTGCCTTCGGCCGCCCTCCCACCTCTCTGCCTTCCCTCACCCCTACCCCACCCCTCCCCCATGCTCGGATCCTGACACCTGACTGTCCAGCGCCTTGGGACGTCCTCCCGAAACGAAAGGCGCTCCGTAAATGTAATTTTTTTTGTTCCTGTTGTCTGCTCTGGAAAAACAGAGCTGTATATTAATAGATTTGAGTCTGGAATCCTTACTAAAAATAAATGTGTTTCAAAAATAATGTGTCAGGATATCTTGGTGCTTCAGTGGTGCTCTGTGCATTGTTGTGAACACTGATTGCCAAAGCCCTAATGGGGAGGGTGGTCCCAGCTGGACAGGCACGAGGAAAGTTTGCCAAAACAGTACCATCAGTGGCAGGCTATGCAGTTTTAGCTGGTTAACCTCCAGCAGTTATCTCAACTCGCACTCTGAAGTCCCACAAACCTTGCCTCTTGCCAACCCGCGCCTAATATTTTCCGTATTTATGTAAACAGGGTGCGTCCTTCCAAGAAGAGAGTGCACTTTCCATTCGAACAATCTGTCTCTGGGATTTCCATGGGTAGGTGGAACGCATGGAAATCTCTGCTTGGTTTGGAGACTCTTAAACAACTGTGATGGGTTTCCGCATGTGTCAGGCACCCGGCTTACCCCCCAAAAAACAATAAATCGTGAACTAGAAGCGTAGAGTTCTGTGTCTGTTTTCTCCAGACAGCTCATTAACAGAACATCTTCTGGAAGGAATCCAAATGGAAGTTGCCCATCCCTGACTGGATGACACAGAATTGCTGTTGTAACACTAACACTCGAGCAAATGACTCAAATTTAGCTGTCAGTAAGGTGTGGATTCAGATGAAATAGCACAGCCTTGTAATCCTACAACTTTTGCAGGGAATGGATGGGATTTTCACAGCTATTCTCTGCGAAAGACGCAATATGAACTGGGGCTAAACTATTTGATCCCACAATTCTGCAGGTCAAGACCAGATCTTTGGGTCAGGGATTAAAGTTTCTTAAATCCAATCTTAATTTGAAAACCAAATCTTGTTTAGAACGTTTGAAAAACAGTTTCCAAATAAAAACTGAATTAAAGAATGCTCTACTAGACTCTCGCCTGGAGGACCCTGCAAATTGCTTCACAGGAGTTTCTGCAATGTGTTGTGTGACTGTGTACTTTGCAGATGAATGCATTGACATTTAATGCACACAATAATTGGAACTGATTTACATGATATTAAAATAACTACAATAGCTACGTAAACTTCACACATGAAAGGCAGGAAAGTTAATAATAGAGTGGTTCCATTATACAGTACAGTACTTCAAGTAAAGCTGTCTATTTTCAGCTTGGAGTTATTGCAAGAACGCAGACGTTACCCATAAGAAGGACATTATGTAATTGCAAATTGCTATTGCTAATTGCTATTGATTAGCCCCAAACACATGGATAGTTGATTCCACATTTATCTTTCAGTACGACATCTAAAAATGGGGAACTGGGTGGCCAGCCTGGTTTAGGTTCATAGCACCCTCGCTTCTGGTTCGTAGGTTTATGGGTTCATATTGTCCCTTTGAGCATAGTCTACGCTGACACGCCAGTGTAGTGTTTGGGAAACACTGGATTGTCGGATGAGATGGTCACACGAGGACTGTTCAGGTGGACATTCAAGATCCTATGTCGCTAATCGAAAAGAGAAAAGAGTTTTTTTTCCCCTCATGTTCTGGCCAACAACACCCCAAGTAAAGTTGGTCATTCAACTCACGGCTGTTTGCAGAAGAGCCTGTGCGCACATTGGCTGTTGCGACAATAATTGTTATTGCAACTGCTTTAAAAAGTTTGTGGTGTGGAGTCCTGTAACTCAATGGTTAGAGCCCTCGCTTCGCAAACGAGAGACCTGGGTTCAATTCCCGGCAGGGTGAAACCTTGGGCAAGTTTCCTTACTCCACACGCCTGATAATAATCTCACAAGAAAATAAATAATAATAATTTGGTCACTTCAATCCACGACTGTTTGTGGGACATTGCTGTGCACAATTGACTGCCGTGTTCGCCCACAAAATATCATGCAGTGGATTGGCACATGAAACCACTGTGCTCTGTACCTCCTGTAATAATAAAATCCAATTTCTCCTTTAGTCCAACACTTTTGCGAGAGATCATTCCCTGCCCAAAGAGATAATGTGGAGTCCTGTAGCTCAGTGGTTAGAGCACTCGCTTTGCAAGCGAGAGACCTGAGTTCATTTCCAGGCAGAGGGCGAAACCTCGGGCAAGTTTCCTTACTCCACACAGAGCCTAATAATAATCCCTCCAAAACCAAAAACAATAATAAATTGGTCATTTTCAATCTACGACTGTTTGTGGGACATTGCTGTGCGCAATTGGCTGCCGCGTTCGCCCACAAATATACAGTCAATTCACTTTACAGTGTGTTCTGTGAAGCGCTTTGGGACATCCTCCCGACGTGAAAAGCGCTATATCAAATGCAAGGATTATTATTATTATTATTATTATAATCTACACCCACCAAGTATGCAGTCAATTCACTTTCCAGCATATTCTGTGAAGCGCTTTGAGACGTCTAGAAGACGTGAAAAGCGCTATGTCAAATGCAAGGATTATTATTATTATGTAGCTTTGATAAATGGAAATAATATTGTGGGATACAGTGTACAGTTTGGTCCAAGACATGTGCATGCAACTGCCAGGATGGTGGAAGGCGAACAGGATGGATCCCGTTTCTTCTTTCGTCCAGCAAATTCTTATGTTCCTATGTGCACAGTTGCAATAGTTTCCAATAACAGTAACGTTCCTGTGCAAAAGTGTGTATTAATGATTGTAAAAACAGATGTGTCATTTGCAGCTTCATGTGCCCATGCTCCAAGTCTGCCATTTGCCGAACCGCTGGAACACTATTTGTTGCTGCAGAATTTTTTCGTCGGCACCAATGTTACCTATCGCTGTTTGCCGGGTTATGAATTGAATAGCACTGAACCAACTCATATCACCTGTCAAGCTAACTTCAATTGGTCTAAACCATTGTTCACCTGCATACGTAAGTATTCAACCTACAGCTTCTTTTTTTAAAACCCACTTTCTCTGCAGATTTACAATTGCCATTTGTTCCTTACCAATATTGGTATGGATTGTCTTATGAATTTTTGGAACATTTTTAAGTGTGTAAGGGAAACGAAAGGTCAGTGGGGGGGACGTTCGGTGATACACAAGTTGATCGAGAATGGATTAATTAAGTAAAGACATTGCATTCAAAAATATGTAACTCTTGAAAGATTAACGGTTTGAGAACTGGTAATAGAGAGTTTCTCAGTTGTGGACGTGTACACTTCCCTTGGTAACTCGTATCATGTACTGAACAGTGGAACCAGAGGACACGGCCTGCGATTGAAGGGGGGAGTAAATTCACAACAAATCTGCAGAAACACTACTTGAGTGAATAAGTAATAAATGTATGGAACAGACTCCCGAGGGAGACGGTTGAAGCAGAACGTGTTGTTTCTTTAAAGAACAAACTAGATAGATTTCTGTTAGAGACTAATATCTCGGGATAGAGTATATAGTTTGGGACATGACATGTGCTGGCGACTGCCAGGATGTTGGAAGGTGAACTGGATGGACCGTGGTCTTCTTTCGTCCAGCAATTATTATGTCCTTATGGAAGTGTAACTGATCTAAATCCTGGTTAAAATGCTCCACATGCTTCCTGTTTGTGCAGCTAAAGACTGTGGATTTCCGGAGGATATACCGAATGGCACCTACGTAGCTTCTAGTCATTCATTCGGCTCAATTGTGACGTACACCTGCGATGTTGGGTGAGCATCAAGTCAGTGTCTTTCTCTGTTGCAGAACCCAACTGAAAAGCCCAGATCACAATTCATCTCAGTTTGGTTTGGATACTCTTAAGCATGTGGTGGTGGGTTTCCGCATGTGTCACACACCTGGCCGACAAAACAAAAAAAATCTGTGGACTGTGGGTAACCAGCCAGTGTTCAATTTCTGAAGCCAAAATCTGTAAAGAAGCCTGTAACTTTACCCCAAATCAAGTGGTTAAAAAAAATGACATTGGAATTTTTGCACGTTTGTTCCCTGTTATTTTTACTGCAAGTTTTTGGTTCTTTTCCACAGGTTTGTTAGTTTCGGCAGAGCAGTTAGACGGTGCACACTTCAAGGTTGGACTGGAAACCTTCCAATCTGCCAACGTGAGTAACTCGGATTAGAAAACATATCAATAATACATGGAAGAAGGTTGCAAGAAATCCAGCCCTCTTTATTGTTCTCGGAAAGTATTTTTTGTTGTCTTTTGAATAATACTAAGCCTTAGAACTCTGCAGCTCGTGTACTGTCCCGCACCAGGCTTCGGGACCACATCACTCCCACCCTCGCTCGCCTCCACTGGCTCCCCATCCCCCAGAGGATTGATTTCAAGATCCTCATCCTCACCTACAAGGCCATTCACGGCCTCGCTCCCTCCTACCTCTCCAACCTACTATCCCCCTACCTACCTGCCCGTACCCTCCGTTCCTCTGGCTCTGGTCTGCTCCACGTCCCCCGCCCCAACCGCCCTACCATCGGTGGTCGGGCCTTCAGCCTCTCAGCCCCCAGGCTCTGGAATTCCATCCCCCAGTGCCTTCGCCGCTTCCTCCCTTTCCTCCTTCAAGGCTGGTCTCAAACCTTTCTCTTTGACCGTGCCTTCAGCTCCCCTCTCGACTCTCTTCCCCCTCCTCGCTCCCTCCCTTCCCTACCCTCACCCTGACCATTTCCCCCTCCTCGCTCCCTCCCTTCCCTCCCTCACCCTGACCATTTCCCCCTCCTCTCTCCCTCCCTTCCCTCCCCTCACCCTGACCATTTCCCCCCTGCTCGGGTCCTGACCCAACTGTGCAGCGCCTTGGGACGTCCTCCTGACGTGAAAGGCGCTCTATAAATGGAATCTTGTTGTTGTTGTTATTTTTGCATTTGATACAGCGCCTCATCACGTCTTCGAGACGTCTCAAAGCGCTCCACAGAACGTACTGTAAAGTGAATTGACTGTATATATTTTGCGGGCGAAACGCGGCAGCCAATTGCTTTCACCAGGACACTAACGTGTTCTCTTTTCACAGGTGTTCGCTGTCCTGCTCCTGATCAGGTTCAAAATGGCAAAATAAAGACAGGATTTCGTCCCCTTTATATGTACCAGGATTCCATCAGGTACGAGTGTGATGCAGGTTACCAGTTGTTTGGCTCCAGTGTCATCACGTGCACAAGCAATTCGACCTGGGATCATCAACCACCCACCTGCCAGCGCAGTAAGTCTCCAGCTGCTCTCCTTCTAAGTACAGCGCTGTGACATCTGGTTATGTGACGTGTGAGCTTTTCCCTGCGATTTTATAGCACAGATTAGTTGCCGTAGTATAAGCGGTTAGCGCTCTTGCCTCGCTAGCGAGAGGACCCGGGTTCGATTCCCGGGCAGGGCGAAATCCTAGGCACTGTGAAACGTTCCAGCATGCCACCCAACACGAAGGGCGCTATATAAATGCAAGGTGTTGTTGTCGTTATTACTCCACATTGCAAATAAATACCACCACAGCGTTGGGTGTGTCAGCCTAGACTGGAAGAATGGTTCTCAACTCCTGCTGGGAAACTGCATCGTTGAGCAAATAACCCAGCGCTGTACAGAGCAGTCGAGAGCTTTTCCATTCCCCATTTCCTAGCTGTTGGGTATATTATTTTTCTGAGGGAACAAAAGGTGACAGAGCTATGTGATGCACACATTCTTTCATTGATTCCGCACTAACTCCACCACTGCAGGTCGCATCTAAGTTACACGGAGTAAAATGCCTCTTATTGTCCTCTCCACCACTCACAGTCAGGTGTGAGATCATCAGTCACAGGAAGAAGGTTGAAAAAAACGTCAAATGAACAGATTGTGAGGTTTCAATTCCTTCTTTGTTCAGCCGTTGGTTACTGTCGCACAAAGAAAAGAAAAAATCCTGCATAAATTTGTTTTCTCCGTCTTTTCACTATGAATCATTCCCGTCCTCTGCCCTTTTTATAGTTTCAAACACAAGTCACTTAAATGAAAGCCTCGTCAGTACCTTTGCCACGACAGCTATCAACAGGATAATAGATCAAACCACAGCTCAGTTCCAGCAATCCAGAGCGACAAGTACTGTGAGCGTCAACAGCACACCTGACAATTGTGAGTACTTAACTCTCAAAGAGTAGAAGGTGGCAAGAAGATTACATAGTTACATGGACTGAGTAATGTGGCTTGGAAATAGGTCATTTGGCTCAACTATCCTTCAGTAATTATCCTTGCCTTTGATGCAGCGCCTTATCATGTAGTTGAGATGTCTCAAAGCGCTTCACAGAATATACTGTAAAGTGAACTGGCTATTTTTCTACAGGACAGAGAAAGTGTGGTTGAGAAAGAGGGGGAAGACATTGGGAAAGAATAGCTGGAGACTGGAAGTCACGAGATGTGAAGGAAGTCTGCAGTCTAAACCAAATAGGCTATTTTCTAGTTTTTTTTATTACCATTATTTATATTGATTATTGCCAGTGAGTATGTAGGGAGGATATTTTTGGGAATCACAGCACNAAAACCGAAGGTGGTAGAATATAGGTCTTCACGAAATAATGTGAAATTTATTATTTCAATACCGCAGTATCTGAACCTCTACCATGTTGTTTAATATTCTTGAGGGTAAATGCTGGCTGCACAACAACAAAGAAGATTTGTCCATTTCCTTCCTGCAGAAAAGGATGGTTTGTTAAGCATAAGATATCTCTGATCACAGCTGAGTTTGTGTTCCTGTATTTCAAGCCATTGNAAAAAAAACTGCCCTTGACCTTCAACCAAGACCTGTGAGCAGCACAACATGTAAAACCGTAGCTCAGCTAAAAGTGTCGCAAAAAAACTTATTCCACAATACGCAGGCAATCCACTTTACAGTACATTCTGTGAAGCGCTTCGAGACGTCTCAACGACGTGATAAGGCGCTGTATCAAATGCAAGGATTATTGTTATAAGTGGTTTGGAGTTATCTTGACTGTTAATGAGATTCTCTGTGAAGCTTCACAGACTGGTGTATTTAATGACGTTTAGGGTTTTCACATTAGGTTGCATCATCAAAAAGTGGACCAGCACAATTTGTTTTTATTAGTAGGTCAAGTAATTTAGAAAATGTTTGTGTAGTAGCACCAGAGAACGGTTACATGACTGGGAAATTGTGTCCAAAAGTTTCAGTCAGTCTTTGCTACCGACCTCAAGGGAAATCCAATTATATTTGGATTCAGGCAAGTCGGAGGGTTTGGCAACTGTCCGTCCATTTTCATTGGTGTCTTACATTTTTTTTGGTTATTTCTGTCTTCCACTTTGTTTTGTTTTGTTTTGCGATTAACCAGTTTAAATACCAGGTGCTGCTAAAAACAGGACACAATAATAATAATAATAATAATAATATAATAACCCTTGCATTTGATATAGTGCTTTTCACGTCTTCTACATGTCTCAAAGCGCTTCACAGAATATGCTGTAAAGTGAATTGACTGTATAGTTGGTGGGCGAAAAAACTGAAGGGGAAAGGTGCACAATAAGCCGATCAACAGCTAGACAATAATACTTGCATTTGGTAAATAATATAATAATAATCCATGCATTTGATACAGCGCCTTACAACGTCCTCGAGACGTCTCAAAGCGCTTCACAGAATATACTGTAAAGTGAATTGACTGTATATTTTGTGGGCGAAACGCGGCAGCCAATTGTGCACAGCAGCGTCCCCACAAACAGTCGTGAGTTGAGTGACCAAATTATTATTTTGTTGAAGGAATTATTATCCCCAGAAAAGTGATCTGCCAATCGACTAACAGCCGGGTTCCTACTTACTGCTCGGTAAACAGAGGCCTGTGGGGTAAGGAAACTTGCCCAATGTTTTGTCCTGTCGAGGTAGCACCTTTCGTGTCGGGAGGACATCTTAAAGTGCTTCACAGGTTATAATGTAAAATTAAGTGACTGTATTCTGTAGGCGAATGCGGCAGCCAATTTGCACAGAAAAATGATCTGTTTACCAAGCAGTAAGTAGGAACCCGGGTGTTTGGGTGACGACTTACTGCTCGGTGAACCTAATAGGCAAGAATTGAGTTCAGCCTAACATTTAAAGGGTCAATGTGTCATTCTCCCCAGGATGGTGGGAATTCAGAGATCCTGTGAATGAGAATTGCTCTGCCTCCTGCCAGTTCTATCGTGTGTCATTCTAACCAGTATCCATGTAGCACTGAATTCCCATCGGTAATTTAAAGCTGAATAAGGTTGTTTCTGAGATAACCCATGGCACTGTTTGTTTCTTCACACGTGTTTTCAATGAGCGCAGCTTATTTCTCTCTCAAGTTCCATTGCTCACAGATGTTTTTGGGAGTGCTGTCACGAACCATGGTCTGTAGTATTTATTTTCCATCCTAGCTCCCATCGTTAGGTGTGCTCATTGACTTGCTTTTTACAAGTCCCATACATTCAGGTCAAAAATGCTTTCTTTCAGGTGTTAAACCACAGTATAACTTTTAGTTTTTTTATTGACGAGGCCCAGGAGCAGTTCGTTGCTGAGGGAATAGGAAGGACTGTTTCTCAGGTATTAAGAGTTAAAGAGTCTTTCTCCACGCCTGCCACTTAATGCTGTTCTTTTCACTTTACCAGGAATGTTCCACATTTCCCTACGCCTTTAATGAAGGGAGGAATCAGATTCCTCCATAACATTGGCAACCCTGAATCCACAACGCAGCAGTTTTGCGAATGGCCTTTGCCGTCTGGAGTGTGTTTTATATATTTAATTGCGGCCTCCCTCCCTCCCTCATTAAAAATAAACGTACAAGTGATCTGCACAACTCTCGACACAACATTCTTGGGATGCCTTCATGGGAAAGGCCAGAATGACATTGAAACACTGCCTGAAGACACCCATTGGACACGATCCCTTCTGATATTCTGATTATAAATTGGAATTTATTTCTGTCTCAGTCAATACTGCCCGTAGATGTTTTAGCGAGTGGTCTATGTGTCCCCTCCCCCATCCGCACCCCTCACCATGGCATCTTGCCACTGTTTCCTGGTTCCATAATAGTAATTTTCCATCCCTAAGCATAGCCAGGATGCCTTAACTGGTTTTAAATTTGTTCCATATTCTCAGGCCAATATCCATTATTTTATTTTAAAACACCCAATCATTTGCTCCTAGACAGACGTAGGGTTGGTCTGTTAAATCTGAGCTGGATGTTTCTTTTACCAGAAGAATGGGGAAGTAGACTTGAATGACAAATAAATACCACCACAGCGTTGGGTGTGTCAGTCTAGACTGGAAGAATGGTTCTCAACTCCTGCTGGGAAACTGCATCACTGACCAAATAACCCAGCGCTGTACAGAGCAGTCGAGAGCTTTTCCATTCCCCATTTCCTAGCTGTTGGGTATATTATTTTTCTGAGGGAACAAAAGGTGACAGAGCTATGTGATGCACACATTCTTTCATTGATTCCGCACTAACTCCACCACTGCAGGTCGCATCTAAGTTACACGGAGTAAAATGCCTCTTATTGTCCTCTCCACCACTCCAGTCAGGTGTGAGATCATCAGTCACAGGAAGAAGGTTGAAAAAAACGTCAAATGAACAGATTGTGAGGTTTCAATTCCTTCTTTGTTCAGCCGTTGGTTGTTGTCGTACAAAGAAAAGAAAAATTCCTGCATAAATTTGTTTTCGCCGTCTTTTCACTATGAATCATTCCCGTCCTCTGCCCTTTTTATAGTTTCAAACATAAGTCACTTAAATGAAAGCCTCGTCAGTACCTTTGCCACGACAGCTATCAACAGGATAATAGAACAAACCACAGCTCAGTTCCAGCAATCCAGAGCGAAAAGTACTGTGAGCGTCAACAGCACACCTGACAATTGTGAGTACTTAACTCTCAAAGAGTAGAAGGTGGCAAGAAGATTACATAGTTACATGGACTGAGTAATGTGGCCTTCAGTAATGATCCTTTCCTTTGATGCAGCGCCTTATCATGTTGTTGAGATGTCTCAAAGCGCTTCACAGAATATACTGTAAAGTGAATTGACTGTATATTTTGTGGGCGAAACGCGGCAGCCAATTGTGCACAGCAGCGTCCCCACGAACAGTCGTGAGTTGAGTGACCAAATTATTATTTTGTTGAAGGAATTATTATCCCCAGAAAAGTGATCTGCCAATCGACTAACAGCCGGGTTCCTACTTACTACTCGGTAAACAGAGGCCTGTGGGGTAAGGAAACTTGCCCAATGTTTTGTCCTGTCGAGGTAGCATCTTTCGTGTCGGGAGGACATCTTAAAGTGCTTCACAGGTTATAATGTAAAATTAAGTGACTGTATTCTGTAGGCGAATGCGGCAGCCAATTTGGACAGAAAAATGATCCTCAAACAGCCGTAGAGTGAGTGATTTTATTTGGGGTTTTGTTGGCCAGGACACAGGGAGAAACTAACATTAGACTGACTGTACATGCCTTAGAACTCCCTTGAGATGGCTGCACTTCATTATATTTCTTGCTCATAAAAAAAACTCAAGTGGTAGGTTTCAGAGAAGCAGGAAATTATCAGAGCCACAAATATGCATAGTACGTTCTTCTGATTCTCGGTCTCTAACCCTAAAAGGAAAACAACGCTTTGAATTTCACAAATCACTAATGCATGTTGTCGGGACAGGAATTAGGTTAAAGGAAACCTTCCTAATATACTATTCTCTCTCTCTCTCCCTCGCAGATCCGGTTTCCTCTTCTGACAATCAAATGTATAAATATTATTTGGGTAAGAGCACTATTTGGAATAAGCTGTTGTACTTATTTGGGTGTGGGGGGGGGGGGGTGATTTTTTGTGTGATTTTCTTGCGAGACAAGTGCTCTAGCCAACATGTTACAGGGGCTCCCAATACATTTATTATTAATATAGAGTAGTTGCCTGGATTGACGTTAAACACATACAGAATTGATCTTATTTTCTCCTCATTTTTAAAGTGGTTCAGTCGGGGTTATAGCTTGAATTATGATCTTGACACTGTTATAATCAACATCTTTTGGGTTGCAGGAGGAGGAGGCGGCTTCATTGCTTTAATTGCTGCCGGATTCTTTGTTATATTCCTCGGGAAGAATCATTTTCGAAAACATGGGTGAGTTTGGAGTTCCTCTCGCCTACAGTACAATACAAACTTATGTTTATAGAGCGCCCTTTACGTCGGGAGGATGTCTCAAAGCGCATAACAGACCGGGCACTTCATTATTTCTACCAAGCTTCACGTTGCTTGTCCAGCTAGGACCACTCTGCCCATTTGGGCTTTGGTCTGCAAGGTTTCACGGGTAAGGTAACTTTACGGCTGGAAAATTCCCTTTATATTAACTTTATAATTCCTCACGCTTTGTACTCTTGTATGGCTAAGAGGTAACATGCTAATGATTTGTTGTTTGTTTTATTACTCAGCTCTTATAACGCAATGAGTAAATTTGCAAAGGTCCCCCAGGACGTGGAACAATCAGAACTCATGGTCACCTCCATCAGAGATTGAGAATGTGTTGATATTGTGGCAGGAAAGGCAGAGACTGAAACATTTCAAGCAGAACCACTCTCATTGTCAGGGGGACAGATTGCGAGATTCTTAGGTGGAATGGATCCAAAGAACTCAACTTCCTTATCTTAGTGTTTCTAATGTATTTTGTGCACCTTTGGAAACTACTTTGCATTCTATTTATGGTGACTTGACTGAATGCCTGGCTTACTTGAGTTTCAAAGTGATGTGCTCCCAGTTTCCATGGGCCCTTGTGCCAAAGCTTTCTATACTCTTAATAATTCTCTGCGTTTAAAAAGCTTTCTTTATAACCTTCTCCCTTCCACTCTTCCATTGCGACATTCCCAAGTTTATGTCCTCTTTGTTGCAGCTGACGTATCCGTTCATGAAAAAATATATTATTACAGGTCTAACGGACCTTGCGATCCTTTTGTAAAATCTCTCTCTCTCCTCTCTATATAATATATATTATATAGCTATTTTTTAAAAAAACTTACCAGCTGTTTGCTCCTTCTGCGCCTTGGGACGTCCTCCCGACGTGAAAGGCGCTCAATAAATGGAACCTTGTTGTTGTTGTTGTTGTTGTTGTTCTCTTTGAAAATGGGACGTGAAATTAATTGAATAACCTTCTGCTGATCTCCGCTCTGATTCTTACTCCCCCTCACGCCCTCCAAATCACACCGTCTAGAAGTGACATCACACAGAACAACGCCATTCGGTTGAATGGCTTGTTTCGGTGCTGTGGTTTATGTAATTCTATGCAAATCCTCGCAATTTCCCTTTCAGGCTCAGAAGGTGCATGGTCCGTGTAAAACCTCTACAGAGAGGAAAAAAAGACTCCGAAGACAGTGGCTTCATACAAGAAAGGGCCAAGTCCGCAGAACAGTAACAATAGTCCTTGCAATTGATCTGTGCGCATTTCACGTCGGGAAGACATCTCAAAGTGCGTCACAGGATGTAAAGGGTAGTGTGTATAAAGTATAGAGTAGTGGGTAGAGCGTAGATTAGTGTGTAGAGTAGTGTGCAAAGTGTATTTTGTAAGTAACTACTAATAATAATAATATTGCTTGCATTTGATGTAGCGCTTTTCACGTGTCTTCTAGACATCTCAAAACCCTTCACAGAATGTAGCAGCCAATTTGCACACAGTTATGTCTCACAAAACAGTTATGAAATGATTGACCATTTTATATCTGGGGCAGCCTGTTGGCCAAGACACCGGGAGAAACTCCCTTTCCCTTTTCAAATTGCGCCTTGGGATTTAGAACGTCCGCCTGAACAGGCAACTGGTTTAAGGCCTCATCCAAATGATGGCACCTCCAACGATACAGCACATCCCCAGCCCTGCACTGGATTACCAGCCAAGGCTGCGTGAGTTCAAAGTCCCGACAGGGATGCTTGAACTCACCACCTCTACCTCGGAGGCGAAAATGCTACCAATGCACAAGAAAGACCTCATATAAGGATGCCTAGATACAACTCTCTGTGTTCCTGTGAGCTGTAATAATAGTAATAATCCTTGCATTTGATATAGCGCCTTATCGCGTCGTTGAGACGTCTCAAAGCGCTTCGGAGAATATATTGTAAAGTGGACCGACTGTGTAAATTGTGGCCGAAATGCGGTAGCCAATTGCGCACAGCGGTGCCCCACAAACAGACGTGGATTGAGTGACCAAATTTTTTTGTGTTTTTTTTTTTTGGAGGGTTTATTACCCCCAGGAAAGCGATCCACCAAACGACTATCCCAGAAAGTGATCCGCCAAGCAACTAACAACCAGGTTCCTACTTGCTAGGTCAACAGAGGCGTGTGGTGTAAGGAAACCTGCCCAGGGTTTCATCCCGCCCAGGAATCGAACACGGGCCTTCTCACATGCGAGGCGAACACACTAACCACTACGCCACAGGACTCCAAATAATATAATAATGCGATGGAATATAATAATAACATCCAGGTTGTTGTGTATTGGAAAACAGTGTTATACGGAAGTTTGCTTTGCCTTTTTTTAAAAAAGAAATGAAGTTCACTGTAAATACATTTTATTTCTCTCGGTTGTGACATAGTGAAGTGAAATTTTAACTACATATAAAGACTTGTATATTTCATGATTTTTTTAATTGTAATTCTTCAGCAAAATTTGTGGTAAATCTCCCTCTCTCTCTCTCTCTCTCTCTCTGTAATAATAAAAACACACAGAAAATATTTCAAAGAGTCTCCTTGTTCCACGGCTACTGCGTTGAACTCGCTAAGTTCATGACAACAGCAACAACAACAAATTACACTTGTCTGACAATTGTATTTCTCAATTCATCTTAAGGATCAGAACCCCCAATTTCGTTGACTTACGCCAACCTTTGCCCAGCATCGCAAATCATTGTAACAGTCTCTTCCTATTCCAATTGGGATAGCTTTACCTTCACCGAGAATTAGATTTGTGCAGCCCGTTGCAACCGATGTATGAATTGAAGACGAGAGACAATTTTGCAGGGTTCAATTCCAACAATCCTGTTGCTAACATGCAATATCAATTAGTTCAAAAGCTTCCTTTAATACTTCGAGGGCGGCTTTTTCAGCTGCAAGAAGTTTACGCTCTTCCGTGATCATGTTTTCTTCCTCCATGATGCTCTGTCTCAGCAAAGTTAAAATCTCTGTGTTTTTCGAGGGCTCCTTTGTGGCTGGAATCATCAGTTGAGAAAAAGAGTTAGAAATTGGAGTTAGGGAATGGACTTTGCTTCCGTAATGTGTTAAAAGGTATTGCCAGCAGTAAATCCGTCCATCCGTTGGATATTTTTTCCATTGGTGGGAGTAAATGCCAGAACAGAATAGCAACAGAAACGATCTCAGGTCATAGAATCATAGAATTATACAGCACAGAAGGAGGCCATTCGGCCCCTCGTGTCCGTGCTGGCTCTTCGAAAGAGCTATCCAAATTAATCCCATTCTCCCGCTCTCTTCCCATTGCCCTGAAAATTTGTCCTCCCCATTGGAATTTAACTATAAAATAATTCTTCTCTCTTCTCCCCGTAACCTCAGCACCCACCTTCCAATACATAAACGGCTCGAATCATGCTCAGTTGAGGAGAGGAGTCTCGGACAGGATACTCCAAAGCTCCTCCTACTGCATCAGTCCTCACTTAGTACTTACACATTGGTGGAACAGGGACATTAGACACGAGGATAGGAAATTGTCTCAATTAATACATTTTTGAGTTGAGGCAAACTTCTTAAAGGAAGATGTGCACCTCACCAGGTGCCATGTTTGCGACTGCTCTCTGTAACCTTGGAGAGTGGAAAATACTGGCTCCAGACAATTTGTAGTGACAAGATGTCAGATTACGTTCGCTAATGCAATTAATGTATGTGTGTTTTAGGAAAATGACACAAGTTGATTTGAGGTATAAAATCCATGATGCGTGCTACGTTTAAGATGTGCCGACAGACAAAAGGCATAGCAAGGATTAAAACACTAGACTAATCTTGCAAACTAAATATATATGGGGCATATAAAGGCTAGTAACCGCAAGTGCAGAATCAGCAGAAAGGTAAGAATATGTGCGCAGGGCCCAAAGCTTGCAGATAAAAATAATCATGAGATACCGGATGGCAGCCAAAGCCATCGGGGAGTAGAACCAAAGGGTCATCCTGGGCTCGGAAAGCTCCTCTTGAAATGTGAGAAGGGGTGGGGGGAGGTGGGGGTAGACAACGCAACCTTCTTCCATGTATTATTGATATGTTTTCTAATCCGAGTTACTCACGTTGGCAGATTGGAAGGTTTCCAGTCCAACCTTGAAGTGTGCACCGTCTAACTGCTCTGCCGAAACTAACAAACCTGTGGAAAAGAACCAAAAATTTGCAGTAAAAATAACAGGGAACAAACGTGCAAAAATTCCAATGTCATTTTTTTTAACCACTTGATTTGGGGTAAAGTTACAGGCTTCTTTACAGATTTTGGCTTCAGAAATTGAACACTGGCTGGTTACCCACAGTCCACAGATTTTTTTTGTTTTGTCGGCCAGGTGTGTGACACATGCGGAAACCCACCACCACATGCTTAAGAGTATCCAAACCAAACTGAGATGAATTGTGATCTGGGCTTTTCAGTTGGGTTCTGCAACAGAGAAAGACACTGACTTGATGCTCACCCAACATCGCAGGTGTACGTCACAATTGAGCCGAATGAATGACTAGAAGCTACGTAGGTGCCATTCGGTATATCCTCCGGAAATCCACAGTCTTTAGCTGCACAAACAGGAAGCATGTGGAGCATTTTAACCAGGATTTAGATCAGTTACACTTCCATAAGGACATAATAATTGCTGGACGAAAGAAGACCACGGTCCATCCAGTTCACCTTCCAACATCCTGGCAGTCGCCAGCACATGTCATGTCCCAAACTATATACTCTATCCCGAGATATTAGTCTCTAACAGAAATCTATCTAGTTTGTTCTTTAAAGAAACAACACGTTCTGCTTCAACCGTCTCCCTCGGGAGTCTGTTCCATACATTTATTACTTATTCACTCAAGTAGTGTTTCTGCAGATTTGTTGTGAATTTACTCCCCCCTTCAATCGCAGGCCGTGTCCTCTGGTTCCACTGTTCAGTACATGATACGAGTTACCAAGGGAAGTGTACACGTCCACAACTGAGAAACTCTCTATTACCAACTCTCAAACCGTTAATCTTTCAAGAGTTACATATTTTTGAATGCAATGTCTTTACTTAATTAATCCATTCTCGATCAACTTGTGTATCACCGAACGTCCCCCCCACTGACCTTTCGTTTCCCTTACACACTTAAAAATGTTCCAAAAATGTCATCCGGCCAACCCATATCAATATTGGTAAAGAACAGGTGGCATTTGTGGATTTACAGAGAAAGTGGGTTTTAAATAAATGCTGAAGGTTGAATACTTACCAACGCATTTGAACAATGGCTCAGACCACGTTAAGTTATCTTGACAGGTGATGTAGTTTGGTGCACTGCTCTCCCTTTGGTAACCATACAAGCAATAATATTGAGTTCTGTGGCCGATACGAAATGACCTCAAGTAGGAATAAGCAATTCTAGCACCTGGAAGCTCTGGAGGATGATCGCATTGAGCTGCAAACAACACACGTGTTTTTACAATAATTTTATATACATCTTAAGACGGGAATGCTATTGCTACGGAAACTGCTGTGACTGTGCACCAAAGCCACAGGAACTGTTAAAGCACAGAAGTGCTGATCCCAGACTGTAACATTGACAAATTTTCAAAGTGCTTCGCAGAGCTTCTGTGAAGCGTAGTGCCTGTTTGCAGTGTGTGCAGGTGACTGCAGCAGCTGCTTTATGCGAAGCAAATAACAATAATCCCTGCATTTGATATAGCGTCTTATCACGTCTTCGAGACGTCTCAAAGCGCTTCACGGAATATACTGTAAAGTGGATTCACTGTGTTTTGTGGGCGAAACACGGCAGCCAATTGCGCACGGCAGCGTCCCCACAAACAGTCGTGTATTGAATGACCAAATTGTTGTTATTATTTTTTTTTGAAGGAATTATTACCCCTCGGAAAAGTGATCCGCCAATCGACTAACAACCGCCAATCCTACTTACTGCTGAGTAAAAGGAGGCGTGTGTGGGGAGTAAGGAAACCTGCCTGATGTTTCGCTCTGCCCGGGAAATTTTAGCCTTTGTTTAAAGGAAGTGCTTACTTACCCAATCTGCAAGAAGGTGGTTCTTCAAAAAAGCCATTTTCTTTACACACGATGGGATTCTGACCAACAATCCTATACCCTCGATGGCAGGTAAATCCAATGCTCTCCCCGTATCTGTATCGACGTTTTAATGTCATGTGCACCATGAAGTTTGAAATTCTCTTAGGTTGAGGGCAGCCAGGAACTAAGAGAGGAACAAATTTGTATTTACGAGGGTTAAGCCCCTATGCATCTGTGTATTTACCGAAAGATCAATCAAGTTTCTTAAGAAAGAATGATAGTTATCGGATGGTTTGACGTAAATTGTTTTTGCGGGAGGTTGATGTGATGATCATCACATTGGACCGAAATAATAATCACATCAAATGTCTCGTTTCGTAGTAGTCCCCCCTCAATCCCCACCCACCCACCCACCCAGCACCCCACGGCACCTCCCACCCTCCCCACCCACAAGTGACTGGCCAAATCTTTCTTTGAATTCTCTCCTCGGGGTTACGTACTTGGCTTGCAGGCGGGCACATCCTCAAATGTACCGTCCTCTCTACACTTGATGGTGCTCTTGCCGACCATTTCAAAGTACTCATCGCACCTGTAAGTGACTGTGTCTTGATACTTGTGTTTGGATCCATATCCTGAGACTACCTGGCCGTTTGGAATCGAGTCAGGTCGCAAACATTCAACAACTGCAAGAGATCAATGTTGGCCGAGGTCAACGACAACAACAACAGCTTGCATTTACTCAGTGCCCTCACGCTTGACAGTGGTGGAGCACGGTGCTGAGCCCGGGGAGTGGGGGCTAGGGAGGTGACTGTGGGCACGGTTAAATAGGAAGTTCTCCAGGCGCGACCTGAAGATGGGGAAGGAAGGGGCAAGGCGGAGGGATAGAGGGAGAGTGTTCCTGAGTTTTGGGGCTTAGTGGTTGAGGACAGAGGTCCTAAGTGTAGCTATACATACAAGCGATTGGAAACTTCTTTGCTGAACATCAATCCACGACTGTTTGTGGGGACGCTGCTGTGCGAAATTGGCTGCCGCATTTCGCCCACAAAATACACAGCTAATTCACTCGAAGACGTGATGGGGCGCTCTTTCAAATGCAAGAATGACTATTATTATAAAACAGGAATGATTCTGACCCGACGGTAAAGTACCTTTGCATTTGGGGGCTTCAGCACTCCATTCTCCAGTCTTCGTACAGAAGATTGATTCCTCCCCTATGAGGCTGTAGCTGTCAGCGCACAAGTACCTTGCGACTGCCCCAACTTCCCACTGTTGAATGATGCTTGAAATCTTCCCATGATCAATGATGGGAGGTTCTAGGCAGGTGATCGCTGTGGATAAAAGGGATGATGAGCAGAGTGCGACGAACTGAACCTTTTTCTTCTATTTTCATTCACTTTCTTCACGAAAAAGACCAAGTACATAGTTACACAGAGTGATACCAGTACGGAAACAGGCCATTGGGGCAAACTAGTCTACCACAGTGTTTACACTCGACCCAAGCCCCTCACCCCTCCTATTCCCGTAGCATTAGAGCACTCGCCTCGCAAGCGAGACGACCAGGGGTTTGATTCCTGGCAGAGAAAACCTTAGGCAAGTTTCCTTACTCCCCCCACACGCCTCTGTGTACCCAGCAGTAAGTAGGAACCCGGTTGTTAGTCGATTGGCGGATCGCTTTTCCGGGGATAATAATCCCTTCAAAATAAATAAATAAACAAATAATAACTGGGTGACTCAATCCACGACTGTTTGTGGGAACGCTGCCGTGCGCAATTGGCTGCCGTGTTTCGCCCGCAAACTGTACAGTCAATTCACTTTACAGCGCTTTGAGACGTCTCGAAGACGTGATACGGTGCTGTATCAAATGGAAGGATTAGTATTATTTTCCTGGTGAACTGCGGTTAAGTACGGAACCTCAAACTTACGATCGCAAACGGGCTTCCTGTCACTCCAACCATCCACCTGACAGTATCGGAACATCGGCCCGATTAAAGAGAACCTGGAAAAAGGAAAGTCAAGCTACAGTAGGAGGATTATTAATCATCCCACAGATAGATTGTCGGTGGAATGTAATGCACCCTCTCTCGCTCTCTCTCTCTCTCTCTCCCTGGAGGGACGCAACCTGTTCACCCAATTCCAGAAAGTATTAGGCACAGGTTGGCAAGAGCCAAGGCTTTTTGGGGTTCTTGCCACTGATATCGTTGTCTGGTATATCAACCAGATCTGGATGAAACGCTACAGGTGTGATATAAAAAGAAAATATGGGAAAAATTCTTCCCCACATTCCCTGGAGAGGAATGCGAATTGCAAATCTAAGCGCTTGGAGAGGAGGCGCTGTATAAAACGTAAGGATTATTACTATTATCATTATTATTTGTTAGTTTTGAGCCTCCACTGGGAGCTCTCAAGATCATATACAGTGCATTCATTGCTGGCAGACAAGTAAAATCTGCTGCTTACAGCTGCAGAGAAATAATAACTTCGGAGATGTTCGATGACTTCAGGGCAAGGCTGCTGTTAGGGTTGACTGAACCCAGTCCCTGCAGAATCATAAGGCAGTGTCCTTGGCACACAGGAATTTGCAATAGGAAACTGCGTTCAAAAGATGATGAAAAATATCCCACCGGGCGGAACAAAAGTGCACAAATGGACGTGTCGTAAGCCAGAAGGTTGTGGGTTCAAGTCCCATGGAAGGAAGGAAGAGAATTCATAGTTTAGACATACACTGCAATGCAATCCTGGGGGGAGTTCCTCACTGCCAGAGGTGTAGTCCTTTGGATGAGACATTAAACCAAGGTCCCGTCTGTCGGCTCAGGTGGACGTTAAAGACCCTGCGGCGCTACTCAAAAAGAGAAGGGAGTTTCTTTCTCCTGGTGTCCTGGCCAATAATCCCCCGAATAAAAATGGTCATTCATCTCATGCTCTTTTGTGTGAAAATTGGAAAGGCAAGTGTATCAAATGCAAGGGTTATTATCATATTTATTATTATTATTATTATTATTATTATTATTATTATTATTATTATTACTGCTACTTACCCCGGATCACAAAAATATTGGATCTTGTTTCCAAAAGTAAATTGGACCGGAGAGAAATATCCATTGAGAATTTCTCCTGGGTGATCACAGGATTTGCCTGCAAACAATAGCAGACAGACAACGTTACAGAATAAAAACCTTTCACCATCTCACTTAAGCCTTTCGCAAGGTCTGTTATTTTCACCAACCAACTATGGGCTAACTTTGAGCGCTCGGGCCAACGGCAGCGTCCTCTAGTGGCATCTCACTTGAGCAAATAGCCCAGATTATCCCCGCTCGCTATACATTTATAGTAATAATAATATTAATAATCCTTAACGGGATTTACTCTAAAGTGCAGTGACTGCATTCAGTAGGCGAACGAGGCAGACTTGGGAATCGAACCCGGGTCTTCCTGCTTGCAATTATTATTAGCAGTATTTTTTAAAAAAATCCTGGTCACTCAATCCGCGACTGTTTGCGGGGACGCTGCTGTGCGCAATTGGCTGCCGCGTTTCGCCCACAAAATATACAGTCAATCCACTTTACAGTATATAGTGTGAAGCGCTTTGAGACGTCTCGATGACGTGATAAGGCTCTATATCAAATGCGAGGATTATTATTATCATTATTATTAATATTATTGTTATTATTATTAATATGTTATTCACACAATCAGGCTGGTTGTGAGAAATTCTTTCCGGCCATTCAACAGACAAACATACAATTCAAACGCAAGGGCAAAAACAGAAAAGCGATGAACAAATGAGGGTGTGGGTGATTTGGGAAACATCTGTCTCTGGCAGAGGAGGAGGAAAATGATCCTATTATTCCACATAAATTCCAGCTGCGCACATGGGTGTCGACATTCAACCAGAGAATCCAAAACAGAACAGTTAAAAGACCAGCTCGTGTCCTGACAAGACACTACGTCAGAACAGACCGGCGGGTAATTGGAGTTGAGGTACAGGTCAGCCATGATCTAATAGAACAACGGGACAGGCTCGAGGGGCTGAATGACCTCCCTCCTGTTCCTACAAGTGCCGGCGTAAGGTGAAAGTGGGAGGAACCCAGTGAACCTTTTACTCAGTTTGTCTCAGGTTCTTCCTTCCCCAACCCCCCCCCCCCCACTCCCCCCACCCCTCCCCGCCCCATCTTGAACGCAAGTTGCTTGGTTTACATCCATTCCGTCATGCGAAGTGCAAAAGAGAGAGAGAGAGAGAGAGAGAGAGAGGGATCCCATCTTATGGAAGATCTATAAATGAGCAATGTGCTAGTCTGTTGAATAAGTGGTTTGGTTCTGCTTTCCTTGGTCAGGAGATTGTGGGTTCAAGCCCCACGACGGGGACTTTGAGCTCACAGTCTAGGCTGACGCTCCAGGTGTAGCGCTGGGGGAACACTGGCTTGTCGGAGGTGCCGACCTTCGGGTGGGACATTAATCACTGAGGTCTCCTCTGTACTGTACAGGCGGACGTTAAAAAAAAATCAATGAAAAGCTAAGGGAACTTTCCCGATGTCCTGGCCAACAATCCCCTGGGCAGATCGCTCATCGATTTCATGGCTGTTTGCGGGAACATTGCTGCGCGCGAATATCCGAACTCTTTAGAGGAATAAACAAAAAGAGACGTCTCGAAGGTGTGATAAGACGCCATAATCAAATGCAAGGATTATTATTATTATTATTATTATTGCTGTAGAAGTTACGTACCTTTGCAAGAGAACCGAAACAGCGACCAGGTTGAATCGGCCCTACAATTCACAAACGGAACGGATCTTTCGGGCATTATGTATCCGGGGTTACACCTGTAAAGAACTCTGGAGTTCACGGCAAAAGTGGTCTGATTGTCGGTAATCGACGGATAGCCATTCTGCAGTCTTGGAGGATCGACGCAGCTCCCTGTTTGGTTTGCTTTGCCTTTTTAAGAACAGGAAAAAGGCATTTTAAGAACACGATTCCAACCGAGATTCTCCCCCTCCGGTCGGTCACAAAGCGCGAGGACTGAATTGCGCCCCCCACCCCCCCCCACCCCGTGCTCGGTCACTGTCAAGCGCTCCGGGGCGCTACCCTGCTCGAGGGGACGCCGTTGTTGTTCTTGCTGCTGCTCGATGTCCCCCGTTGTCTCTGTGAGGAGATACTTATTCGCTTTAAGCGCATTTGCCGCGACTGCTCAGCTAATTCTCTCCCTCGTCAACTGCGCTCCAAATCAGTACGGTCTCTTCTTACCCCTTATGGCGCCAATGCGAATCACGCAGATGAGTAAGACACTCAACGTGACTCTCTCGGACATGCTTCGTTCCGCTTTTCGACCGGTCGTCTCTCGGTTATTGCGATACTCTGCGCGAAGGACATTCAACTCGCACCGCGCAGCTTTCTCTGTGGCCGTTGTGTTCCTCTGCGACCTGTTCTGCGACCGAGGCTGAGAATCGAAAACCTATTGATATTGGAGGGCGCTTATTCAAAGCGTGTAGGGCTGTGCCAACCCCTTCTGGGAAATTGCAGAAACGACAGGAAAAAAAATAAATAATAAAAAAAAAACACCGACGTTGTTTAAAAGGTTCAAGGGCGTATTTCGCTACCAGAAAATATTTGCGATAACTTAGCAGCCTTCGAGGTGGTGGTGGGCGGGGGTGGGGGGGGCGGGTTGATATGTTAGTTCTTTTTGACAATTAAAGGCAATTTAATTGTTTGGGATGGGGCGGAGGGAATGAGGTCGCTTTTAAGATGTCGCTCTCCACTCCCCCCCCCCAACCGAACGATGAACCATTTGGAGCAATTAGAAGTTTGATGGCCAACTTGGGTTGTGGCCAAATTCGGTCACTCTCCACCCCTCCCGATTCCAACCCCAGGCTCGGGTGCAAATCCCTGACTGTCCGGCTCCTCGAGACGTCCTCCCATCGTGAAAGGCGCCATCTGTAAAGATGCAATTTATTGCTGTTGTTTTGCTCAAGTCCGGACTCGCTAACAAACAACCGAAAACTATGGCGCAGAACGGCAATTGTAGAGCGATTTCTTCCATCGATCAGATACTTGTCAACGGTTAATGATTAAATAACCCCAATCCCATTGACATGTTAAGAGCATTGCCCACATTTGCAGTTCAAGAGACTTGTGTGTGTGTGTTCACTGGATAGAACCTGATGTTTGCGGTAAACACAGGGGATGGAATAAATCGGCACTTTTTTTTCGTAAGAAGGAACGCCGAAACATTTGGGCGTTTTATTTATTTGTTTTCCAACTTTCTTCCCCCCCCCCCCCTACCCGCCCCACCTCATCCTCCCTCCACCCATTCTTTTTAAGGGCCTTTGTTGTGACCTGTTAACTCTGGCAAAGGCTGGGGTTTCGAAGCGTCCAACCAAAGACCATTGGAATCGATCGGAAAAACTTTCTACCCTTTGGTTACAAAGCAGTTTTAAGTAATAATAATAACGAATAATAATCCTAGTACACAGACTGCGAAGCGAATTGATTTGCGGATTTTGCGGGCGAAATAGTAAGTTCTTTTTACTGAACAGGGGTGAACCTTTGCAGTGACAGACACAGACACTGGGCTGGTGAAGGTTTTTATTAAAAGGGCCTAATTGAGAGCAATTGGTGCAAATAAATACATTTGCCCCTTTATGTGGTGTGATGCCTTGGACGTGCTGATGGCGCCACCCGGTGGCGGATAGGCGGCACTGCACATCACAAGGCATTTTAAGAATCAACAATAAATGACCTGAGATCTGAACACATCATTGAGGGGAAGAGAAAAGCAGAGCCACGGAGACTCATTCTCCAAGTGTGATTACCCTCACAGCCGAGGGATTACCCCGACAAAGCCTCGCTGCGATTGCGGTGGGTGGGGGGAGGTATCCTGGAAAGATGAGATCAAATAAAAGGGTCCACATTCGAACTTCACTTATGATCATAATCCTTTACCTTTGAGTTCGTGCCTTATGGCACCGCCGAGACGCCGCAAAGCGCCTCACAGACGACACTGCAAAGTGAATTGACTGTACGTATTTTGTGGGCGAAACGCGGCAGCCAATTGCGCACAGCGGCGTCCCGCAAACAGTCCCGTGGATTGAGTGACCAAATTCTTCTTCGTCTTTATTGAAGGGATTAATGATCCGCCACTCGACTGACAGCTGTGATCCATCCCCATTGCCCGTTCTGGTGGGGGCCTCTTTTATTAGTGAAAGAATAATCTTAGACCTGCAACAAACTACATGCACATCACGGTCAGATTGCATGTTGTATAACTGACTTGCTCTAGTTTCAAGTTACTGTCTCGTGGGGAAGAGAAGACATTCTTTTACACTGTCACAAATCTAAAAACAAAGAGAAGGTTAACGTAAGTACTCTGTTCTGCAGAGACTCAAATCCCAAAGGGGTTAAAGTGGCAAAGATTTTTAAAAAATGATATCCCAATAAAGCCCAAACACTGCGAAGGAAGAACGAGGCTGAGAGAGCGCTGTTTATTAACTCGCACGACGATAATAATCCTTGCATTTCACATAGCGCCTTATCAAGTCTTCCAGACGTCTCAAATCGCAAGCGATTCGACTGTGTATTGTTTTTGTGGGCAGAACGCAGCAGCCAATTGCGCACAGCAGTGTCCCACCAACAGTAGCGGATCGAGTGACCCAATTTTTTTTTTGGAAGGAAGGAAGGATTTATTACCATGTTAGAAATGGAAACTGCTGATTGTTCGGATGCCATCGTGAGGGCGGTCAGCAAACAATCACTCAACCAGCGACCCAGTCTCCATTTAGAAACGAGCTCCAGCTCTTTTACAGAGAAGCACCATTTAAGTGCGAGTTGCTGTTGCTGTGGACGATGTAGGATTGCGAACAGCAACGGCACAATTCTGACAGCAAGCCACGCATTAATTGACATTGCCGGGCTAAACCCAGCGCCTTCTGAGGCTGTCCTGCGGGTGGGCCACAACTGGCGCTGCTTTGCAGGGCGATCGCTGAGCTGGTAAGAGTTTTATTGATCTGCTGCATCGATCGAGACACGTGCGAAAGTTTCTGCACGGGAGGAATGGAGAGGTCGACAGTGGCTCCTGCAGTCCTGTTCTCCGCCCACGCTCGACCTTCCTAAAGGAGAGAACGGGAGGAGAGGGATGGACTGAGGGCAACAACAATGCAGCAGCGGCAGAAAGAACCGGCAATGAAATGCCATCAGGGTGCGCAGCGCCGTTCACTCACTCGCTCCCGCTTGCAACAGAGACAAAAACGCAAGGATTCTTCTTTTATTCTGAAGTCGTTCGATTTGCTCGCAGAGGGTTTGACCGAAACGTGCTTTCTAAATAAAGGCATCAATTAAACAGTGATCGCAAACGTGTGGTCTCTCTTCTCTCTCCAAACGTCTCTGTTCTCCCCCATTCCCCCCCTCCCCCACACACACACACGCACACACGATCCATTGAGCTCTCCAGTCGATCACACGGTTTCACCTGATGGCAATTCTCGCTGTGTTTCCCTCTGCATTGTAACCGATTTCAAATGGTGCTAGAAATCGACCAAGACTCTGAACACCAAAAGAAATCAGTCACCCTGAGCAAAGGGTTGGCGTTGGTCTGGAAGTCGAAGGTGACACCCACACACACACCCATCCGCCCACACACAGAGACACCCGCACACCCATCCGCCCACACACAGAGACACCCACACCACCCATCCGCCCACACCCTCCAATCCAAAATCCATGGATCAGGCCCGGCTGATTTTAGCCTCCGAATCCCAGGTCCCACAGCACTGTTGACTCGTACCATTGAATGAACTGCTTAATGGCTTACGCCGCAGCCAAAGCAAGGAAATGCCTCCTCACCTTAAGACGGGTTTGCACATCACAAGTTTTAACGCTCCCCACCCCACCCCACACACATCCGTCAGCTGCTTTTCTTCTTCCAAGAACACTGATTTCAAATGGTGCTAGAGTCAGCACTGGTACAATCTAAGACACCATATGAAACCAGCTTCCAGGAAAAGATCGAGTAAAAGTTCCTTTTCCTTGTCCGACGCAGGAGGTGACAAGGTTCCTTCCTTGTGGCTGAGCCGGTGGTGTTGAGGAAACAAAGCGGAGGGGGTTCACAGCAGGAGAGGAGGGAGGAAGGAGCCTAAGGCTCTCCAATGTTTCCCTCGACGCGAGGTGCGTACACCCAGGTGACGTGATGATACTTTATTCCAGTCACTTCTGTCTGGGTGGCTATGGAGCTGCCAATGAGAGAGAGAGAGAGAGAGATAGAGAGAAAGAGAGATGGGGGTGTTGGGGGACACAGAGAGAGAGAGAGTGCAGATTAAAAAAATAAATCAACAGCCCAAATAAAACATCCACGTTGGCAATACGATGTTGGAAGAACAATGAAGTCCTTCCAAGGTTATGTGTCCGAGGGAACCAGTAAGGTTTACGTTCAGGGGAAAAAGATCTCCTCGCAATCTCCATCCCTGGAAATATAAAGAACCAGTTAGCGACAAACGGCTCTTGTTGAGGCGCAATATCAAATGCAAGGATTATTATTATTATTATTATTTTCATATCTGTGCAGAAACTCCCATCAAAATTGATCCCAACTAGTCCTTGGCTTCTCTGGCTGGTAACGTAAGCAGTTTTGAGGGCAACGCACACAGGAAGTCAGGGTTTGTAAAGCACATTTACACTGAATCTACTCAGGTCTGCACTGTAGTCACAGCCAATGATGCGAGAACGATAACAATCCTTATATTTTGATATATAACGCCTTATCACGTCTTCGCCACGTCTCAGAGCGCTTCGCGGGATGTGCTGTGAAGTATATAGTGACTATATTTTTTTTGGGGGGGGGGGGGCAAAACACGGCAGGCAATTGCGCGCAGTGGTGTCCCACGTACAGTCGCGGATTGATTCACCGAATTATTATTATTATTACTTTGAAGGGATCGTTACCGCCCAGAAAAGCGATGAGGCAAACGGCTAACAGAGGCACTTGTCTGGCGGACAAATCGAGATTGCACGTTGCACTCACTCGGCAGAACGACGTGCGGTGGTATTCTGTTACAATTGCTTTAAATGTTTAACTGCTTTCCTCATCTGTATACGATTCCGACTCGGCCTCGAGGATCGGGTTTCTGGCGGCGTTGTAACTGTATCTCGCCGGCACGCACGTTAATGCCCTGATGGGCCATGCACTGAGACGTATTAAAAGGCAACCAGCTGAATAACGTTATGGGTCACAGGCATAAACGATGAAGAATGACATCAATTCATTAATCTATGAATTAATTAATCAGCGGCATTCAATGTGAAACAAGTCCGCACTGCTTCCTGGGTCCCGTGTAAAATAAAACGCACACACGCACACGCAGTTAAAATTGCTCAGTTGAGATTTTTCGAAACTTCAATCCACGACCCGTTTGTGGGGGAACGCCGCTGTGCGCAGTCGGCTGCCGCGTTTCGCCCGCAAGATACACAGTCAGTTCACTTCGCCGCGTATCCCGTGAAGCCCTGTGAGACGTCTCGACGACGTGATGAGGCGCTGTTTCAAATGCAAGGATTTATCATTATTATTATTATTATTATAATATACCGTGAAAGGATAATCTTCAGTGGGGCCCACGTTTATAAAAAGACATTGTACACTGTTCGATTGTCATCAATCTTTGAAAAGATTCGGAGTCCACGTAAAACTAGGAAGCCGTCGAGAGCGATACAAGGCCATATTGCGTCGGTATAAGCGCCTTTCGTGTTGGGAGGACGTCCCAAGGCGCTCACCCTCTCGGAGATGGGGGAGGGAGGGAGGGAAGGGGTTAAGCGTCATTGGTAACACCGTTCCTGTTAAGAAACTCGTAGCCCCAGAAGTGAATGTACACAAGGAACATTTCCGAGCCGTGACCTTGGGGTTTGTGTCATAGGAAAAAGCACGTTCACCCGGGTCACAACAAGGGCTGTGAACGATAAACAGTAAAGCTTGTGTAAATACAAGGTTCAGTCCAACTCGGAGGAAGTTTTGCAATCGGAGATTACAATTCTTCCATAGAATGAGGAAGAACTCTTCCGCCATTTCCCACAACTTCATCCAATATCCTCCATCTGTTTAATCCCCGCAAACTAGGAAGCCCGAGCATTAAAACTATTGAGTTTAAGACGTCCCGTCTTCGCTTACGACGACGACGACAGCTATAAACCGGGAACAGCAAAAGACAGCCCTGAACTCTCAGACAGAACGACTTCACAAAGTGGCCTCAAATCACTTCCTTACCAATCGACCCCGCAGGAGTCTGACCAAAAGTGACCTCTCGACAGAAAGCGGAACAGAACCGACTCGCAGAAGGTGGTACTCAGTGCAGTGTTTACTGGTGAAAAAGCTAACGGGACTCAACAGCGCTCCGGGCCACGGGGAGCTCTTCGAAGTGGCATTATAATAATAATTAATAATTAATAATAACCCTTAACAATAATAATCCTTGCGTTCGGTGCAGCCCCTCATCGCGTCTTAAGAGACGTTTCAAAAAGCGTTTCACGGGATATACTGTCGAATGGGTGGGTCTTGAGTTGGTTTTTTTCCCTCCGTGAACATTGGTTGGAAAAGTCCCAAAAAGTGTGTGGGGAGAGGGCGGGTGGGGGGGGGGGGGGGAGTGGGGGAAAGAGATGTAGATTTGCTGCTGACAGGAGAGAAAATAAAAAGAAACAAGGCACGTGGTAAGAGAGTGCCCTCGCGTTCAATGCAATGGGAGGGCGTATCTGCTGTTTACTTTTGCAGTCCGCCTTTGCCAATAACAGCCATGCTCCGCGACTCCCGCCCCTCGCCCCCACACACCACCCCCACAAAAAGAAGGCTGAATAGACGAGGAAGAGCCTCAAGATTAAGACTCGTCTAATTTCATCCCTCCCCTACAGCTCCCCCTTCATTACGAGGCCCTCATTCAACCCCACCAAAGAAAAAACGCTGTGCGCAATTGGCTGCCGCGTTTCGCCCACGAAATCTACATTCAATTCGCTTTACAGTGCATTCCGTGAAAGCGCTTTGAGACGTCTCGAAGACCTGATATCAAATGCAAGGTTTATTATTATTATTATTATTATCATCGTCATAGTTAATGTTTAACCTCCCCTCTCTACCACAGGCAAATGGGTTTCTACTCATCCCTCCCCGCTGGATACGCAACCAAATCAAAATGGAAAGGGCGGAAGGTTTACGTATAATGATTAAAAGAAAAACAAATGAACATTATCAGCAGCAGTTTAGCTGTTAACAGAGCTCAGAGCTGCCAATTGCGCACAGCAGCGTCCCACAGTCGCGGATTTGAGTGACCAAATTATTAGTATTTCTTTGAAATAAATTTTGGGTTTCGAAGCGATTATTACCCCCGGAAAAACGACCGGATTCCTACTGACCGCAGGGTAAACAGAGGCGTGCGGAGTAAGTAAGGCAATTCCTGCCCAACCTCTCGCCCCTTCCCGCTCGGAAATCGAACCACGGTCCTCTCGCTCACGAGTTAAACCGCTGAGCTACAGGACACGCCACGCAAAGGGCGGCAGAAAGTTAAAACCTCGAAGGGTGTGGGGGGAAAAGAGAGAAACGTGCGCGTCTCAAAGGCAAAAAAAAGAAAAGAAAAAAAGTGTCGAGTTAATCGCCCGATTTAAAAACTTCAGCCGCTGCCACGAAAGCAAACCTGGACTCGGTGAGAAACCGGCGATCTCGTAGGAAGCAGCAAAGCACTCCTCACTGCGGAGAGATTCTCCGCGGCTTTGAGAAACATTGCTCTCTCTCTCTCTGATCCTATTCACCACCAGAATTAAATCCAGGGCGGTAACAGGTAGCGGACGTTCAAACATGCGTGGAGCGAGCTGGCAAGGTTGGCATCGCTCTCACGATTTTTTTTTTCCTCTCTCTCTCTCTCTCTCTCTCTCGCTCTCGTTCCCCTCCAGAAACCCACAATTCCTCGGTTCTTGGCAGGTAAAAGGAGCCTCGCTTGTTTTCGAAAAAGTTTTCACTGACAGCGTCTCCTGTTTGTTTCGCAAGAAGATTAAAAAATTATACAACCAGCGGGCGGGCTCTGCCAAGAGAGATTAAACGCAAGGTTTTTCCCCCCCCCCCCCCTCTCTCGCTCTACTTCCTCCTCCTAGTCCTGTTGCGGTTTGTCTCATCGAAAAAGGGTTTGGGTGCCTTTCTCTCCCTTTCTCTCTCCAACCCTCCCACCGCCCCCCCTGTCGCGAAGCCTCCCTCCCTCCCGAGATTCAAGGTTTTAATACAAAAGGAGATTTGTTAGTGGTAAAAGTTGTTTTTTTTTCTTTACAAGTTGGTCAAATATTTTTCCCGAAGTTCAACCGACCTATCTCCGCCCCCCCACCCGCCCCCCACCGACCAAACCGAAATCATTCCAATTATTTGGTTAATGTATAATAATAATAATAATAATAAGCCTTGCATTTGATACGGCGCCTTATCACGCCGTCGAGACGTCTCAAAGGGCTTCACAGGATATACTGAAAAGTGGATCGACTGTGTATTTTGTGGGAGAAACGCGGCAACAACAACAACAAGATTCCATTTTATTGAGCGCCTTTCACGTCGGGAGGACGTCCCAAGGCGCTGTACAGTTGGGTCAGGACCCGAGCATTGGGGGGAAATGGTCAGAGGGAGGGAAGGGAGGGAGCGAGGAGGGGGAAGAGAGTCGAGAGGGGAGCTGAAGGCTGAAGGTCAAAGAGAAAGGTCTTGAGACCGGCCTTGAAGGAGGAAAGGGAGGAGGAGGTGAAGGCACTGGGGATAGAGTTCCAGAGCCTCGGGGCTGAGAGGCTGAAGGCCATCGATGGTAGGGCGGTTGGGGCGGGGGATGTGGAGCAGACCGGAGCCAGAGGAACGGAGGGTACGGGCAGGTAGGTAGGGGGATAGTAGGTCGGAGAGGTAGGAGGGAGCGAGGCCGTGAATGGCCTTGTAGGTGAGGGTGAGGATCACGGCAGCCAATTAATTGCGCACAGCAGCGTCCCGCGAACAGTTGTGGATTGAGTGCCCAATTTCTTTTGTGGGGTGGGAGGGGGCGGTGGGGAAGAGGAAAGGGATTTTTTTACCCCAGCAAAAGCAATCTGCCAATCGACTAACAACCGGGTTCCTATGTACCGCTCGGTAAACAGTGGTGCGCGGAGTAAAGGAAACGTGCTCGAGGTTTCGCCCTGGCCAGGAATTGAACCTGCGCCCTCTGGCTTGCGAGGCGAGTTCTCTAACCACTGCACTACAGGACTCTAATCTGGAACGCTTCGAGAATCGAATCGCTGCAATCGTGTCATCTTCTGGAAAAGCACTGCAAAGCAGAACAAGTCTGCTCAATGCCGACCTTCACCCGGTTTCCTGAAGACCGCAGAGAATTCCACCTCCTGGGTATTGAATGCTCCGTCAGGGCCCAGGGCAACACGATAGGATCTCGACAACATACTCAAGAACGAACGTCACGGGTTAGCGAAGCTGAGTGTGGGTGTGAGCACTGATGCCTCAAGGTCCTGCCTTCTGCTTCTTGCCCCAATTCAGTTAAACCCAAAAGCTTTCTGTTCCGCCACCTCTGATCTCCGTGTGTGATCCAGCGCACCACCCAACTACTCACCTGCCCACGCGCGCACAAAACATGCCGTAATACTGACGCCGGGGTAAGAGAGAATTCTTTTTTCTGTTTGTTTTGGGGGGGGGGGGGGGTGGGGGGGGGGTTTGAAAAAAAAAAGGAATAAAATAAAATCGAACCGTCAAACAGCGGTTTGAATTTGACGTGCTGCCAAGGGCGAGGAGTGGCGCGTTTAATCCAGACGACACTCGCACGCACGTCAGGTGTCCCCGTTTCCAAAAGAATACCTTCCCCTGCAGCGGAATCGCTGTGAACATGAAGCGCGGCAGCCGAGGGATTTTGCGCCCGAAACAGGAGGCCTTCTTGCGTGGATTTCCTGGCTTCCCACTCGCGCTCTTGCAGGCCGGGCAACACCATCAAAAGCCGCAGCGGTTAGAACGACGAATTCGTTCTCCAACAGGTTTGCCTCGGCTCCAAAAGACAACAACAACTTGCATTTATATAGAGCCCCCCACCCCCTTATGCGGGGTAGCGTCCCAGAGCACTTGACAGTGGTGGGGGGCAGGGGAGTGAGGGGTGGGGGGGGGGGTGTGTGAAGGGGAGGTGACCCTAGGCACGTTCCAAGAGGAAGGTCTTCAGACACGACCTGGAGATGAGGAAGGAGGAGTCAAGGCGGAGGGATTGAGGGAAGAGTGATCCAGAGTTTCGGGGCGCGGAGGCTGGAATTGGAGCGGCTCACGGTGGAAGTGGGGGGGGGGGGGGCACGAGGGACAAGCTTAGGAGACCGGAGCCGGTCGAGCGGGTAGTGGAGCAGGAGAGACCGACTGGCCTTCCGGTGATTTCTCCTGCCCTGACCCATCATCGCCCCGGGGGAAAACAGATCACCAGCCCCCGCTTACACTTACCTGGCCAGAGCTCGGAGACTCAACGCAGGAGGAGGGAACTGGCTCCCCACTGCCTGTCGCGAGCCGCGCATTTGGCCGCACAGGACCTGTACAGAGAGGAGGAAACTCAGCCTGAGATAGAACAGCAGATATATTTGCGTGCGCGCACTCACACTCATTCACACCCACCCACACGCAGTTACACACACACACAGACGCGTACACACGCACATGCAGATACCCACACACACATACGCGCACTCACAGACACACACACGCACGCACACTCACCGACACACCTGCACACTTGGAAAAAAAAAAAGTTGTACGAAACAAAATGTTCATATGATTCTGGACGCGAGTCAGATTAGGCTTCGACATGCAAAGAATTGGTGGGGTTGGTGGTGGGGCGGGGGGGAGGTCGGGGAGGGGTGGGGTGGGGCGGGGTGGGGGAGACGGAAGGAGGAAAGAAAGGTAAAAAGAAAAAACACCTTAGGAGCTTTTTTTTTGGGGGGGGGGGGGGGCGGAATAATACGTTTAGAAGTTTTCTCGGCTTCTCCTGGAACTCTCCAGCCAAGCCCGAGGCATTGAAAGGTAATCAAAGGTGTCAGCAGGATGTAACATTCTGTTCCTTTTCGGTTGTTGGTTGGTAGCCGGATGGACTACCCACCCAACATTACTTGTTGAGCAGCCAACAACAAAAAAAAAAAAAATTGTTGCAACGTGACTCATGTAAGCAAGTCTGTTCAGTCCCCGGAGCCATTGGCCTCGTGACTTTTCGTTCTGTTGTTAAAGGCGAACATGGTGAGACAGGAAACATTGCGAGGAAGGAATGTCTCCTTTTGAGTCCAGGTTTGAGCACCACCTCGGGACGTTTTGAGCTCACAATCCAGCTCGACGCTCCAACGCGTTTCAGGTGAGACGTTGAACTCGGGTCCCGCCTGTGACTGCTCAGGTGGGACGTTAAAAGATCCCGGGCCACTACTCCAGAAGAGAAGGGAGTTTCTCCCGGGGTCCTGGCCGACCGCTGCCCCAGATAAAAATGGTCAGTGGCTTCACGGCTGCTTTTGGGACGTTTTCCTAGTCACTACGTTCTTACTTAGCCACTGCTCTACAGTCGCTACCTTCTTCAATACATTCTGGTTAAGCAGTTTGGGACGACAACGACAACTTGGATTTATATAGCGCCCTCCACACTGGACAGGACGTTTCAACGATGCTGGTGATAAGGTTTTGCATCAAACGCAAAGATTATTATCAGGACTGTCTGATAAAGGACGCGATTCCCTTTGCACTCGTGAATTGCTTAAAATGTTCCAAAAGAAGGCAGCGAGTCCCAGGTAACGAGTACTCAAGTGTCATAACCATCTGAGGAGCCGGAGGAGATACTGAAGGGAGGCTTTTCTTCTGGAGGTCGACAACGATACTGATGTTTTACATACTTTTAGGGCAGCAATCCGGCCTTATTATCTCGCACAAAGTGCCGTTTCTTGCTGCTGAATCAACATTCCTAATCTCGGTTACTAATCTCATTCAGCTCTGCCAGTGTTTTTGGGGTCATCACTCTGGAATTACATCCAGGCATCAAAGGAGATTTGCCACACAGAGCGTTAAAGAGGGAATTTCCTCCGTGCTCACAAAAACGGCCTAACAACAACTTGCAGTGTCTTGGAGCGCTTAAATAATATTGGTTATTGGTACAGTACATAATAATCCTTGCATTCGATATAGCGCTTTTCATGTCTTCGAGATGTCTCAAAGCGCTTCACAGAATAGACTGCAAAGTGAATTGACTGTGTATTTGTGGGCAATGCGCGGCAGCCAATTGCCCACGGCAGTGTCCAACAAACAGTCGTGGATTGAAGTGACTGATTTATTATTGTTTTTTTTCTTGAGGGAATATTATCAGGCAGACATGTGAAGTAATAATAATAATAATAATAATCCTTGCATTTGATATAGCGCTTTTCACGTCGGGAGGACGTCCCAAAGCGCTTCACAGAACACACTGTGAAGTGAATTGACTGTATATTTGTGGGCGAACGCGGCAGCCAATTGCGCACAGCAATGTCCCACAAACAGTCGTGGGTTGAAAATGACCAATTTATTATTGTTTTTGGTTTTGGAGGGATTATTATTAGGCTCTGTGTGGAGTAAGGAAACTTGCCCAAGGTTTCGCCCTCTGCCGGGAATTGAACTCAGGTCTCTCACTTGCAAAGCGAGTGCTCTAACCACTGAGCTACAGGACTCCACACAATATATACATATAACAGATAACATTGATTGAGGGAGGCGTAAAGACCCATAAAAATCCAAGACGAGAATCTTCACCAAACTTAATTAGTTGTGGCAATTCACCACAGCTCCTCCCCCACTCCACCCACCCCTCACCCCCCAAAAAAAAATTGATCGCTCAGTCCACGACTGTTCGCGGGACACTGCTGCGCGCAATTAGCTGCTGCGTTTCGCCCACAAAACACAGTCAATTCACTTGACAGTATATTCCGTGAAGCGCTTCGAGACTTCCCAACCATGTGATAAGGCGCTATATCAAATTCAAGGATTATTGTTATTACGAATAATAATTCCTTCACAATGCCAGGAAAGAAAATCCCCAATATCAGTACGAATCCCTCTATCTCCGAGCTCGGAGCAGAGGGGAAAAAACAACAACATTGGAAGGTATCTGCCACGACACGTACTGATTGGGCAGGAGACCCATTAAGCATTCTCTGGGAGGGAGGGAGGTTTCGCTGTGTGCCAACAGCCAAATGCCAAACATTCAGTGCTCACAGCGTAACACAAAACAACTGCTGCACCAATCTCACCCCCTTTTCCATTCCAGTGATGCCAAGAGGAGCCGGGCTACCAAACACACAGTCACTACACTTCATCGTACATCCTTGTCCAGGGCTCCTCCCGATGAAAGGTGCACCACCAACTGTAAGGATTATTAACGCAGAAAATGCTCTCTGTGTGATATTTAGATTTGCTACGTCAATGCAAGTTGCTGTTACTGCAGCTGTACAGTGGGTGTCGATGACCCGGGGGACGTCCTCTCGACGTGAAAGGCGCCGTACGAACGCAATTCGTTGCTTAATAAGCGCTCTGCGTATTGTATCAGCCCGAAGGATGCTCTTCGCGCCGTAATATTTTGGCTCGTGCCACCACAACAACAATATGCATTTGTACGGCACCCTTCAAGAAGGATAGTGGCGAACAAACCAACCCAGAAATTAAAATAACTATTTTTCAGCTCGATGTAGCTGCCTGGCTCTTTAGCAATGGGTTCATTAGAATGTCATTCGCAGGTCTCCAAACCCTCGGGTGACGCTCCATAATAATAATAATAATAATGATGATGACTCTTGCATTTGATATAGCGCCTTATCACGTCTTCGAGTGGTCTCGAAAGCGCTTCACCGAATACGCTGCAAAGTATTTTGCGGGCGAAACGCGGCGGCCAATTGCGCCCGGCAGCGTCCCCCGCAAACAGTTGTGGATCGAGTGACCCACGATTTTCAATAAACGGACCGAGTAATTGGGAGGTAGAAAGGAAGGCAAGCTACGGGTTAAAGGATTTAGAAATCATGGTGAACGAGCACAGTGGAACTCGGGACACTGCTGTGAAGCGAACAAACACGAGCAGATTTTTTTTTATCATTATTATTATTATTATGTTCTATTCCAGAGAGATCATCAAAATCCCAGCGGATTTTTTTTTTGTCATTGTTATTTATGTTACTGCTCTCTTTTTTTTGCTGCCAATAAACAACCACAAATGACATCCGCGCAGCGCCTTTCACGTCGGGAGGACGTCCCGAGGCGCTTGGAGGCTTTTAAAAGGTAGAATTTACGAGCGCCGCAGGTTATCTTTCGGATAATCTCCAACAACGGCCACAAACAATTGTGTTTGTGCAACTTTAAGACAATGAACACAGTTCCTCTTGAGCTGGCGTTAACCCCTGACATAACTGCAGTAAGCAGCAACACTGTGAATATTTCTCCCCAGACCACTCACAGACAGACAGACAGACAGACTCGCCCCTCTCCTAATATTGCTGCTCTGAATTCCAGTCACGTCCTAACTAAAACATGAACTAAAACTAAAATTGTTTTTTGGGGGGTTTTTCTTAAAGAACAATCCTCGCATTTGATAGATAAAGTGCGCCTCATCGTGTCGTTCAGAGCGCTTCACAGAATATATGGCCAAGTCCACCGACTGCGTATTTTGTGGGCGAAACGCGGCAGCCGATTGCGCGCAGCGGCGTCCCCACAAACAGCCGTGGATTGAGTGCCTGTATTTTTTTATTATTATTATTAAAAAAAAAGGTTTATTGGAGCACTGATGCTCACTCGTCTGAATACGGCTCATCAAAAGCAGCTGAAATGTAGCCCAATGACCTCTAACCTTTGGCGTGAGACAGAACGATTGCACGTCCACAAACACCGACTGTACACAGTTACCCTCCAGGTTCGATCGCTCTTCAATACCTTGGCTCACCTCGTAGCTTCAATAATACCCATCGCCCCCTCTCCCCCTCCCACTTTGCCCTGTTATCGGACACAAAAGAGCAAACACGGAGGAAGGCAAAGGCAAAGGCACTCACTCAGCTCCGTGTTTACAGCGCTTGTTCAGGGAAGTGTTAATGCGTCTCGGAGACCTGCCAGCCCCAAGATATTTCAACAGGCATTTTTGAAACTGCGAGTCCTTTGGCACGCGGGTGTAACCCGGAGGGGCGATTAATATTCCAACGACCCTCCAACCGCCCCAACCCTCCAACCCCCACCAAAACCCGGAATCTGGTCAGCGCTCCAACAATCGTGACCCTTGCACGTCGTTGAGACGTTCGAACGGTTCACAGAATACGCCGCCAAGTATGCTTTGCGGGCGAAACGCGGCAGCCAACTGCGCGCAGTGGCGTCCCGCAAACAGTCGTGGATTGAGTGATCACATTGTGGGGGGGGGGGTGGCTGTGTGTGGGGGAAGGGATTAGTACCCCCAGAAAGCAATCCACCAATCAACTCACAACCCGGTTCTGGCTTACTGCGAGGTAAACAGAGGCGTGTTGGGGGGGGGGTGGGGGGGTAAGAGAAGTTGCCGAAGGTTTCGCCCCAAGGCTGCCAGGGAAATGGTACCCAACCTCCTCTCGCTTGCAATATGAGTCACGCTAACGACTGTGCAACCGGGGACTCCAACAGGAAAAC